TTCATTCATCATTAAATTAGTATGAGAACTAAGACGAAACTTGTTAGTTATGTTATAGTAGTAGTTATAGTTATTATTATTTTTCTCTCAGTGTACTCGTAGTACCAGCTCTCACAGATACGCGCGATACGCGAGATATGTTGCACATTTCACAGCAGCAGCTGCCTACAGCTTGCAGCCAAACTGGAAAGTGTTGGCTTTTGCACTCGTCACACACACACACACACTCACACTCATACTCAGACACACACACACACACACCTGCTCATATCTATTTTGTTTTTGAGGCCAGCTAAATGGGCAAGCTCTGCGCTTCGCTTTAATTCGAACCTTTGCCTCAATTTGTTGCACGGAGCTAGAGCCCAGATTAGGCCTCTAAGTACGCATATTTGGCTCTAATAACACCTCGCTCTCAGCGAACGCTTCATTCATGAGCTCTCAAAAACTCGAGGCGTTGCAAATGTTTTGACATGCGATCTTAAGGCGCAGAGAAGCCCGAAATAAACGCCCACAACTCCATCATTTTGGCCATAATGCTCGTAATGACAGCCTTGCGTGTGCCGCACAGTCTCTCTCGCTCTTTTCCTCTCTCTTTCTCTCTCTCCTTTTCTGTCTCTCTCTCTGTGTTGACCGGGCTCTGTACACAAAATATTTTCATTCATAAAATGCCGACAAGTCCGAGGCACGTCAACATAACGAGCGATGCCCACGCATTGAGCCAAAGACGCTTATCGAGTTGTTGTCGAGTTGTTGTCACCGAAACGATTTGTATAACATTCTAATACTCTTTCTCACTTTAATATTGAAAAATGTGGTAAATCTGGTATCTAAGTCACATGTCTTCAAGGGTATTTGGTGTTCGGCTTGTTATTGTTGTTTATCGCAAAAATTGCATGTAGGCTGCTTTCTGTGCCACGCTTTGTCAATCATACGGAAATTGTGTTTGATTTAACGATTTTTCAGCTTAATATGCAGTATTTTATATATTTGTTTTGTTTCTATTTTTTGGAAATATTGTTTAGCATTTTGCCTTGGGCTTTCAATCTGCCATTAATACATATATTATAATACTCAAATCTTTGCTGTATTTGCATAGCCTACGCGCGTTTAATGGGCGGACAACAGAATATCAAGAATTTGTATCAATTATAATAAGAATTAACCCTGAGCCAATTGTTAACTTTTTGATCAGCATACAAATGCTTACAATTGGTTTGGGCTTAATTTTGTTTAAATATAATTAGTTTCAATTTCAAATCATGTTGTCATTCTGTAAATACGTTAACATACTATCGATTGCGGTAGGTCAAGCGATCAATCGGCCACATGGCTGGGAGCACAAAATGCGCAACATGCCAAATAAGGCGCATCACAGACAGTCTGTCGTGCCGGTGGCCATTGACTGACAATCACACAGCCCGGCGTGCCTGTCCCATGGCTGTCCCAGTGCCAAAGATCTACCGCCGCCAACTTCTTCGTCGTCGTGTTATGAATTATAAACCTTATAAACCTTTGTCGTCGTCAGTTGATGTCTACCGGCTTTATTATCGTTGCGATACCACTTTGGTGCCCATTACGTAGAGGCCGCCACAAAGGCAAAGCCAAAGCAAACAAAAGTGAGCATACCCTGTAAGTGCAATCAAAATGGGTATCTGCATTAGATTAATTTACAAGCTTGGTAAAGATATTTGATAGCAAATGCTTAATACAAAATGCAGTGCGAGCTTTTCTTTTTCCTCGATATCTGTGCCCATATTAAAAATATCAATAAATTTCTTTTCCTTCGATATTTTTCCCTTTTAATTCATTCGTGTGTGTGTTTTCTGTATATTTAGAAGGTTTTAATGTTTCTAAAGGGTATCACGTAGTCGGTCAGCCTTACCTATAGAAAGAGAGAGAGAGAGAGCGAGAGAGAGAGGTAGACTGTGTTTGAGTAAAATAAATGCTTTTGCAGAAATAACCGAAATCGATTTCCGTTCAATTTTGTTGCACCTCTTTCGTGCGGCTCAATGCACTCGTCGTTCGACTGCGTCACCTTTTTATGCAACGCCGTACCCCCTCACCCCCCTGCATCACCCGCTGTCTACCCCTTGACAGCTTTTGTTTGCATTTTGGGCTTTTTTTTTAGCTTTGTTGTAAATGGATTTTGCCGATTGGCATTTGCGCGAGCCTTTTATTGTGCTTATTTTTGGGCTTGAATGCAAAACTCAAAATCGAAAGCGAAATTCAAATTGCATTTATTTTTTGCTTGGGCTTATTTCTTTCTTTCCGGCGATTTGTGGAGTTTTGCCAAAAAGGGCCGCAGCGCGATGCTGCAACACTTGACTGGCCATTAAATTGAGGCATTGACAGGGCCCGTTGTCATCATTCGATTCAGTGCTCGATTTCAATGTCAATTTGCTGAGCGTAATTGAAACTGAGCGACAAAAACGAGAGCAATAAAATAAGCCATAACGACTTTTTAGTTGGCTGTGCGTGTGTTTGAGTGTTTACTGTAGTTGCATGGCTTTCATGGCCCGAAACCAGTTTTCACTTTTTATTGACCATTTGGCGCTTCTTTACTTACGTTTTATTCTCAAATTATGTGTAAATCTTTAACTGCTTTTTATGGTGTGTGTGCACAATTTGCAGCCGTTTTGTCTTTTATGGCCTGACAATGAAACCAGTAAAAAACCAAGCACAACAACAGCGAGAAGAACTCCTGCTGCGCCATGTCGTTTTGACCATATTTCGCACAGAGCCAACATTTTGCTATTGTGAGAATCGCTTAGCTGGCCAATTGCTGGTCGTTGGCCCAAAGCTCAAATCACTTTCGTTCTGCTTACCTGTTGAGTCAAGCCAGCAACAACAACAACAACAACAACAACAAAATAGCAAAATACAAATAAGTAGCAGGGCGCAAAAGAAACTAAAGTTTATTAAGCACACCCCAGGCATCGAGCCCTTCGACTAAATGGCTTCAATTAAGTTCCACAGTCAAGGCTGAGGCGAAGCAGGTGCTAATTGCTGTCGCCTATGCTGTCACCTCATGAATAGAGTTAACAACCAAGTCTCTGTGCGTCAGTCTTTAAAAGAAAAGCCTTGAAGAAAATGTTAAATCTTAACAAATTAGTTGTAGCTTTGGCGATATTACAATAATTCCACCCAGTGGAATTGATATATCTGATGTATTGTCGAGAAATATTGAAAAAACCAAAACAATTTGGATACTCCAAGAGCAAGAGAACTAAAATATGTGAGCGTAGTTCCGGACCCGTTTAAAGGTATAAAAGGTAGAGTATAATGCATATTTGGCTCCCAGAAGTAACCTTAAGTATACAATCTCTATATATTTAACTGTAAACACATGGTTTTGAGCAATTCCACTCGCACGTGTGGAAAATTCGGGAAAAACGTTTGCATCCTAACGGCTTTTAACCCAATCTCTAAGATCTTTGAGGGGGGATATTTGCCATCGGCAAATATTCTATATAGACATGGGGGGAAAATTTGCCACTCGCATAACTCGGTCAAAGCTCAACCGATTTTCATAAGGTTTGTCTTTTCGTTCATGATTCGATCTAGATCTGATCTAGATCAATTTGACATCTTAATCTGGCAAAATGATAAGTAAAATATCTTATATAGGTCGATATTTCTCATGTAGTTTCTCATAGATTTGTATCTATCCTATATATAGTTTATGTCAATTCCTGATGAAAAGAATTCACATATTTTCAACAATACGTTTGTCTTTTGCAACTTTGCTTCAATTGAGTTTTAAATTTAAACTTTGCGCTGATTGATAACAGCGCAAAATGCAGCCAATTGACTTGATCAGTTTTATTGTGTTAAATTGTTTGGCTCGAACATATTTTTGATCAGATTTAATGAAATGCACAGACAACAAAAGTCGCAACTCAATCAGATTAAACACAACATGAACTTTAGTCAGAGCCTCATGCAAACATTTTTCATGTCAATAACTTTATAATGTATTTTCGCTGATGCCTAAAACTTTTTACAAGCCTAATTCGCGCAGCCTGAAAATGTTCAAACTAATTGGCAGGAGCAGCAAAAAAAACGAGCTGCAAAGTTTTCCAAGCCTTGTTGACAGCCAACATTTAGAAGCGGCATAAATAACATTAGGGACATGTCTTTAATCCTGCAAATGTACGCGAGGTTGACTTTAATTTTAATTTGCTCAAAGTTATAAATGTTAATCGAATAAAATTAACTTATAATTTCGGCCAATCAAATTTGGCACTTTAAAACCTATTGTATTATTGCAAATAAATGTGTCCATGTTGTAGACATTTGCCTTTTTTATACCCTGCGCCGGTTTAAAAGGGACGAAAGGGTATATTCTTTTTGGGCATACGTGTGTAACGGATAGAGTGAAGCATCTCCTCTCTTTTAAAGAACATATATATTCTTGATCAGAACGAAAAGGTGAATCGTTTTCCATATAAGCTAAATATTTGAAATGTTTTATATAGACATGTTCTCTTGTAACATACGCAGTAGAAATTCTTGCTTCTGTTCGATGTCTCCTCCGATATATATCGATTTGCAGACTTGGTTTTTTAAGCATAGCTTGAAGAGCATAAGAGCTAGTTAAGTCAAATTTGTTATATAGTTGATAATAATATATCAGGCAACTGACATGCACAGCTGTTATTGGTGTGCAGGGTATTTAATAGTCGACTAGTCGTGGTCAACTTTGCTGGCAACCTTTTCTATTTACGATTGACCCACACGTACGCACAATTTGTCATGGCTGTTGCGTGTGTGCGTGTGTGTGATTTGGTTTTCATTTCAAGACTTTATTTGGGATGCCTAATAAAAAAAAAAAGAGTCGTTCGCCTTTGATCAGCTGTTTATTGCATACTAAAAGGCATATTTGCCGAGCTTCAATTGAATTCTGTAGCCTTTGGCTGTTTTAATACGAATCCCAAATCGATTTGGTTCAATATTTCTTTAACCTCTTATATACATTTTTTTTTTATTCTTTTTTGCAGAACACATCGCCACTGTGGGAGGACTTTGTGGCCAAGGCGAGTAAACTCCACACATGCCTGCGGTAAGTTGCCTGAGGAAATTGTGGGTTCAGGTTAAGCAAATTTTCACAATCGTTTCACGATTGCGAAACTTTGCAAACAGGGAAAACTAGAAAAAAGAATACAAACAAATAAGAAATCGTATGCATAAACATAATTTGAACTATTTGAAAGTACTCGTAAACTGTTTAGGTTTTTTATGCCTGGCATTTCCTCTCACAGTCTATTATTGTTTTTTTTTATTTATTTTTTTTTTTGTCCATTTGCCTGGTTTCGCGTTTTGTTTATAGTTTTGTTTTGTGTTTTCTTTAACGCTCAGACTTGGCCCCAATTTGTGACGCCAGCGGCGGCAGTGTCTGGCATATGCAATACTACTTATATACACATATTTAGCTTATGTATATAGCATACAACTTGCATTAATCATGCGCTCAAATCAAGCTAAAGAGTCTGTTGTCTTTGGCAGCGCAAAAAGAAATTCTGCGCCAAGTGTTTTGCCCAATGCGCTTGACACACATACGCACCGTTGCCCGACCAAGTCCCTGGCCGGGCCAGGCCAGACCAGACCCGACACGACACAACCGGCCCAGCATCTTCATCATCATCATCAGCTGCTTGGGTGCAGTCGCTCTTTGGACTGTCCCTCTGTCCGACTGTCCGTCCGACTGTCGTCTGGCCTGCCTCTGCCATTTTCAATTGAAATGTCGCCCACGGCCAATAAAGTTTGTTGCAAAGTTTATTAGATTTGTAGCCGCCGCACTATAATCAATGGCATCTTTTCAGTCAGTACTTTAGCATGTTGTTTCTCTTTATATACCCTATAATTTGTTGTAACTGAGGCAAATGGGTATAATGTAGTTTAGCGTATGTATGTGACGGACAACCATTTTTAAATTTATATCTATACGCGATCAAGTTTTATTAAAAATAAATATGTATAACATCGATAAGCATCGATTGAGTATATCGATAAATATCGATTTTTTGTTATAGTTTATTTATCTTACGCTGATCAAGTTTGATTAATTATGATCGATAACTATGTTCACAATATCGATATTTATCGTTTGATTCTGTCGCTAAATATCGTTTAATGTTATAGATAAATATCGATTTTCAGCTAAAGTGCATTAGAAATTATACTAGATATTCATATTTGACATTTAGGTTATCTCTTATGCATAAGATTTTGCTTAGAAGTACAGCCTTATATATTGGTTACTTAAATGTAATCTGCATTTTTGCAATATATATCTGTTAACAGGGTATTTGCTAGTCGTTTAGCTAAGCACTCTCAGTTGTTACAACTATATAATCTCTGTGTGTATTTTGTTTGCTTTTCTTCTATGTTTTTAGCGCTGCGATTCAGGCAATTGCCGCCTATTTGGATGCCTTCCAAAAGATCGCCGATGCGGCCACCAATTCCAGAGGTAAGTTCAAAAGTCGTAAACATAAAAACCTGACCAACCTGAGCCCCCCTCTAATTGCCCACAATTTTGGTTTGCAAACGATCTCTTTGCCTGGCCTGGTATGTACATTAGGTACATTGGGTACATTGAGTACTTCCATCTATTATTTATGCGTATTGCCGAGAGTCGAACGGCGACAACGACGTCAACGTCGGTCATCGATCTGATTTCACGCCCGTTCTGTTTTGCTTTGGGTCTGTTTGGCCGGTGCTCACGCATTTTCAGTTTTGCTATTTATATTTATTTATTGGCTGCCTCTCGATGGGCGCTTCACGCTCCGAGCTCTGATTATGCAATGTTGCTCACCTGGGCGGCCACAACAGCAACAACAACCAGAACAACAAGAACAGCAATCGGGAACGGGAACGGGAAGCGACAGCCACTTCGTTATTTTCTTTGATTTCTACTCTGTCTTTACTGTGGGCAGTAATAGAACAGACAACTTGAACTGAGATCAAAGACCACAGACAACATGTATTTAGGTGGCATTCAAGTAGTTGAAGTTGACATTTCGTTAGTTACGGTTAGTTGGGATGATTCCAAGTTGGAATGAGATAATCACAATACTACACTGAAATGTCTTTTTGGACGTGGCTTTTTATAGAGAACATGCAGCGCCACCTATCGCACATTTTAGGCAGCCCATAGCGATAGGGAGCAGACATTTTTGGCTTTAATCAGCAATAGTAAAGGAAATAGGAATATTTAATTAAATAATAAATACTAAACTTTGGAAATCTATTTTCTTTATAAGAAGGATATGTGTAAGAAGAGCTGAGAATCTTAATCTTAAAAGGGTTCTGCTATTTCCACAACTCCCCCAGAAAACAAACAATTGCTCTCTTAAATCTAATTAAGTACAGTCTCTTTTTGAATTTGCGTTTTTGTGCTGTGCATATAATCAAATATTTCTGCTGACCAATCCTAGCCCAAGGGCATTTCGAGCTTCCAAAAGTCCTTGCCTACGAGTGCCTACCGTAGTGGATTTATATTGTCCTCATTCAAGCGGTTTTTCAACAGCTTTACTTGCTGTCATTCCATTTATTATGAATTCTTTTTAAAATTTATAATGAATACTTGCATTTTTATATGTATAATTATTATATTAAAGATTTAATAATTTGATAAAATCTGTTGATTGAACTGTTTGTTCGTGAAAAACGTTGTGAATTGTAACGTAATTGTAATCGAATACAATATGCATTCAAAATTATATTAAATATGCATTTTTGTGCTCGCAATTCCCAATGCGATTCATTATTTATCTCTACATGTTGGAACTACTTTTCTCTTTCTCTCTCTCTATGTCTCTCTTTATCTCTTTCTCTCTCGTTTCCCCTGTGTATCTCATGTGTCTCATTTGCATATATTGATCCAGTCTGCTTGCACTTTCCCTGCAAGTCCAACATGCACATGAATCCTCATACGACCCGTCTTACCACCCACACATCCATTCATTTATCCAGCCATGAAAAGAGGACTCCGCATTGGCCACCCTTTTTGGTGTCTGAAGGTGTACTTTGCTCTTACTAAATGGTTTCATTAGTATTAGTGGTTACTTGGCTTAGTAGGCTGCCTATTGGGTTCGTCTGGGCTCGGTCAAGCAGAGCCCAGGACAAGTGTCAATTGTCCTTTGCGCACTTAATGGGGCCCACAAAAAAAAGGCGGCCCGCACACGAGGGTGAAACTCAATAATTTGCACATGCTTTTGCCTTCCAGCGAGGGGTGGTTGACGGGATTGCCGAGTGGGGGGGAGGCGATTCTGGCATAATATTTAGTTGGTATCTTTGTATACCCTATGCTTATGTATATATGGGGTATACGCTAGTGCAGGCAGAGTAATTTTGTTATGGCAATAATAAATAAAGTTAAGAAATATGAATTTGACCCAGCGTCCCTTCCAGTCAATCAGAGAGAACAGACTATTTTGAAATAAATATGGATCATGACGAGCTTGGTATCTGCTAGTCGAGCAGCTGCAATTCATACTTTTGATTCAATTAACTTGGATTTGGGAGCGTCCATAAAGTGGCTTATGAGGGATTTGCCTTAGTTTCATTTTGATGGAGTACTTGGACTTGGGCTAATGGGAAAGCAAGCAGAAATCAATAGGATAATAGCAAATGGGGCGCGGCAGCAAAGACATCTTTCGCTGCGATAATTAAATTTGGCACAGCTTGAAGAATAGTTTGGAGGAGCGTGCATAGATTATTGGCCATGTGCTCATGTCAAAAGCCTGATAGGCAGCTGCCTGCCCAAAGCGTAGCAGTAGCTGGCATAATGGGCACACACGAGACCGGTTGTTGACCGACTTCCCAGTCGGATGCCGTGCGGCATGCAACGCCCAAACAGGCAGACAGCTAGACGATCAGACATCCAGACGGCATGGCATGCGATGTGCAATGGTTAATCGGTATGGGTATGAGAATGGGAATGGCCATGGACACGACAGCTACAATAGCTAACATTTCCGTTCAGTTCAGCATCATGTAATTGAACGTGTCATCTCTTGCTGTTACTGCAGGTGCATCCAAGGAGATTGGCACCGCTTTGACGCGGGTCTGCCTGCGCCACAAGGCGGTCGAGACGCGCCTGAAGACGTTCACGAGCGCCATTATGGATTGCCTGGTGCAGCCGCTGCAGGACAAGATCGAGGACTGGAAGCGCACAGTGGCCACCATTGACAAGGATCATGCCAAAGAGTACAAGCGCTGCCGCAGCGAGCTTAAAAAGCGCTCCAGCGACACCCTGCGGCTGCAGAAGAAGGCGCGCAAGGGCCAGACGGACAACAGCCTGCAATCGTTGATGGACTCGCACATGCAGGACGTGACGCTGCGTCGCGCCGAGCTCGAAGAGGTCGAGAAGAAGTCGCTGCGTGCCGCCATGGTCGAGGAGCGGCTGCGCTTCTGTAGCTTTGTGCACATGCTGCAGCCGGTGGTGCACGAGGAATGCGAAGTCATGTCCGAGCTGGGCCATCTGCAGGTGAGTGCGCAAACCGTCAACAGTTTGAACCAACCTTTTTAACACTTCTGCACTTTTAGGAGGCCATGGAGTCCATTGCACTGGTCACCAAGGAGCCGAGTGTGCTGCCTCAGGCCTCGGAGGAGCTCATACACGATGCCAAGGCCAGCATTAATCTATATCCCGAGTCACCGGGCGGCGGCTCTGGCTCCCAGGGTGGCGGCTGCTCCAATTCGCTCGGTTCACGCAAGAGCTCCGTCTGCTCCATTAGCAGCATGAACAGCAGCGGCTCCAGCAACTCGCCGGGTCATCATCACTATCAGCGCTCGCTGTCGCAGGTGCGAATCCCCCGATCGACTACACTATGCAACAAAATTGGCTTTTAAACAATTGGTCACTCGCTTTCGGAGCATGTAAAAATTGATAACTATTGATTGTCAATTCTTATTTAAAGCTCACATATAAAGCGTACTCCTTTGTTAATTTTTGTAAATTTCGAAACAATTTTCTACGTAAAGCTCAGTGTCAAATATCTTGACTAATCTTGCCCATTATCAAAGCATGTTGCTAACTTAATTGTTATTAACTTATGTGTGACTAATTGTTGGCAATTATATTAAGTGCCTTTCTCTCTGATATTTCAGCTAAATATTATCATTGATAAAGAAAATTAATAATAATCATTTTGTCGCGATATTCGTCACGCATTTAAAGCTGTGCCCAAATTAACAAATCGAGTGACCAATTCTTTAAGTTTATAAATATTTAATTATTTATTATTTTTGATGTATAGCCTCTTTGTGTGTGCATTGCCTGTCGCCTGTTGTCATTGTGTGTTACTATGCGTTCTCATCATTTATGTCTTTTGTGTTTTTTTTTTTTGTTTTTTAGTTTGTAACGCCCGCAATTCGCTTGAAACCTGGTGAATCCAGTGATAGTGGCTTTTGCTCATCGCCAGCGCTAACAACACAGGTTTTCATTTTAATTTAATTTAATTTAATTTACTTAATGTGATTTTGTGCAATTATATTTGTTTGAGGTTTGCCTGCCATTTAACTAATTACAACCATTTTCCGCAGGCATCGACTGCAACAAATCAGACGCATGCCGTCTCCACTTGGCCGCCACATTCCCAGGACGTTGTGGACACATTGCCGCCGACTGCCGATCGTCCGCACACGATTTCCACAACCTACGAGAAGGGCCATCAGCGTCCGCCGCTAACTGTTTACACGTTCCAGAATCCCGAGACCATACACGAGTCCAGCAGCAGCGGCAGCCTCATAGCCGGTGCTCCCGGTCCCACTGCATCTGCTCCCGGTGCTGCGGCTCTGCCCAACAGCAGCTCCTCCTCCGCCTCGGGCCAAACCACGCCGGCGCCACAGAAATCCCCAGCCGCCTCGCTCAGTCGTCCGCCGTTGCCAGTTGTAAGTATTGGCTGACAGTTTTTTCTTTGTTGAATCTCTAGACCTTAAGTTGTTTCTTGTTATCGTTTGCTGTGGCAACAATCAAATCAAACACACACAACTCTATTTAGAAGCCGGCACATGTGGTAAGTGGCAGCAGAGAGTAGACAACCATTGCGCGCTCATTTGCATGCGCTAATCCCTGCCCGCTCAACCGCTCACGAATAGTTACCGACCGTCTCTAAGCGCCTCATCTTTGATAGCCTCACATATATTTAAATATATATACCCTTCCTAATGTCCTTTTGTTCATCAATTGCAGCGCTGCTCGTCGCTGGAACGCCCGCTGTCGGCGCAGAGCAATCATCGCCAGAACAGTGGACAGAACTTGCTGCAGCGCCAGTGCCCCTCACCGATACCGGCTCATATCACGAAAGGTACGCGAAGGGAATTACAATTTCCACTACTCTTTTAATACCCTAACTGACTATTTGTGGATATGTATTAACAAAACTTTCATACAGCTGTCCGTATATTTGTCTGCCTTTTTCTATCTTTATAGTTGTAGAACAAAAGCCAAACAACATCCTTTCCAAATCAGACTAATAGTATATCAATATAAAGGACTTGCAGTCCTCGCTAAATGAAAATCCCAGATTCGAACACCTGGCGATGTATAAATGTAAGCTTGTCTAAGGCGGAGGCCTTTGTTTCGAGTGCTATTTCAAGTTAATTTGAATAGTTATCTTAAAGGTGACTCTACACACCAAGCCCAAAGCCTAGAGATCGAACCCTGCTTGAGTTCGAACACAACCAAAATAGTCGAACAGTTCGAGTCAAACATTTTCAGTGCTGACTCGTTTGACGTAAATAGTTGGTCGAGTATTTGAAACGCATTTCGGTTCAAGTTAATAATAATAACACAATATCCATATGTCTTCTAAGGGTATTTCAACTTCGGCACGCCGAAGGCAACTATATTTTATTTGTTGGTTTTTTATGTTGTTTCTTTGTGTAAACGCCTTAATGCCTAATCCATTGCGTCTTTACTAATCAATCCATGTACTCGTTACTGTGCTGCTCTCTCTCCCAACACCAAACACTATGCGCATGCTTTGTCCAACGTTCATGTTAATGTCACACAGAGCTGTCCGCCGCACATCATGCACAGCAACAGCAGCAACAGCAAACACAGCAGCAACAAACCACGCCCACCTATGTTAATATGTCCGAACTGGCGGCTATGAAACTAACCAACCAGCAGCAACAGCAGCAATCACAGCAGCAATCGCAACAGCAGCAGCAACAAAAGCCAGCAACACCTTTGTTGCAGCAGCAGAGCAGCATTGATTCGATATGTTCGCAGCACTCGAATGACTCGTCGACAGGCTCGCTACAGCAGCAACTGTTGCAGCATCAGCAGCAGCAGCAATCGCACATGAATCATCAGCCAACAGGATTAGGCACACGCTCCCATTCCATATCCTCGTCGGTGTCCTCGAACACGGCCTCCTCGTTGCACTCGCATCCATCCATTGACTCGGCTGCTGCTGCTTCGCTGGTGGGCACAGCTGGTGGTGGTGGTAGTTGCCACACTAATACCAATACCAATACAAGCACCACAACGCCATCCAGCGGCTGTTCAACGCCACAGAATCACTATTCACCACTGTTAACCAACTCACCCACGTCCACTGCCGCAGGTACACCCAGCGGCGGCAGCATTGCCAGCGGCCTCGGCTTTGTCTATCAGATCAGCTCACCGACGCCGCCCGTCTCCGCCAGCGAAGTGCTCAAGATCACCGAACCGTCGCCGCCGGCTGCAGCTGTCCAAGATTCCGGCGATACCGATGAACGTTCGCGTGCCTCCGTTTTGCAGAAGGCCTCCATGTTTGAGAAGCAGGCAGCCGCTGCCGCTGCACCAGCGCCTGTGCCTGTGCCGCCAGTTGCCTCCAGTGGCCGGCGTTCCGAGGAGCTGCGCGCGGTGGAACAACAGGAAATGGGTAAGTCACAGCCGCTGCACACATATACACACATACACACACAGTTCACAGTTTAAAACTCCAGCTAGAGCCCGGCATCAGTTGATTGTTTTGCATCAAACTCGAATACTCAATCGAATGAACCGAAAATCGACTGACTCGAACATGCTTGAGCTCGAAAACATCCGAATCGAACCAAATCTAGTTACGAACAAGTTCGATCGAACGTGACTTTCTTTTTGTCTGCAACTCGAACTGCTCGAGTCAAATGTTAATGTTAATGGAGTATTCAAAATGCACTTCGGTTGACTCGTTGCCAGGCTCTAGCTCAAGCAGAAAAACTGCGTGCGCACAGTTCTGAAATCCGAATCCCGAATCTTTGCCCCCGATACTTGTTTGAATCCCGACCACCTTTTTGCCCACGCCCTTGTTTATTTAAGAGTATCGTGATTTAACATATTTAAAATGTTTTCTTTTTCTGTTTTTGTTTTTTTTTTCCCCCACCAATTTCTCTTTTGTTTTTGGTTGTGTTTCCTACACACACACACACACACACACATACGCGCACCAACAAAACACTCGTTAAAATTCGCGTTTTTTTTTTAAACACTTGTACAATATTTGCACCACACAACAACAACAACCACAACGACTCCAACAACAACAACTTCAACAACCTGAACAAATTGAATATTTAGACAAATCTTTCGAAGATTCGATACAAGCATTAAATAATTTAATTGGCGAATTAGACTCCTTTCAACGTGAGATCGATGAGGGCAAGGGCAAGCAGCACAGCAGCAACAACATCAACAACAACAACAACAACAGTAGCAGCAGCAACAGCAGCAACGAGAACAACAACAGCAACGATCTGCTAATGTTGCCTAGCAACAACATCGACTGCTGTGCGATCAGCAATCAAACAAATTCAAGCGGCTGCGGCACAGACATCTCGGACACCACCTCCGAGGAGCTGGGCGGCGGCATCGATGGCCAATTGGCCGCGGAACGACGGCATCAGCAATTGAATGCCTCGGACTCGGAGCTGAGTCGCTGTTATGTGAGCGAGACGAGCTCGCTGACCGGCGGCATATTGGCCGGCGGCTATGAGAATCCGACATTCGCGCACTTTGCCAATCGGGAAGAGCAGCCGGATACAGGTCGCAGCCACTTTGCCAGCGACAGCGTCTCGCTGACCGCCTCGGACAGCGTGTGCGTGGGCCAGCCGCGGCACGCCTATGTGGACACGTGCAGCGACGACGGCAGCGCCGTGGTCGTCATCTACGATCACCAGATACCCAATACGCCGGACATTGAGTTTGTGAAACAGAACTCGGAAATTGTGCTATTGCGCACCAAAGATCCGCAGCAATTGAAGCTGCACGAGATGCGTGAACTGCAACAGCTGCCGGACAATCTGACGGGCTCACCAGAGTCGCCGGATGGCAGCTCGGCGGGCGCCAGTCTACAGAAGCCAGCGGCAACGGCAACCGTGGCGCCCGCCAAGCAGCGACTCTCCTCGTTTCGCGCCTCCAGCGAGCAGCAGCTTCAGCTGCTCGGACGCGCCAGCAGTCCGCACAGAGGTACGGAAAAGATTAGGGTTAGCCCAGAGCAGCAGCAGCAGCAGCAGCAGCAGCAGCAATTAGCGAGTGATACAGCAGCAACAGTTGCTGGTGCGTTGCGGCGCAAGCTGCCGCCAAAGCCGATTAGCCTCAGCATATTCAATGGGCCCGTGCCCGAGCCGGGCAACACCATTAAGCCAGTGATACCTAGAAAGTTTGACTTTAAGGCTGACTTAGATGAAAAAATACGCAAGCAGAAACTAAAAGTGCAGCAGCAATTGCAGCAGCAGCAGCAGCAACAGCAACAACCACACTCACCACAGTCGCCCCAAACAACAACAACTACAAGCACAACAACAACAACAACAACAACAGCAACAGCAAACTGTAATGTCACTAATATACCTGCTGTTTTTGCATCCGCATGCGCATCGAACAACTCAAATCATAGAATGCCAAACCACACAGCAGCAACATCTAATCATGCGCCATACAAAACGCCCAACACAGCAACAACAACAACAACATCAGCATCAACATCACCTGGGGCCAAGTTGTCATTGCCATTATCATCATCATCATCAGCATCATCATCATCTGCATCTGCATCATTGTCATTATCATCATTATCCGCCCCAGCAGCAGCAACAGCAGCATCGCCACCTCAGCCGCCCAATGTGCCCGCCAAACCCGCACCACCACCGCCCAATTCATATGCGTGCTCCACTGTCAATGCCAATGCCAATGCCAATGCCAATGCCAACAATCCCCATGCTACTGTCAAGCCATGCATAACGCCCAGGCCGGCATCGTTGTCGGGTTCGTTTGGATTTTTTGATTTATTTTTTGGTTTTTCAGTTCTTTACGATTTAACCATGAACTTGATTTCTTAGCTGCGGCTTTTCTCATCACTTCTTTTGGCTTTGGTTATTGTTCGTTTGTTTTTGTTGTTTCTAATTTGTTAATGTTTGTCTTTAAAATGACTGTGGAAGGTCTTAATCCCCCCTCCAACCTAATCATTATCACTCACAGCACCATATTTACACACACTTTTATATATATATCAGGGCTATAAATGGGTTCGAACCCACTGGTACTTGAATCTTGAGCTGCAACAGTTGCTCAGTTGAGTTGAAAAGCGGTTCAAGCATGAATCAAACATGCATGCAACGAATCTCAGGGGTTCGAACTGCTCGCAACCAATGGCTCGAACTTCGAACTCTCTTTGCAGGTTTGAAGCCCTAATATATATATATATATAAATATATATAGCTCATGTACACAAACAACTGCACGTTACTGCAACTAATTGCAACACTGCTTAACACTAATACAAACATCGAAAATATCGAAAATATCGTAACTAGCGCAACTATCGCAGGGAATGTATATATAATTCTTGTACTCGTCATATTATGTGTACGATTTTTATTCATCGAAAGATGTATTTCATTTTGGCAAAGGGTTAGAAATTGCAATCTATAAAAAGTGTATCTAACATTCGACTTAATTTTGTGTGGCTTCAGCATATCAAAATAGACTTCTAACTGGTATAAATCTTATGTGGTGTGTATTGTGGTCTCACTGTGCCTAACTTGAATTAACTAAGAAATGTTTATTTTATATAAAATAACATGTTTTTAATAATTTCACAGGAGGAGTAGGAGCAGGAGGTGGCTCAACGCGCATCGCACGGCGTGCTTCCATTAACCAGGCCAAGCCGCCGCCGCCAGTGCGGCGCAGCTCGTCGGTGACGCCCAGTCCCAATAATGGGGTAAGTTCAGGCTATGCTTGAAGTTATATTTAATCATTAATTACGCTAATTCGATTAAGTTAAGTCTTAAGTCTTAAGTTAAGCTTAGCGTGAGTGATCGATCGTGCCAGCAGAGACACTGTGCCACAGCAGAGACACTTTTCCTTTAACGCTTCAGTTGATTTTCATTTCTCACTTATGATTTCGTTTGCGTTATATTATGCGTGAATGCAGCTGCAACTGCAACAGCAACAGCAGCAGTACGGCAACAACTCATGCGAGCACCTGCCACCGCCGCCCGCTTACCTACTGGAAGCGTACTCCACATCGCCCACACCTCCGCCGCCGGCCTCCATGCCCAGCTCGGCGCTCAAGGTGTCGGAGACGGTGCGTGCCTTGGCAGCCATGCGGCATCAGCCTGCCTCGCCCGTTGCGCTGCGACGCATCCAACAGCAGCAGCAACTGCAGCAGCAACATCCTTCACAGCAGCAACATCCTTCACAGCAGGTGTGTGCACTTTTCTTGGCTTGGACTTTTTGCTTTTCTCTTCTGTTTTACTATGATTTTCTTTACATTTTCATTTCCGTTTCAATTTGCTTTGCCTTCACACACACACACACACACGCACACACACATAGCTCGTGCACAAGCCTATTCCTAGCATTGAAGCTGACTATGAAGCTTACTATAATAGCTATATGGAGCTGCATGCCTATGCTCAAGCCACGCCATCCAACCAGCCGCAGCAGCAGCAACAACGCTTCATGCAGCAGCAACATCTTCATCAGCAACATCATCAGCAGCAGCAACAGCTGCCTCCAACGCCGCCTCCATATCAGGCACCACCTCAGTTAGATGCCGTAAGTGCAAGCTCTTCGCTAACCAAAACGGGAGTCGCTGCATAGTTTATGAACAGCTCACTAATTCCTTTAATCCGTCTGCTTAGTTTAGTTTAGTTGTAACAAATCCTAACTTAGCTTATCATGCATAACTAGACATATCATGTACACAGTGAAAGTTGGCCGAAGCGAACAGCCAGAGACATTCTAGCTTGCGTCTTGCTGCTCGCTCCAGGCTGTCCAGCATTTAGCTTTGTTTTTTAATTAATTTATTGCTTCTATTGTTTTCTTTTTTCTTCATGCTCACACATACACACACACACACACGCGCGCACAGTCGTACCGCACCTCATCGCCTGGCGCCGGCGGCGGCATCTACGCGCAGCCCAAATTGGTTAGCAACATGTCCAGCTTTCGCAGCAGCAGCCCCAGCCCGAACGGGCATGCGCACCCACTGCCGCCCACACAGCCCAAGGCGAATCCGAACCTAATCGCACAGCTCAATGCACGACTCAACAGCAAACAGCAGCAACAGCAACAGCAGCAGCAACAGCAGCAACATGTTGCCGAGGGCATTTACGGCAACGCGAGCAGCGAGTCCATCTACCTGCGCAGCGGTTTGTCCATGACACAGCAGCAGCAGCAGCAACACCACGACGGTAAATTTGAACATAAGCTGACACAGCAGCAACATAGAATTTACGCTAGTTTTGGCACCTCATCTGCAACATCATCATCTATGTCAGCAACAGCGGCAGCAGCAGCTGCAACATTGTGCTCAAGCAATGGGGCAGCAGCTGTTGCAGGCGTTTTGACATCCACAACCGCATCTTCCAGTACATTCAATGCTTTGCCACACTTTCCGCTCTCCTCATCCACATCATCGTTGCTCTCTAAAGTCAGTTCATTTTCAAATTCATCAACAACAACAACAACAATGACAGCCAACAACATTCAATCGCCGGCAAGCGGCAACAGCAAAGATTTTGTTGCCAACTATACAAATTCGTTTATAAAAAATTCAACAGCTGCGCAAACAGCAAACATGCGACAACAGCAACAGCAACAGTTGCAGCAGCAGCAGCAGCAGCAGCAACAACAACATTATACTTGCCCACCGCCGCTTGAGGATCCGCCACCGCCGCCCATTTATTCAGCGACCATGCCCAAAAAAATGGCACGCGCACATGTTGCACACGGCAACAGCAGCAGCAGCAGCAATCATGTAATGGGCGCCTATGCTGCAGCTGCAAACAGCGCTACGCTGCCCAAAAATATATTGCAACAGCAGCGTTTACAGCAGCAACAGCAGCGCTTGCAGCAGCAGCAACAGTATCAACAGCCCACAGGCATTGGCGTTGGCAATGGACATGCTAGTCAGCGACCAGCAATGCCGCTGCCCCAGCAACAACAACAACAACAACAACAACAGCAGCAGCAGCAGCGACAGCCACCAATACCGTCGCGTCATTCCAGCGTGCAGCAAAAGATATTCGTTTCGACGAATCCGTTTATACAGACCACAGCTGTCAAGTTTCATACGCCATCGTCCTCGGTGCACTCAACGCCCGCTGCGTCGCCCACCTGCGGCTCGCCCGCGGCAACGGCAACCTTTGCCAGCATTTATGGCACAACGGGACGTGGCGGCAGCGCACAGCAATACCAGCAACAGCAGCAACATCTGCAACAACAACAACAGCAGCAACATCTGCAACAGCAGCAACAGCATTATTATCGCGATGTTGCTGGCAGCAACAGCAATGGCGGCGGTGTTTACTATGCTGCCCACAACAATGCCCATGGCCACGCCCATGCCCATGGGCATGGGCACGCCCATTCGCACGCCCACATGCCTCATGTCCAGGCACATCATTCAAGTGAGCGCGCGTTTGATTTGACTTGATTTGATTGCAGCGCAGTTTATTTTTTGTTGTTTTTTTTTTTTATTGACTTTCGAATCGTTTTCTTTGGCGAATTGCATGTTGCTTTTGTTGTGTTTGTGTTTTGTTTGAATTCAATTTGGAGTTTTGAAGTTGAATTACATTTAAATATGATGTACCAGCGCGTGTTGACAATCAATCAGCGTGGAAATGGACAGCAGAACAACAAGATTTATATATCTAACAACCAATATTATATATGCATATATATCACTTAACTCATCTCATTTCTTTCACATTGACCCGACTTTCACATCAATTTTATATATTCGCATCTCACTGCACTAAACTTTTGATAAGAACATGTCAGCTCTTTCTAAACGTTTGCCTATTTCATAACTTAATCACAAAATTTTGAAGATATTACAGAAACCATAAAACTTGAATATTTTCTTGATCAGTAAGCACAACCGATTCGATATAGTGTGTCTGTCTGTTTCGATGTGATCTAAAACCTCCTTCTAATCTATGACATTCTGTCGGAATTGGCAGAATCAGGCATATATATCATATAACTTTCCTATGATTACGTTCTTTTTTGTTTATTCAGATATCTTTTACAAGCTTGGCATATATAAGCTTTACATATGATCAGAATCTTATAAAATTCAGAACAATATATCAAGAAATCTCAACCAAAATTGGATTCCAGTTTTATATTAAACCCAGATTACCATATCCTATAGTTCTATGGAAAGAATTGCTCCCGAGAAACTCTGCACTCTTATGAGGCTTCCAATTCTGACTTCATATTTGCAAAATATTAGGCACTATTTTTGCAAGGTTATTTAAATTTCGGCTTGCCGATGTTAGCATTGTCTCTTTCGATTATATATATTTATATATTTTGTTTATAATTTGCATTGTTTTTATTAATTTGTTTAAAGCATTTCACGCTTGTCGTCACTTTGTGCTGCCATTTTTTAACGTTTATCAAACATTTCTGCTTCTCTCTCTTCTTTTTTTGTCAACCATCAATCAACCGATCAATCGCATCAATCACTAGACTATGCCACAAGCACCAATATCGAAAAGACTGGCAGCATACGTGCCAAGACCAAGGCTGAATTTCTCGAGAATCTCAATGCAAAGCTGGCCAAACAGGGCATGTCCGGCCGTGCATTTGCCGTGCGAAATCTGATCAATAGCAAGGCTTTGGTAAGTTGGCTTTAGACACACATATACGACACCTGCTCCATACCTCACTCTATATATACATATATATATGGTCATTTACTGTACTATTTGGCTGGTAGATGTACCAAAATCCACAAAATCTAGCCCGACCCAGTGCACAATATCGTAGACCACCCGACTATCCCAACACCAACCCCAACCGCTCTTGTGATGAACAGTGTTAAGGTATTTTTTTTTTGTTTACTTGTGTTTTGTGTTCTGTTTTCGTTCTTGTCTAATACCCCGGCCCCGAAACGCTGAGCATTAACTACATATAGTTCTTTCTATATGTTCAGGCTTTGATTATAGATAGATCCATGAATAAATTGCATATCTATATAGCTTTTCTCTGTATACGCAAGATAGTACCATGATTGTATTATATATATATGCACTTTATAGCTAATTGTTGTTCCTTTTACGCTTGCAGCCGGATCCGCGCATTTGTCACGAGTCGCTAATGGATCAAATAAAGCGGGGGGCGACTTTGAAGCGCAATCAAAAGATCAACGATCGCAGCGCGCCCAAAATACATTAATCTATTAATGTTTCAATTAAACTAGAATGCGAATATTATTTATTTTTATGAGGCGGCGTCGCCTGCTCGATTGCAGGCTTACGCAGAGTTTAGTTTGAAACTAAGAAACTCGAGTAAATACAATATAACTAAACACACACACACACGTACTCACACATATGATAAAAGATATATGATAACTGATAAATACGCGTATACAATATATATATATATACATAAATTAACAGCTATAAACACATAAATATAATTAATTCGAAAGAAAGGGGTTCTTCAAAAATCTCTAGTTACAAATTTGATTCAAATTGGCATTTCTCTTAATTTCCTATAAACATATATACCTAAACATATATATACTACACATCTATTCAGATTTATGAAAGTTATGCTTTTTGTTAAGTTAACAAAAAAAAAAAAAAAACTGGAAGACAATTGAAGTTGAATGTTGTATGAAAAGTTTCATGGATTATTTATAATTTAAACTCGAATTTATTGTTAGTTGAATTTAGTTTTGTCGCGCTTTTAATTAATATTATTTATAATTTCCTCTTGTTTGTGTAAATACCTATAATTTAACTAATACAACCAACTAATATGACGCCCAATAAATGAAATTGTCGTATCTATATATACTTACACATTATATATTATATATTATATACCTTTTGTTCTTGATTTCTTATATTATCTATCCGGCAAATGCGAGTCAATTTTAAGGGTCTGAGCATATTGAAAAACAAACTTTTACAACTACACATAAATATAAATAGCTATAGATGCTATAAACTTGATCTTAAGTACACGCCTAATTAGATAATATAAAGTTTTATCTGGTGGGGATTCACTTGGGATCCTTTTACATTTACGTAGTGTGCTATATATATTTATATATACATATGAACGGGTTCATATCAAACGAGCATTAAGCTATAACATTTCTATTGGACTGAATCTTTTATTGTGCTACAAAACAAATCTGTCATTTAAAATGCAAAACTAATCGGGTAGACTAGAGAGACAGCTGTTCTTGAATTAAACTACAAATCTAGTATACAAATATCATTTGACTTCATATCAGTTACGAAACTACATCAAGAAAATAGCTACATAGAACATACTTTATTAACAGTTTTAAAGCCCGTTTTATAAAAAGAGTATTTGGTTCGAAACATATGCTAACAGAATATACATTCTATATATACGTAGTAATCCTTATTAGGCAACTTGTTGATAGCATTTACATACTATACGGAAAAATGTATGATCTAATAATTGACATATACATACTTATATGCTCGGAAGAAGTTCTATGGCTAGTTAACAGACTTTTTAAATATTTACAAAATATTTTGTATATACGCTTTTTAAGGCTTTTCAATTGTAATCGATAACAATATATATACTTATATATATCAACTATATAAATGATATTTGGCATGAACTTTTGCGAAGCGTCTCTCGTAACCAAAACAAAAAAAAAAAGGGCAATAACTAAGCTACAAAAACTCCACTAGTCTTTAATGCATACAAACATACATATATCTACATATATTTTAAATTTGGGGCATACATACATATATATTTTTGGCGATCATCTCTACTATATAGTATATATACACACACATACATACTCAGACAAAAGAAAAAAGTTAATTAACAAAACAATTATTTACAAATCTAAATGTTAATCTTAATGTGTTTCTGTGTGTTTTAATGCTATGACAGTAACAAAAAAAAAAAAGGATCAAGTTGTAATGCGTATTTTTGAATTCATTTGCATTTAGGACACGAGCAACAATAATACAATACAATAAATGTAAAAGCATGAAATGTACAAGTTCCACTCCAATTTTATTTCGAGCCGCTAAAGAACAAGTCCAACGTGTTTTGATAGTAAAGCTCAGCCAGCTGCTCCTTGGGCTGCTGTTTGATGCCCGCAATTGCCTCCAAGACTTGACTGAAATGTTGCGAGACTCAATTTAGTTAAGATTAATACTCTCTTTAAGATAGACCATGCATCGAACGTAGTCCATTTCGAATACATTAATTATTATTATGGTCGTCTTGAACCCATTAAAAATGGGTATAAGGCTATATATTGTATTTGTGCAAAATCCAAATGTATGCAACAGGCAGGAGGAAGCATCTCCGACCCCATAAAGAATATATATTCTTGATCAGCATTGATAGCCGAGTCGATCTAACCATGTCCGTTTGTCCGTCCGTCCGTATGTATGAACGCAAGGAACTTAGAACATATAAGAGCTATAGACTATGAAATTTTAGACGTAGGTGCTTCTAGTGCTTGCGCAGATCGAGTTTGTTTCCGATAATCGATAACTTACTCAGTTTCCAAGCAATCGATAAAAATCGATAGACAATTTTGGTAAATAATAAGAGATAGAGTCCCCAAACTTGACATATAGCTTCTAAAGGGTTCAGGGTATACTCGGGATAACCCGACTAGAACCTCTTACTTGTTTCAGCTCGAGCTGTTCGATTTGCTTTTGAGCTCGAACATGTTGGCTCGATCAACTCGAACTTTGTTTGTCTCAATGAGTTCGAGCTTGTTGCATTATTTATTCAAACACCGTTTCGCTCGTTAATCGAAAGTTCATGAATTAGTGAATTAATAATAATGAATTAACCTAAGCAGGTCTCTACTCTAGACTTACCCAATCTGACATGGCTCGTTGCGTCCATCGATCAAAGTCTGCGCGGTCCACTTCTCTTTCTTCTTGACAGTGGGAAACTTTGTGGTTACATGTTTGTGACTCGCATGCGTGGGCCGTATGCCACACCAGGGGCAATCCGTCTCGAGCATAATGCGGTCATTGGGCAGCTGTTGCACCACCTCCAGATTCTCGGCCGTCTTCAGCGAGCAGCCGTTCAATCCTATGTAGAGACCACCAAAGGCCAATATGTTCTTGGCCTCGTGCAGTGTGCCGGTAAAACTATGCACCACACCGCCACCGCAAGCCTTGAGCTGGTCTCGATTGCGCTCCAATATGTCCATGAAATCCTTGTGAGCATTTCGCATGTGCAGGAAGAGCGGCAATCGAAATTCCGCCGCCAGGCTGAGCTGTTTCTCAAAGTACTGCAGCTGTGTTTCCTTCGCACAAAAGTGCAGGCGATCATAGTCCAGTCCGCATTCGCCCACAGCGATTACCTTCTCCGGATTCGCTTTGATTCTGGAGCGCAACTCGCTGTAGTACTGCTCCGGATCGGGCAGGAACTCACCGCAGCGTGTGGGATGTGCGCCCACGGTTGTGTACAGGCGCTCTGCAATGTAGATTTATAAAGATTTTGCTTTCTATTTGACCGTAGCTCAACTTGCCATCCTTGGCAGTCAGCTGCAGCGCTTCGTCCACATCCTTTACACAACCCGATGTAATAATTAGCTTCTGCAAGCCGTGCTGCCAGGCGCGTTCCAAAACTATGTCCAAGTCTGCCGGATGTTTCGTTGAGCCGCCATAACAGCCCCGAAACATGGGATCCGTGAGATTGGCGCCAATGTCTGTGAACGGTTTAGCTTTTCATATAAAATAATTTTTTTTTTAATTATTATTTACCAATGTATTTTAAGGCCATTCTCAAATATTTTGTTGCACGCATTAAAATGCGCTAAAAAATCCCAAATGCCGGCGTATCAGCTGTTAGCGCTGGTGTTTCCGGTACAGCAGTGCAGCAAACGTCGGTAGATGGCGCACTTGCGGTTATTGAGGACTACACTTTGAACAAACGCCACTAGGTGGCGCAGCTGCTGGCTTTGGCGGTTATTTGAAAGTTGGAAATAGTTTGGTTTTCTTGAAATTATTTTTTTAAAAGTGAACATTCGGGTGAACTGTCGCTCACTCTGTTCGCACTCTTCCTCTACACCTCTGCCTTACTTGTTAATGCCCATTTTGGGGAAATCAAATTATCAAATTCAGAGAAAATTGCATTTGAAATTGTGCATAATTTCAACTAATTGGATCGCTGGCAAAGCTGTTTATTGTGTGTGGCACAAATGCACACAAATATTTAGGTCTAAATACGTATTTGGTGTGGGTTGCAAAATGGCATCGCAGCTGGCAAATTTCGCATGCAATGTCCTGTGAATAAATCACAGCTTTTGGCGCGTTTAGCTACCCATTTGGCATTCAAAGTTCAATTGATTTAAATGCATTGGCATTTACATTTAGCATAGCGTGCATTGTGGAATTTACTGGAAATGCAATTTATAATTTGAATAAAATTCCATTAGTTACTTTTAATGGATACTGCGGTCGCTTCACTGCCGACACCCCCACAATTGTGTGAACAGAAGGAATGGATCCTTTAATTGATTTAGAGCCAGCAATAGATGTGTCCGCGGCTGACAGAGGCAAAGGCAAATGCAACTAAACATAATATAAAGGTAATTTGTTATGTGCTGCAATCAGACGTTAATCAATATGTGGCTGATCAGACCTTGTTGCCAGCTTCTGTAACTAATTAAAGCGATTGACATTAAAATTTAATTAGACTCTTTTACCGTGCGTCATTTATAATTGAGTCAAACTGAAAGCAATACATTTGTTAAGAATAGTTTCTGATATATGCATATAAATATATATAAATAAATAAAAGAGTTGAATTTCTGTAGTTTAATGGACACATTTAGTAAATTTATTTGCTTTCTGTTGATATTTTAAAATTAAGTACAATTTCTTTGCATTTTGCATATGTGTAGATATTTTTGAGTAACTGTAACTCGGCATTGATTTTGTTGGGCTTTCTAGTTATTTTCAATTTATTAATTTATTTATTTTTTGTTTGTTTTAATATGAACAATCGAATTACGTACACAAATATATATTTCAAAATTTTGATTTGAATGTTTAACAAAACCTATAGCTAAGTAAACTTTGCGCAACAACAATTTCTAGATATATATAGATATACATATATCTGACAGTTATATTACTATGCAGATATATATATATATATATATATGTATATAACTTGCCCGTGATATTTCCTAGCTTATTTAACCAGATGCCTTCTCTCTCTTGCACAGATTTGTTGCAATTAACTACATTTAATAACAATGTATAAACAATTTAGTAGTACTTATTAAATAAATCGTGCTTATGCTAAGGATACATTTAACTGGACGTCAGCCTCAACTCCAGCCAAAGGGCATATAACATTTGCCAGGCCAGCCGTAACCCCGTTTGTAATCTCTATTTGACTATTGAGTAAATCATTAGCTTTAAATATTATTTTCATCACAATTCACTTTGCATCTGCCGTATTTATGTTGGTTCATTTACAAATCCCTTAAAAGCATTTACCAAACTCTTGCAACGTTTAACAAATAATTCTTATTCGTGTTAAGCACATGAAAAACTCTGAATCAAATATACATATATATGTATATATATATTTTTTATAATTTCAAACTGTTTAAAAAACATTTATTGATTCTGACGTTAGCCTAGTAAATATATAACATCTAATGCTCTAATATTTAATGCAAAAATTCATATTAGTTTTTCTTCTTTATTTATTTGATTGGCTCCTAATTTTGGCAATTAGCATGCACCCTGTATTATCCTTGAATATGTTTTTTGAATATTATGCGCAAATCACGCTTAACTGCAATTGAGAGAAATGCAAAAAAGAGAAAATAATAATAATAATAATAATAAAACATCACAAACAATGCGCTGCATATTTATATGTACGCCCGGCAATATTAATTAGCAGCTCACTTTGCATAATAAATTGTTGTGCAGCATTTCTCTGCCTTTGAAGAAGTGTAAAAAAGAGTTAACTGCAAAATGCCATAAATTGCTCAAACATTTTCCTGGCTTTTCGCTCGTACTCAAACAAGGTCAGCTTTTGTGGGCCGCGAGCAAAATAACTTGCCGCATAACAAATACATATATTTTTTTTCCCAATTTTATATTATTATTTTTTGTTTTTTTTTTTTTTTTTTTCATTTTTTCATCTACATAAACTACACGGATTTGTACCTAGGACAATTAATTAGTTGCATTTGCTTAAACATTTGAATACACTGTATTTAAATTGTTAATAACATTTACTTATGTCTAGCTTAATACTAGCCCGAACCGAAAACATGATTAACTTAGCCTAATTTGCTGTCATCAAAGGAACTACAAGATTTATTCTTCAAATTTGTCGTACAATTCATATACCAAATTCCCTCAAAAACAAATTGCTATTTAAATTTGTGAACAAATAAGAAAATGTCATGACAATAAGCTGCCCGAAATTTAGTACAGCCTAGCAAAGGGAATTCAACTAAACCTGGTCCCCTTGGGACTTGTGATTTAATTTAATCCCAACTAAATAGACTTGCTGACGATTGAGTTTAGTTCATATTCAAAGCAAGGATATATAGTTATCGTTAAGTTATCGGCGTATAAAAATGATTTCAAATAAAACTGGTCCCCTTAAACCATTCAAATATTGAATCTCAACTAAATAGAATGCCGGACAGTTGAGCAAAGTTCGTACTTATAGCTGTAAACAACAATATAGTTATCGATAAGTTGTCGATAAACCATCGATGAGTTATCGCTAACTCATCATTGAGTTATCGTTAAGTCATCGATGTGGTATCGATGAGTAATCGATAAGTAATCAAGCTGGGATTTATAGAATATCGATATATCATCGATGATTTATCGATAAGTAATCAAGCTGCGTCTTGATATCGAGAATATCTAGACGTTTACCCTTACATCATACATCTTAATTGCAATTGAGCAACTTTTGTAAATTATTCAATTTAATCAAAATAATTAGCTCTGTTGAGTGTACACGATTTCATGTAGCAGACATTCATTATTATCATAATTATTAATAATATTATTTGTATTATTATTAAATTAAAAATGACCCACCACAGTTTTGGCAATTTACTGCAAATTACAGTCGTCGGATGCGTTGTTGATTTGCTGCTTGGTCTTGCGTGATGCACGGCGTATGAGCGATCTATAAATAAACCGCAAACAATTGTGTGTGCACGTTGTGTATGTGTGAGTGTGTGTGTGTGTACGGTGTGTGTGCGTGTGCGTCAGGTGAGTGAATATTCGCAGAAATGTGTTGTATACTTAATTCTAGCATGAATGGAGCTCAAAATATTTGTGCACACAATTTTTGCATTTCTATCAATAATATTATATTTCATTGAATTTAAAAAATTGCCACGAATTTAACCACTTTCTACATTTTAGAAAATTATTATTTTTGTTTAGACAGCTCTAACCCAATAAAATATTTGGCTAAATTGTTAGAAAAATTTAAACAAAATAAAAATTTGTCGAATTCATTAAAGAAATTGTAGTTAAATTAAATTTGTTAAAATTTAGAAAAATATTTTCCTGAATTTCAAAAAATTACCATAAAATAAACATTTGTCGAAATTTGGCAAAAATTTTTGTGCCAAATTTAAAAAAAATTTGTCTGAATCTAGGAAAATATTTTACTGAATTTTAGAATAATTATCATAAAACGAAAATTGTTCGGAATTTAAAAACATATTTTCGATCAATTTTAGTACATTTAAATTTTAGTTTGAGCTTTTCTAAATTAAAATAATAATATTTTTATTGTTCTAAAATTTGAGAAAAAAAGCAAAGTACAAGGCCTACAGCTGGTTCTATGGTTTATCTCACTTGAAAACGAAAGTTCTTAAAGCTTTTTAATCAATTAATTTAAAGCATAAAGACAATGATTCGTCCCGAACTTAGATCAAGGCATATAGTTGTGAGATTTGATTAGAGAAAGTTGTGGTCTTTGAAAAAGAGCTCCCAGTCTCAGCCTGGCTACAATGTATTCAGGTTTGCGGCGAAATGTATTCATTTGTATTAATTTATTTGCCCACCTGGAACGTGGCTTTAGTTTGGCCTCGGCGCTGGTGCTGGCCACATCGACGGCATCCACGAGACTCGACTTCTTGTCGCCGCTCACCGAGGGGCTGTTCATGCGGTTTTTGTCTGCAAAAGTTGAGTTGTTAACATTTATGTATTATATTGTTTGTCAATATGCAATTAACAAAAGTTGGCCAATTAAAACATTTTCAAATGCATTGATTCACGCCTGGCGAGCTGTGTCTGCCGCAAATTCCAGGAATTGTAATGCAAATAAATGTGAAACACGAAAATCCAATTTCCAGTTAACGATTGCAATGCGCGCATGCGACTGCCACAGCAGGTGCCACAGCGACTGCAATGCCTGCCCAATTATTAACGCAGCTGCCTTTGCCAGCGCTGTGGCAACAATGGCGCAAAGTGCCAGTTGCCAAGTGCCCAAACCGCCTTGCTCCGCACTTGCAGCCCTGTTGCATGCAACATAATTATCTTATGCGAGCTGCTTCAAACTGTATTCACAGCAGGGCACAATTCCCAGAACTTCAGCTCGATTAGCCGCACTCGACTGCAACTGGCTTAAAGGCGCCTCACTTAATTATTTTTCACGTAACACACGTTTACTAAAGGATGCTGCTATGGCAATCACAGGAAAAAGCATCAAATAATTAGATTAAATAGTCTGGCTGAGATTTATAGTTGCCCAGTTTGAAGTAAAAGAATGAACTGCTTTTGAATAAGCTTCTGGACGTGTGGCTTGGAATTGAAAGTAAACTTTATTTCGCACCGATTGTTCCTTCAGCAGCTGACACATAAAGAAGAGTAGTTAGAATCGGAAAGCAGGCTTAGTTTGATTGAGAAAGAGCTGCTACGAAAAAGTGTTGTAGACATGTGAATTGATTGTAAATTTTCTTTCCGACTGAGTTTTTCTATAGAAGACGGTTAACATGAATAGTTCCAATCGTAAAGCTCGTAATTTGCTAGAGAACGATTTTTTTCGACTGATCGATCATATAATAGTGTATTTCCAGTATTAAAGCAGGATTGTTTTTAATTGAAAAAGAGTTGCTATCAAAAATGGGCTTAAAATTGATACTGAGCGCTGAGTTTGTATAAAATGTCGGGTCGATCTGAGCACAAGGCAGCAGTTCGACCTTCGACTTTGTGTCTGTTTAAAAAAAAAACCATAATATTTTGACAAACTTTAGCTAGAGCTTACAAATGCTCTCTCTGAGAAATAACTTGTGACCAATTTCCCATAAACTTTTATGCTCTACTTGAACAAAAGGTCGCCAAGCTGCAAGCTGACAATGTCCAAGTCGAATATCTATTGTCCTCGCATATATAAACCGTTTCTGTGTCTAGTTTAACGAGCGTAACAACCTTTCAAGTTTCCATTGCTGTGAGCGTCGTTTTCTTGGAAAAACGGATGAAAACCCAGAGAGAGCAAGAGCTGCCCTGATTAGATTAGATTAGATTAGATTACGTTGCGCATATTGATGGCTTACTGATTTGATGGATTTAAAGCGATTCGGGAACCGAACAAAAGCTGAAATCTAGCATAATGATGATTTATGCAACAGCCACAAGCCGAACCTAATTGATAAAGAAAATGTGAAATTAAACAGCAGCAGGAACTTGCGCTTAAAGCGTTTTATGGAAATCTCCCAAAGACTCAACTTTTTGTTAAACTGTCTCAAAGGGGGTTTCCGCAGCTATTGGCAAAACCCAAGGGAATCGTGTTAAATATATAAATATATATATATATCAAATAATTCCTAAACTGTGCTACGCTAAGGCACTTCATCTAATATGCATGAGTGTGCGTGTGTGTGTGTGTGTGTGCGTGTGTGTGTGTACGTGGTGTCAACTGCAAACAAAATGGCTGCCGACGCCATTGTTGCCGCTGTCGCTGACACAAAGCGCGCGAAAAATGCCTCAAAAATGCTAGAATCATGAGAAATCGAGTCTGTGTAACCAACAAACACACACACACACACACACACACACGCACACACACTCAGACAAAAGCTGTGTGTTGCTTTTCTGGCTTATTACACTGCACACACACACACACACACACACACACACACACAGACACACATGTAAGCCCCACTCGCACAATTTGCTGGCATAGAGCATAAAAAATTGTTGAAATAAATGCCGAGCAGTACGCAGTACCAGGTCTCTAACCGGAGTCCCCAGTCCCCCCGTTCCCCATTGCCCCGTTCCCCTCGCTATAATTGTGCATATGCGGCTGTATTTGTGGCGCGAGGCAAACGGAAATTTAAATTACATTTTTATTTTCATAAAGTTATGCTGTGAGGGTTGCAAAATTTACTTGTGAGGTTTGTTATCAATGGCAAAACAAGAAATGTGATTGACGGATTGACTGACTGATTGGTTGATGGATTACTTGATGATCAACGCACAGAGTACTGGCATACTGAGAAGTGACATATCCTGAAGTCTGACTGAGTGATTGATTGACTGGTTGATAGACTGATTGATTGATGATTAACCCACATTGACTGATTGACTGAATGATAAGGTGACTGATTGATGTTCAACGCCAAGACATAGCTAAAGGGGAATTTTAAATTATGACTAATTGACTAACTAATTTTTTGATTGATTGACAGATTGATGATCAATGCATAGTCCAAATAGTCAGAGATAAAATACTAGAATGTGTTTTAAAAGAAAAATACTAAATTCTGACTGATTGATAATCAACTCCCAGACATAACCATAGGGGCTAGAATGTTGGAATGTGTAGCAAATGAAACATGTTAAATTTTGACTGAGTGATTGACTGACTGATTGAAGCACTGATTGATGATCAACACACATGCATCATACAACCGTTTCTATGTTCAGAGAATATTGAGACAAAAAAATTGAAAATTCCTACCTCTTAGCTGAAAAGTTTGTGGAAATATACATGTGCTTAGAAGGGTATCATATGAGCGGCTTTTCACTGACAATTTTTCCTTTATGTTTGCGTCTTATTTATTTTTCCGGTTTCCGTTCGGCATGCAAATGGCTGAAAGCATTAGCAGCGCACGCTGGCTGTTAAGATTTTTGTTAAATAACATTTGGCCTAGCCGAGATGCAAATACAGGCGGCAACTGGGGCATGCGGCAACTGTGGCATGCGGCATGTAGCATGTGGCATGTGGCATGTGGCATGTGGCATGCTGCTAAAGTTTCAATTGAGTTACGGTTACAGTTGACTGCCTGCAAATAAAACTGCTTGCGGTTGCGACGGCACCCAACCGCACAGCTCAAGCCACATAACGTTGCCCGGAGTTTTGGGGCGGCGACCTAGAGGTAGACGTGGGCGCGTCTTTTGCTGGGCTGGGTCCGTAATAGACATGTGCGACAGTCCGCTGGCAAGTGCTGTGCCTGAGCTCAGCCTACGCTCCCAGACATTTTTTATGCGACAGCACCCACACACAAGCACGCACAGGCACACAACTAACACACCTCAAATCAGAATGCGTGCGATTTGTTTTTGCATATGTCACATTGTGTGGCTGTTTTTTAAGGCAATTACATGTTCTATCCTGTTCACAAGCTAACAGAGAGTATATTGGTTCTATGTCATATTATACTAATGTCATATATTACTCAAGTCCACCATTAATATATATATTTCCCATGTTTTAGTGTAAATGTATATACATGACATTCAAAGTTTTAAGGTCACTGAGTTAAAGTTTTAGAGTTGTTTCTATTTACCAAGATTGAAGTTTGAAAGTCACATGGGGAATACAGAGTTATATTCTATTAAAGTTTTAAAGTCACTTGGTAAAAGTTTTAGAGTCATTTCCAGTTATTGGGGATTACAGTATGAGAATCATTCTGTTTTACTCTAGTGAACGTTTGAAAGTCATTGGGTTACAGTTTGAGAGTCGGTTCTCTTTACCACGGTGGAATTTTGAGTCTTTTGGGTAGCTAGATTCCTGTTAGATTCAATTAAATTTACTAAGCTGACAGTTTGAAAGTGATTGGGATATAGTTTTAGAGTCGTTCACAGTTACTGAGACGACAGTTTAAAAGTCAATGTCTTTTTAGATTTAAATATACTTATTAAATTGACAGTTTTACGGACACTGCATATTACAGTTTTAGAGTCCCCAACTCCAGAATCAAGACAGCAATATTTGCACTATTTCGCAGCTGTTTTTTTTTTTTTTTTTAACAGGGTATGGCACAGTCGGTGACACTCGAGAGCAACTTTTGTTTGTAGTTGTTGCTTTTTGCGAGCTGTCTTGGCCTCAATTCGCGTGATTAACTGCTCAGACTTTTTTTTAGTGGCGCAGGACTGGGATTTAATATGCCCCCCAGCCCCTGGCTGGGTGTCGTGTGTGTGTGTGTGTAGGGGATGTGTTTGAGGGGGGGGGGATGGGTGTGACTTGTGTACATGCTTAGTGCCATCGATGCTGACGTTTCTTTGTCAATTGAGCTGTCACAAGTATTTGCTGCTATTTGACATTTGACCTTCAGCATTCACACACAAAAACACACACACGCACACACACACACACACACACACACACAGCGCGTTTGTTGTGCTGTCAGCGGCAGTTGTCTTTGTCTGCTTGGACAATGTTCGTCCCTATTTGACCGCAAATAATTTACAAATTTGCGGCTCACATGTAATATGTTTGCGAAATACAAATACAAATTGTATAGTCGCCTTTTAGACACGCACACATTTACATACACACACACACACACACACACGTACACACGCGCGCACACTGGAGAGCCTCATTAGAGCTTTAAATTGCATTTAATTTCGAGTCTGTTTGCTGGCGGCCAACTTTGCACTTCATTTAAATGACTTTTGCGAAACTAACCAAAAAAAAAAAATATATGTTATCAAATGCCGCCAGCAAACAATTAAATTATTGGCCAGCAGCAGCTGAGTGTGGGCCAAGTGGGCGGATTGGCCAAGGGCCAAGGAAATTATATTAATTATATTTTGAGCCCAGGCGCGTGGCTCACTTTGGTAACATTCATTAACTGTGTATTTATATTGTGAAAAGGCGCGGCTGCAAAAAGAACCAAAAATCGAGAACTTCTTGTCTAACACATACACACACACACACACACACACATAAAAGAGAGTACACGCACAAGAAGTTTTTAATGAGATATAATGGAAATTAAATACTTTTAGGGCCAATTAGCAGGTGTAGCTATGTACATAATTAATTTGCGTACAGTTTAACACTGAACTCACTTTTTTTTTATATTTAGATAATCTGATTAACAGGCCAAAAGCGCCTGACATGAGAACTCAGCGCGCTTATTATGCATTATTTAATTGAAATTGTTTACACAACACAAAATATAACTATTTGACTTTAAAGTAATTTGGTTTGAAAGCATTTTTATTTACAAAACTCGTTTGGCAGAATTTTTTTTTTTGAATATGTAAATGCCAGGCTAAAGCCATAAAAAAATCTGAATTTTTGATATATTTTCTTTTTGTGGCTTTCCTTCACAATTTTAAATTTTTTACACAGCACGAAAAAAAACTATTTGACTTTAAAGTAATTAAGTATAAAAATACTTTTATTTAAAATATATATTTGCAGTATTTTTTTTAACATGAAATCCCAAGTTGAAGCATGAAAATCTGCATTTTTGATATATTTTCATTTTGTGACTTTCCCTCAAATTTTAAATTGTTAACACAGCACAACAAATTTAAACATTTGAATTTAAAGTAATTATGTATAAAAATACTTTTATTTAAAAGATATCTTGCAATTTTTTTATATGTAGAAATCTCAATTTGAAGTCATGAAAAACTGAAATTTTGATACATTTTCTTTTTGTGGCTTTCCCTCAAATAATGTTGTGTACACAATTTGGAGTCGGTTTTTCTATTGCCCTGCCGCACGATATATAAATAATGGAAAAAAGGGGTTTGCCCTTTCCTTTTTTTTTTGCTTTGTTTTGTTGTGTCTTGCTTTTATGTGTGCGTTGCCAAAAAATGTTTTAACAATTAATTTGGGTCAAATACAGAGGAAGGCGCCGGAATGTTAATTACACTCAATTAGCCAAATTGTTGGCAATTTGTCAATTTGTCAATGTTGCGCAAACACACGGCAAGAAATACAATTTTCTTTCTAATTAGCAGCCGATTTCGTGCCTAACAAGAGGCAGGTGCCATGGAAATAAAAGCTGCATTTCAATTATAATCACCTGGATTAAAGCACAAATGTATTTACTTTTATATGCATATTAAATTCCAGTATCGTTTACTGCGATTGCTCTTATTATTAATGAGCTGGTGGATTAAAAGAACGCCTCATATACTCGGGCATATTATTTTGCGCAATAATTGCATTTGCTTTCAGCGCATTCGCATTTTAATTTCGCATTAATTACAACTTTGATTACGGCCGCATTTTTAATCCATTTAATACCGTAATTGTTTACGACAGCTTAACGCGCCTCAGATTCAGATTTAAGATACATGCACGTGTATCTATAAGATACAGCCCGTCCGCCACATTGATGCGGCGCTGCTTTTATTTTGCAATCAAATGGCAAATTGATATTTGCAACTGCAACACAAACTGACAGACAGACAGGAGAGACACAAAGGCATTTTCTCGGGCTAGCTGGAAATAATTTCCGTTGTCAGTTACCGGGCTTGATGAAAGTTGCAGCAGCTGCCAGTTCTTATGCCCAGTACCGCTCGATACTGGTCAAACGGGGTAACATGTCTCTTGACCAAATGTACGCTACAGGCAGAAGCTGGCAGAACGCTAAAGCTTTCATAAAAATCGGAACTTAAGCACCGAAGTTACTCAAACAGAATCACGTGCGTTCGTCTGTTGCACAACAGCTTTAACTAATTGCTAAATATTTCATACAAGCTCCGAAGTTAGTCAAGAATTTGGATCAAGAATCAAAGCGCAGCTCGCGGCCTGCAGACACGTGTGTTTGTGGCTAGAAGGCTAGCATGATTATGAGGACAGCTCTGAGCTGTTCTTAGGGTATTTCCTAGTTGGTCATTCCCATCTGAAGCAAGCTTGTTCACACAATTTGACAGTGGCTTATTTTTTGTGCAATCAAGAAGCGCTTTACAAATTCCTTCTGTGCTACTACTCACTGCGACTGGACGATGCGCTGACGTAGGCCGAGGAGCGGCGCTTAAAGCCGCTGGGCGCCGGTTCGACGCTGGCGGCGCCCGGGCCGACGCTGCTGCTGCTGGCGGGCAGGAAGCGGGACAGGGAGAGCAGGGTCTTGAACAGTTCGGTCACGTTGGTGTCCTCCTTGGCCGAGCACTCGACCACCTTGGCCCTGTGAATAAAAAGCGAGAAGAGTAGAACGTTCAGTGCCAGAAACTATGCATAAAGTTTGGGGCCAGCGGGTTGTTGCTGCATAAATTACGTATACGTAATGTGCACGCTGCGTATACGTAATGTGCACAACCCGAAAATAATGACGCACATTTGCATGACATGGCAACTTTTTGGGCCGCACAAAAACACGGCCAAAAAAAAAAAATCACAATGTTAGGCAAATTCGCACAAAAGCCACAAAAAAGGTAACACAAATGCAAACAAATGCACAACTTGAAATGCTAAAGCCCTTTTGGCCCTAGAGCACAACAGCTGCAAAAGCTGATAAAACTGAGCTATACCCTTCACCCTAGTCAGAAAATGTTATTGAACCAACTATGCCTTGGTTGAACCATTCTAGAGTACTTTCCAGTGGAGGCATACACTTTACAGGGTATTCTATTAGGAGTCTTTCCTACTTATTATCAAATCTCTTATTCCTAACTGACCTCAGTCGTGAGTCGCGAGTCGGTTTGGACCAGCCACGTGAGAAATAAACAGTTCCAAATTTTCTAGTAAATAAACCGAAACCAAAGCATAAACTATATACTCCATAGCCCTACTCTATCTACCCTATCTATCTACCCGCTGGTTACAGGGTATGACAAGTGCAACAAAAATATTCAATTCACAACATGCTCGTGGCGCACATCAACAAAGCTGACAGCGCTTTTTGCGGATAAAGGCATCGAATGAAAGCACACGCCGACAGCCGAAAAAGGCACTTGGGTGGTTTTGGCGGCTGCAAAAACAAGCTGCCAGCGGCAAACAGCGTTTAAATGGCTAAATTAGTCGTATCATGAATTTAGCCAGCGTTGCGGCGAGCTGCTCAATTGCCTTCTCGCTGTCAACGGAAGGAAGGGTGTCAAATGGCGGCGGAAAACTTAGATTTTTCGAGTATCTGGCGGAATGTATTCGAAATGCGGCAGGCTCAAAAACTGACAAGTTTCTAGCTTGCTAGCTTTTTTTCCTTTCAAGCTGGGCTGTGTGAAGTGTTAGCTAGTTACAGTTACTGTAAGCTGAGTGTGACCACATTTTTAAAAGAAAATTAAATATTACTTTTTGGCAAAAATCAGATTAACTACTAAGTTGCTAGCTTTTACTTTTAGCTGGAGTAGTTTTTGTTTTAAATTGATAGCAGAGTGTGACCGCGTTTTTCAAAACCAACTACTTGCAACTACAAAAAACTGAATGTGACCGTATTTTTAAAACAATTTGTGCACGTTTCTTTGTAGGAGAGCCACCTCTTAGAAACTTAAAGCAAAGTGTGACCGCACTCTTTAAACAAATTATAATGAAAATATAAGCAATTGCAGACAAAAAAACTTCAGCCACTTGCAGATACTGTTTACCGCATTTTATAAAATTAAATAACATATGCAAATCATATTAGCTGCTAACATGCTATCTTTTTCGTGTTTAACAAACCTGGCAGATACTTAAAAAAAAAAGCAGAGTGTGACCGCATTTATTAATATGAAAATGCCAATTTTGTTGAATATCTGGCAACGCTAAAGCTAGCACAGATTTGAAAAGCTCTGTCGAGGCTTAAAGTCTTGTTGCTTATAAAAAGAGAAAACTTTTTTTTTTTATACCTTCCCTTAAAGAGCTGACCTAATGCAGGGCTTGCAAAAAATATGAATTGTTAATGCAGCGCATGCAATAACAATAAATCAAACAGTGTTAGCTACATGAATTGTTTATATTGAAAAGCCAGCGAACTGGCAAAAACGTTTTATGTTTATGTTTGGCAAAATAAACTACTTATGCAATTGCGAATTGCGAATTGTGGCAGGGCAGGTGCGCGAGAGCGTTTAACCGCAGACAGACACGCGCCAACAAATTGCAACCATGTTGCACATGCAACATGCCAGCGCTGCAACATGTTAAGGGCCACAAACACCAAAAACCCAAGCTGCCAGCCAGAACCGCAGAGGCCGCAACAAAAAAGTGCACAGGCTGGCACGTGAAGTGCAAATGTGCGATGAACAGTGGCAGCAGGGCTCGAATCAGCAGCAGCAGCAGCAGCAGAGGCGAAAAGTTCAAGGTGCGTTTCAGCCGCATCATCAATCTGCTTAAATGTTTAATCCAACAGAGATTTGTATATATTTACATATATTTATATACATGCAGCACTGGGAGAAAAAACCGAGCAAGTTCGAGCTCAAACCAAGCAGAAATGTTATCCAAATTCAAGTTTCTTCAGCGGAGATAGAAATTCTTTTAAGAAATTTCTCTTAGCGGGAATTGCACAACTAATTTTTTAATGAAGTCTGATGAAGTCTTCAAAATGAAGCCTTGTTTCAAATTTGTTCAGTTCGAGTTCGAGTTGCCCACAAGTAATTGAATCAATCAAACATATATGTTCGATTGTGTTCGATCTCGAACATGTTGCTGAGTAAGCTGTTGGAGTAACAGATCGAACTTTCCTTACATAACTCGAGTTTGTTGCATCGCTTAGCTTATCAAATAGTTCGAGTCGTTTGAGTTTGATATACATGTAAATATGTGAAGTACAGCGCTCGATCAAACTTTGAATTATTTTATTTCACTCAAGCCTCAAGTCGAAACTTTGCTTTTCTCTGAGTGTTGGTTGTATATGTGTGAGTTCTGCGCTTGCTGCTTGTGTCTGTGCTTTTTATGTGTGTGTATATATATACATATTTTTGTTTAAATAAGTTTACACACGCTTGCTTAAACCGCCGCACGAGCCGGTCACGCCTTGTGCCTGGCCCGCGCTGCCCCGGCCCGTTCGGTTGCCTGCGGCGCTTAAAATTATGGTTAAGTGCGGCCAACACATTGCCCAGATCCAGAAACGGAGTTACCTGCCTCGGCACTCTCCACATTCATTCCCCACACCTGACACCCGTGCGCCTGTAAGTGATTTTTATGGACGTGCAGTTTATTAAGGACACAATTAGGTGTGCGTGTGTGTGTGTGCGTCGTCTGTTCATAAGGGCGTATAAATAAGCAAAGTGCGGAAGTTAATTTTAAATCGGGTTGAGCTGCGGCGTCAAGTTTAACAGCAAGGTTCTGCACGAATTGCTGGCAGCGGCGCCGTCACGCAAATTGAGCTTGTTGTAATGTTTCTTTTTTAAGACTCTAACATAAACACATTAAAAACATGTTAAAACCTGGCAACTGGCAGTGTAAAAGCAGCTCTCTCTTTCTCTTTCTCTCTCTATCCCTTTCTCTCATAGATGCACTTTGCACATAATCAATATACTCTCTTTCACTTGATGAACAGGGTATTGAAATTTTTTCCACACGCGTCGTCTTAACTCTAGTTAAGCTGTGATCAAATTTTAAGTGTCTGACATAGTTGCCAGACTTTTGAGAGCTTTTCGAACTTAGCTCTGAAAAGTTCAATAAAACAGATTTTACCTTTAGAACCGAAAAATCACATTTTTGAGGTTGCCAGACTTTCGAAATCTTCGTGAGCTAAGCTCATTTATGTTTAGAATCGATAAATAAGAATTGTAGAGTTGCCAGAATTTTAATATCTGCTTAAGCTATGCTCTTTATATAAGAGTTTGGCTTCAATGTCGTCAAATTTAGAACACTAAACAGTGAAAGAATTTTGATATATTTTCGGGCCTAGCTTTGATCAATGTTTTCACTGACATTTTGACTTTACAGCCAGACTAGCTAGTGACAGAGTTGCCAGACTGTTTATATTTTTAGAATATGTATTTTTGAGAAAACTGCAGCACAGAGTTGTCAAAGAGAGCCGTCTGACAGTCTGACTCTTTCTTATACTCACAGCTGCTAGAGCAGTCAGAAGGCCGAACATGTAGCATGTGAGGCATTCATCGCATACCTTAATACCCTGTAAAAACAGCGTTTAGCTAGAGACTTCATTAAATACGAAATTTACTTGGCTTGGAAGACTTCCTGTTTAAGCATTGCATGAATACGCAGCTTTGAACCGCAGCAAATTGTGCAAAGGACCCAATTTAAATGGCATTTGAATGCAGCCTTGTCTTCGTTTAGGAGCTGCTTAGCATGCAAGGCGCAATGCACGCCGAGTCGAGTGCATTGAACGTCCTTGCCGGATGAGGAATATCAATTCAAATTGGTCAGAGACAGACAACAGCTGAGTGGCAATTAGGGTGCATACTGTATACTATAATATATTAGGGGGACGAACGGGGACAATTGGCAATTTTCGCTGCTTGTTTTCGCACCATTGCAACGAGTTTTGCCAGCCAAATGGCCAACTGATTTTGGTAGCTGCTGTCACCAGCCACACCCTCCATATCCCCCCAACCCCACTCATCGGCTGGTTGGTGGGCGGGGGGGTAGTCACGCTTTTTGTCGCTTAATTTCATTTGTTGCATTTAATTGCGTTTGTCGGCAACTGCTGTGGCCCACATTTGTTTTTAGCCACCAGAAATTTATTGCACATTTTTATTGCGCTTTTTGCTGGCCATTACTTAGGACCAAAGTGTCAGAGAGTTAAGCGACTAAAGAGATACTCTGCTTAAATAAATACTTTATTATTTATTCTTAAATATGTTCCCTGTTAAAGATTCGATGATTATTTAAGCACTTAAGCTTGATAATCAAATTATTATTTCTATGAGAAGCGCAGAGAAAGGCGCACAAAAAGTAAAATATTCATGGATTGTCTAATATATGAGTATTAATATGGGTTTTTCTTGCTCCTTATAATTTATTCTAAAATAAAGTCTGCTTAAGATCCGATTAATATTTTAGAACCTTAAGTTGATAATATAATATAATTTCATTTGAGAAGCGCAGAGAAAGGCGCTCAAAAAGGACAAATTAGTCAAGGCTTATCTACTATATGAGTCACCTTAAAGCTGTTGCGACTGCCTGTTGCAAATGCCTGGCAACATTCATTTACAGGGTAAATAAATGGCTATTTTGCGGCTTTTGTTCCGCTTTTCATTTTAGTTTTTCATTGCACAACTTTGGCCATTTGCTCGCACTTGGCCTAATTGCAGCTACAGCTGTTGTTGCAGCATTTAAATGAACTGGCATTTGCATTTTGTTGCTATTCAAAGGGATAATTAAAGCAATATCAGTGACATTGGCATTGAGTGGACCAGCGTGGGCGTGTGAAACTCACCTGAGGCGTGGCAATTCGCAAAAGACCCAATCTGTGACCTCCTCCTGCCGCACCTCCCGGTGGGTGGTTGCCAAGTCGGCCTTGTTGCCAGCAATAACAATGGGTATATCCTGCAAATAGAGATAAAGAATAAGTCCCGGGCGCTGGGCTAAGCTGCTGCCACAAAAGAGACTCGGCTATAATTGACACGCACAATGCCAGCGCCAGGCAAAAGAAAAACAACAACAACAACTTGCCCGAAAGACTTTTGGCCAAGTTCTTAAACTTGTTTTTTTTTTGGGTTATTTTCCTATTTTATTTCTGTTGTACTTTTAATTGCTTTGGGGCATTGAAATTGGGTTACATGAGGGATTCATTTTTGCTTTCTTCATATTTTGCACATATTTTATGCCTGCTTCGCGCTAATTGCATGCAAAATGCAAAGGCAGGGAATGGATGAGTAGAGGGGGATGGGTGGCTTCAGGGATTTGCAGCTCACCTGAAAGTCGGCGCGCTGTTCGCGAATCTCCTCGAAGCATTGCTTGACACACTGAAAGCTGGGCGCCGATGTTGTTGCATACACCAGCATGAAGGCGTGGGCCGTTGCGATGGAGAGGCGTCGCATGGCGGGGAATTGCATGTCGCCGGATGTGTCCAAAATGTCCACCTGTGAACGACAACAACAAGTTAAGGCTTACAAAGCAGCCGCATTTAATTAAATGCGCGCTTCAAACAAACGCAAAGCGCCTAAAATGTGTTACGCGGCGTATGCGTGATTTTTTCGAAAAGTGTCACGCATACGCCACGTTGTGCGCGGTTAAACATTTTTAATATGCAGCATTAACAGCTACCACAAGCTGGCCCAGAAGCACATTTTTGCCAAAGGCAAAATTTAATTTTAAAACCAAATTCCACTCAACTGCATTTAATTGCTTTTTCGTCTATGACATAAATTGATTTCTAGCACTCCAATTGCAAATAAAACTGACATGAACTGTAATTGATACTAAATTGATTATAAAACTGCACCAGAAATTGAATTTGTCCAAAAACTCGTTCAGCCGTAGCTTTAATAATAAAAACGTTATACCGTAAGCCCATTTTCCATTTGGCAGCAGCAACATTTCATATGTGTCTCAAATGGAGACAGCTTTAAAAACAACTGCAAATATTTCGAAATTGTGTGTGTGTTTTGTTGCCTTTGATGCCCTATGCAATGGGGTACTAATGTGACTGCGATAAATGGCACAAGAATAGTTATGCACATCTTCTTCCAAGTCTTGGATTTATCTCTTATTTGAGTCAGAGCTTAAAATCTATATCTCGCAGCTAACTGGAACTATAGTTACATATATTTGAATACCTTTTAATCAAATTCAAGTGGCATTTTTGTCGCAAGTGTATTTAAACTTCGACTTTGTTTATCTTGCACACACAAACTCGCAAAAATATAGTCTAGTTAAAATATTTTTGTATGATATGTATTGAGAGCATTTGCGCATATTCAAAGCCCAATTTGCATGCTCAAAATAAACAAGCTGCATTTTGTGGGCTTATCTTATTTTATTTGAGACTTAAAGCGGCTTTGGCACCGGCACATAAAAATGGTAATAAAAAATGGTATTAAGCAAATCGGCCAACTGTCAACTAATTTTGAATTTGAGAATTGAAAGTGGGCTGAGCACGGGTCATGCTCGCCTGATGCCAGCTAATCCCAAGCGCCGGCATCTGTTATACGCATATTAATAGACTATTGTCTGCCAGACAGACGGACAGTGGGACAGACGGGCGGGCAATGTCAAAAGCATATGCCAAAGCCGAGCATTTAGCGACTGCGGTTAAAGGCGACATCGAGTAGACACAACCAGGACACGGACACGGACACGGACAAAAACACGGATCCAGAGCTCGTCCATTGTCTGCCTGGCGGCCATTGTTCGACAATTTGCAGCGCATTGTTGCAGCAGTCGCTGGCCAAAAGTAAGTTTATTATAAAATGCGCGAAAATGGCGACGTGCGACAACAATGGGGCCAAAACATGTTCCAGCTGCGCTGGCAACGAATTGCCATTAAGGCCGCGCTGTTTGTGGCCACAAATGTTAAACGCTCAACAACAACAACATTCTGTTTAACATGGCCCTAATGTGCCGATTCGTGTTCGTAACTACTTTTCGCATTCGAAGCCAAGTTGATTGCTCGCAGCTGCTGCGACAATTTAAACTGCGCAGACCACGCGCCGTATGCGTAATAAAACTGGAAGTCTATGGGAAAGGCATGAAGTAAAGGGGGTGTTTAGTCCGTTTGTGCCTATGCAAAAGATGGGTTGCGGGATATATATATACGTGATTTGAATCAATATATGACTCGTCTTAATGTGCGCCTGTTCCCAATGCTGGAGGTTGAAATAGAGGCTATGTTGGAGTTGTGCCTTCTTGATCAGAATCAATAGAGAGGTTGTTTTAAGAAGGTCAGTCTGTCTGTCTGTCATACATAGTCATACATATTCTAAATCACAATATATATATTTATATATTCTTAATCAGAATCAACAGACAAGTCGCTATAATCATGTCTGTCTGCCTGTCTGTCTTTCTGTCCATTTCTAAGGATATGTCCATTAGATAGCATGGTAAAGCTGTAGCTTGAAATATAGATTACAATTTAGTTGTGGCATACAAAAAAGGCGCCACATATATATATTATTTGATCATAATAACACTCGTCAGTTCTCTCTCTTGTTATCTGTTCGTATATGCAGCGAGGCTCAGCAAGAGCGTAGCCTCAGGTCTAGGGTATGCAGAGCGCCTTATAAGGCTAAACACAAGCCGCACAACAGGGTATCTTAACGTCTGTCAATCTGAGGCATGTTCGCTTGTTTTAGCAACTGCCTTAAAGCCACACAGATCTGGCCGCCTGCGGCTGTGAAAATTCAATCAAATGCGTCGCATTCGGGCATTCGACTTTTAACTAACAACAACAGAAAGTTAGTTGCACGACCACACCCACAGCCCCGTTCCCGGGTCCCGGCGTTAAAATGAAATTAATTAAAACAAAAATCCTGACGCTGATGATATTGTCGATGATGCCCGCACGAAGGGTGTCAATGTCGCCCTCAACGCAGTTTAGTCAACATCAATCGCCATGGCAACTGGCAAAGAGTGGGTGGAGGGGTGAGGGGGTCAGGGTATGGGTGGCCGTACTGCAGCAGCAACACCTATTAATCAAGTTTTTGTTACAACTTTTGCGGCAAGTCGCTCGGCGTTAACGTGGGGCCAACTTGCGAGGCAGCAAATAATCAGCTCTTACGGCAAGCCCGAATGATGTTGCCATCACAGAGGGCGTGAGGGCTTCAGGGTAGGTGGGCGTGGGCAGGCAGCCAACCCATTCTGCACACAATATGCATAACATGGTGTGTACGTGTCTCAAATTTTGCAGCAGCCACAGTTTTTGAGGCGTAGCGTGTAAATTTGATTAATGAGTTCGCCAGCATTGAGCTGCCAGTTGTCGGCTTGTCTAAGCTCGAGCTAAGCTCCAGCCAGACTCGAGCATGTGGCCGCAGGCCAAACTATGTGTATTAACCCATCTCTACTTTACTTTACATGCGCTCAATTTGCTTGGGAGCCGCAGTCTTTCAATTTAAATATTTAATGCATGCCGCATATACCTAGTATTGAAATTGAGCCCCTTCTCTAGCTAGATATCCAAGTGCTTTAACTGGCTTCTAACTGAAACGATTTAAGGGGACCTAAAGCTGGCTGTACTCGATTCATGCTGTATTTAAAGCTGTTCAGAATACTTTTGGCCATAGCTTCATGTATATAAGTTTTAACCCCATTCCAAATAGTCTTGGGCTCAAATTGAAAACTTCCATAACTTTCTCTAAGCTCAACTTTATTTTATTTCTTGTATAGAGCTTTTGCCTTTGCTTATGTTTTCGCCTCATTATTAATTCTTTAATTCAAATTGACAGCACAACATTAAGTCCATTTTCATGAAAGAAAGGCTTATTCTACTTTCAACCTGACTTGGGCTCAAGTTTTAAGCTTCCATAATATTGTCTCAGCTGAATCGATTTTCTGGATAAATAAATTTTTGCTTATGGCTTAACTCAATTAATTCGGCAAACTTTAAATTGGCATTTAAATTTTATATGGCTTATATATATAGCTTATATTATATGCGGCCTATTGCCACAGTTTGGTTTATTTTATTTATTTTTTTTTTTTGCATATTTTGCGGCAGCTCAGTTGCATGCAACTTATATGCAGGCCGCACTTGGCAGCTCTTTGACTACAATTTTGATTTAATTAGTGGCTCAGCTCAAATTGTTTGGCAGCAGACACAAACCACACACACACACACGCACACATACACTCGCACACACACACACAGAGAGACATTTACTGCAACTCGAGTGCACTCAGCGAGCAACAATTGAAAGTCAGCAGACAATAAAATGCAGTTTAAATGTCCCGGAAGTCGCCTAAGCTAACAGCAATAGAAATAAAAATAAAGTGAAACAAGTCAGAAATAACCTTTAGCTGCGGCAAGCCGAAGCTTGAATACCCTTTAATGCATGCGTATTACATATTTGCAGACATGCGAGTCGAATAGCTGAGCTTAACTTAAGCAGGAAGTTTATTGTTTGCCTAAGGTATCTATATGCTATAACAGTCCGATCTGGCCAAGTGCAACATATGTGCAACATATAAGCGACATACTTGAATCATATATGCAGCATATGTGCAGCATATGTGCAGCATATATGCAACATATGTACATGCAACATATATGCGAAATAAGTATGCATTAAATAGACCAAGAATTAGATAAAGTTGACTAAAACTAGCATTAAAGGCATAAACTAAATGTACTCTGCTCGTGATACTGATCACGAATGTATATAAATATATATATGTACACAAATATGTATATGAAAACCCATTTAATGCCAAAATGAAGATACCCTTTATGGCTATAAAAACCAACAACTAAAACGTTTACTTTGTTAACTGTGTTGCATGCAGCATCAATTGCTGCCACAATTGGTGGCAAGCATGTTAACACACACACACACACACATAGACACTCTCCCATACAATTGCCATTGTAGCTGCACTTGCCACTAAAAGCTTGCCCCATGGTATTGCACTCACCTTTAGCGTGACGCCGCCGAGGTCATATTCGCGATTGTATAGATCCTCGACGGTGGCGCGGTATTTGTCCGTATAGCTCTTGAATAGGAAACGCTTCACAATGGAGCTCTTGCCGACGCCCGCGCCGCCCAGCAGCACGAGTCGTATGCGTTCCAGATCCGCCATGTTGTTGTCCTTCTTTTACTTTTGCAGCTGCGGTGTTTGACTACTTCCGGTTTACAAATCGCTTGCAGTTAAATAAATTGTACAAGTTGATCCTTTGTTCGAGCTGAGAAATCTCAATTTTCTTTCGCTTTCAATTGCGCTGCCTTTTTTCTTTGTTCTAAATTCTAGAATTCACTTCAACTTGAATTTCGGCATTATCTAGATATATATATACTTAAATCTATATATATGTTTGTATATATGTATGCAGCACTTGACTTGAGCTCCAGCTGGAGCTGCAGCTGGGGCTGTTCTCACTTCCGCTATCAATTTGTTCTTTCAGCTCATTGGCAGCACTGGAAAACAGCTTAAGCTTCCGCCAGCAGCAACTTCGACTTCCGTTTCCGCCGTAGCCCTGCAAACAAAGGCGAAAAATATTGTAAAATCAAAGTTAAAGTTTTTTTTTTTTTTTTTTGCCGTTCAACTACAAGTCCGCGGGGCATTGTGCAATATTATTTTTGTGCTTATGTTTGTGTTTCTGCGGGCCTCTGTTTATTATTCTATGATAATTGCTAAATTGCAATAACAAGATTTTTGAGCCCAGCTGTTAACCTGTACACGTTGACTATGCACGAGCCTTTGCATATTCCCATTTGCCACACAAATTGCCATAAACTACAAGCAATATGTGAGCATGTGTGTGTGTGTGTGTGTGTGTGTGTGTGTGTGTGTGTGTGTGTGTGTGCGTGCTTCGACTGTATCAATGTAATCATAATCTGTGCACGTGCTACCATGAATATGCTCGCAAACATTGAGCCAAAGGGATGCAGCTGCATTCGCAGATCTGTTCAACTTATCGATTGCCAGCACAAATACGTAGCACGACTTGGCAATACCCTGGCTTGGAACAAGGCTCTGACTATGCGAATCAACTGGGCTGTGGAAAATTAGCTGCACAAATCGTGTCGAGCTTTCTTTTAGCATACAACTTGGCATACCTTTATCAAAGTCTTCACTTATTACAGGGCATAATCACACAACGTCATTGGACATAAGCACACACTCGCACACACACACACACACACACCTGGCTGCACACGAATGCCAGAGAAATAGAGTAGCAAAAATGTATGTAGGCAAAACGAAAGGTATTGCAAATAAACCCTCTGAAAGCAAACGCTTTGTGCATCGGAAGCTAAGAAGCCCTCAGCTGAATTGCACTCTCTCTCTCTCTCTCTCTCTCTATCTCGCTCTCTATCCCTCCTCCCTCACTCTTTCTCTCACTCTGTCGGACTGTCTGTTTGTGTATTGCAATTCACATGCTAAGTGCAGCAGCCAATTGAATTTGCCATTAAAGCAGCTGCCTTAAAGCAATTCCCAACTGTGTGCACCTGAGAGCCTTAAGTTAACAGCCTGTCGAGCAGCAGCAGCAGCTGCTGTCTAATTGCAACTGCAACGTGATCTAATTAAGTTACCTGGCAAATGCAATTTGCTGACATCAGCTGACAGCAGCAGCCGCTGACAGTTTCGATTATGCATGTGTTAATTACTCGCGAAAAAAACAAAACTAGAAATAGCAATAGAACTAAAAATAAGAGTGTATGCAAATGTGCAAACAAACACCTCAGAGGTGTTAGCCAGGTTAGCCAATTGAGGAGAATTGAAAATAGTTTAGCCAAATGTCGAGCAGAGGCTGCGAGTCGCAACTTTAACTGCAGCTGGATGCAAGCCGTGTATCTGCATTGGAGCAGCTTTGTTGTGTCCTCACGAGGTAACCGAGGCGCCAGTTACCTGGTTACCTGGCAAATTACAAGAGCTTTACATGTGCATATGCAAATTGTGGACGCTCGTTTAGCATTGTATTTATGAGAGTCATGCTGCAGCGCAAACATAAGCATTCCCAGAGTGTGTGTGTGTGTTGCCCCTTTTCATTAACAATCGGCGGGGTATATTGGTTAGCAAGAGCAGAGTTCCAGTTCTAAGCTCCAGGTACTTTAATGATATATTTAAAAGGGTCCCTGAATTCAAAACAAAGGCATTCCCAGAGAGTGTGAAACCACTTTTCAATAACAATGGGCAGGGTATTAGGATTGTAAGCCCCATAAAGACGGACGAAAGATTTGCGTTGTAGTTGATATTGCACTAAAAATAACAGCATAAGTGTATTCCGTGATCAGCAAAAGGATCAGCTTAGTTGTGAGCCAGTCACCGTGACTGATAAATATCGTGATCGCTCAATCTTCGACCATCTGGCAGCTCTGGCATGCGCCTAGCTGAAGGGTAACTGAAAGTCAAGCACACTCAATGTCCGCATGCTAATTTGTTTTATTTGGCTTTCGTTTTTTTTTTGTTTAGTCAAAAGTTGTTATGGAAATACGGCGCCCCGGCTATAAATGCATTTGAGGCTGCAAATCTGCTTCAGCTGCTGCTTTAATTATTATCCTGCAGCACGTACGTAAAGTGTTTTTCAAAATAAATAGAATATTTCAAGTAGTTCAAAATTTAACTGGCATCAAATGGACTTGCGAAAGCGTTGGCTGTATAATTCCAATTGCCAACAACAAAGTTATGGAAACCATATGCAGCACATATTAAAACATAACTTATAAGTTTTCTGTGACTTAAAGTTTGGTTTAATAATGCTTTTGGTTAAATAATCTTTTCTAAATAGTTTCAAATTATACTATTTAAAGCTTGCTCTAATTCCCTATAAGAAAATTTGTCTCAGCAACACAGCAAGTGCTGCCAAGTTAACAAACAATATATATTTCCCAAGGGAAATTTTTATTTAAATTGTAACTGCTGCCTGATCTGCATTAATAAGTATATTGTGCAGCATACTCTTGGGCTGGGCAATAAATGAGCTGAGACTATTAGACCTAACAAATCAGTGCATACTTTTGTGCGTAGCTGAAAGACATGTGCCTCATACTAATTCATATAAATTCAACAAACAAACACTAATAATATATAAATTTTTGATTGTAATTATTTTTATAATAGTTGTTGACTCTGCGACAAATAATTAAAATTTGCTTTCAATGTGTTTTATGGCTGAAAATCGCCTTCAAAGAGAAAAACTCTTGTAAGAATTAATTCAATTTACCGCAGTCCGACAGAGAGAGAGGCAGACAGAGACAGAGAGCAAAAGTTGAGCGCAACCTTTGCCATGTTTTTCTATATAAAATTTTAATTAAATCTACTAGGCCTACGCAAGCCATACACACACACACACCCACACACACACACCCACACACACACACACACAGCTAACAAGACACCAGCTGTGCAACAACAAGAACAACAACAACTGAAACAAGATGAACAATTGTGAATTCTTGAAGTGAACTTTGCATTGTTGTCATCGCCCGCCTCGCTTTACATTTTAAAGCAACTCAAGACTGGAAACTTGAATTCATTTTTGCTTTTTTTTTGTTGCAAAAGATTTCACAGAAAAACAAAACAACCCAAAAAAAAAAAAAGAATAGGGGAAAATAAAAGAAAAATATGGCTGTTGTTGACATTTCTTTTGAATGGGCGTGGGGCATAAATATTTTTTTATATTCTCCCGCCCGGGATGCTCCTAAAAACTTTTGCGATGCGTGTAATTTTTGTTGTGCTGTGTTTGTTTTGACTGCCGCCTGCTCGGGCAACTGTGCAATAACAAATGTTAGGGTTTTCCTTCGAATTTTCCCCTTTTTTTATTTTTCATATGCAATCAATTTTTGTATTTTGTTATTTTGTTATTTTGCCTGTTAGCTTGGGCATATGTTTAGGTGAAATTGAACACAGGTTGCGAACAGGTTTTATTGATAGAAAGAAGAGCTTCTTAAAGATTACAATGCCGACATGGCTTCAACACGAAGCTGCCATTCAAAATGTCATCAAAAGCACATTTGTAAAATAAGCAGCTAGTATGTGGCTATTGATCGACCCGACTACGCCATACTCTGCTCACAATTCCAATCACAGCCGAGCAGTGGCTTCACAAAGACTCTTAGAGTCTTAAGATAAGTTCAATTTCATTCAAACTGGGATTTTTGAAAAGCGCATCGAATACAACTATTTGAGTCGAACGATTCAAGCTGTTTGAGCTGGTTGCGTTCGAGCTCGAACATGTTGCTGACTCGAACGAATATCTATATGCGATATTCGTAAGCTCAAGTCCTCGGTTTTTGATCGAGTGAATAACTTACTTGACCATTTTTGAATAGACAAACGCACGGCAAGACTTGAAGGACAGCAAAACCTATATTCTCTCTTACACTGTCTGAAATAGGGTATAAGAAGAAGTGGCGCAATAATGGGGCTGCACTCAACGCTGCTTTGTGTGCAACACTCGTAATGCCAACGCAGAGCACGATAAAAACCAAGCACTGACGCTTAACAAACACACAGACACACACACACACACACACACAAAGCAGCACGCACACACACAATCACTCACACGCAGGGATTAGAGAGCGAACGCATGTGAGATTGTCATACATGTGAGCCTGTCGCCCGTCGCCCGTCGCATGCCAAAAGCCTGGACTCTGACTTATGAAGCCAGCAACAGCTGACAGCAACTGCTCCGCAAATAACGCAGCTCGTTGTTCTACTTCACACACACACACACACACACGAACACACACACGTGCATACTTGCCCCTCTCTGCAGCACATGTGAAATTGTTGGCCAGCAAATTTATAAATATTCATTAGCCTATTGGAACGCAGGGGCCGCTGCTCGGCCAGCTGCTCGGAATGTAGTTTATTAAAATACCTCAAATAACGCTGGGCCATCAAATTGGAAGCTGGCAGCTGACAGAGTTGCCAACTTTCACAAAACACTAGCTAAATCGAGTGTTGGAAAAAGCTGCCAAATAATTCTCCCGAGTAACTAGAAAAAAGTTAAATAGGCAGCACTGCCAATGGCTAAGCGCCGTAGCTGCAACGATAAAGCGGGGTTTTGTGTTTTTTTTTTTTTAATGTGTTATATATTTAAAATATAAGCAGCCATATTAAGCTAGAAAATAGCCAAATGGGCAGCACTGCCAACGGTCAAGAGCCGAAGCTGAAGCTGACGCCGAAAACGGAATCGGAGTCGAATTCGAAGCCGCAGACCACAAAAAAAATAAAGCATGCTAAAAAAAAAAGATGGCAACATTGTGCGACTCTGTGTGTGTGTGTGTGTCCGTCTGTGTGTGTGTGTGGTGTCTAGTGTGTGTGGTTTAGATGCGCGCATACTTCCGCTTGATCGCACTCTGGCTGCCATTTGGGGGCAACATTGTTGCGGGCTGATAACTGGGCCCAAACCTTTTGGCCCATCAAGCGCTGACAAGTGCGAGCTTCATTCTTCTTCCCCGTTTTGATTTTTTTTTGTGGCAGCGTCAGCTTATTTGTGGCTTAAATCAGAACTGGAACTGAGAAGTAACTGGAATCGCTTGCATTACAATATATCAGCATGTATTTATGGCCGAAACGAGCAGTTCTTTTGGCCAAGCAGCAGGCTTTTTGGTAAATTGCGTATGGCATAAATGATGTATAGACTACCAGATACCCTGTACAGCAATTTATGTTAGGCATTTTCACTTGTCTGTTAATTAAATCATGTTATTTCAAGTATTTCATACGAAGGTAAGTATTTTGTGTGTGTGTGTGAGTGGATGTGGGTGTGTGTGTGTGTGTGTGGGTGTGTTAGTGTGTGTGTGCATTTATGTATATATGTATGCATTCATGCTTTTTTTCTAAAAACAACCGCAGACCAAGCAAGCTGCAGATTTAAATAAAACAAATTTCTACCAAGTGCTGTCCTCCTCGATTCTCAAAAATTCAAGTAGGCCCTGCTGAAATTCAACAAGGCAGGAAACGTTGGCTCCAACGGCCGCTGGAGGAGCAACTAGAGGCGGAGGAGCATGAGGAGGCGGGTAAGTGGATATGTATGTAGATGTAGATGTATGTATGTATGTAGATGTATGTATGTATGTAGATGTATGTATGTATGTAGATGTATGTATGTATGTAGATGTATGTATGTATGTAGATGTATGTATGTATGTAGATGTATGTATGTATGTAGATGTATGTATGTATGTAGATGTATGTATGTATGTAGATGTATGTATGTATGTATGTATGTATGTATGTATGTATGTATGTATGTATGTATGTATGTATGTATGTATACATGTATACATGTATGTATGTATGTATGTATGTGTGTGTGTATGTATGTATGTATGTATGTATGCATGCATGCATGCATGCATGTAGCATGTATGCATGTTTGCATGCCTGTATGTATGTATGTGTGTATGTTCGAGTACATGCATGCATATATGCAAAATAAACATGCATACAAATATGTGGCAACATAAACATATATGCAAACTTAAAACTTTAGCTTTGAATTTCATTTCTACAGAGGAAGCTTGGATTCTGCGGAAAGTGTAAAACACAGCTCAAATTATTTTGCATATACAAAGATGCTTGGAAATGAAATTGACGGATGTATTTTCCACAAACTGCGATACAGTCATCAGATGAATTTTGTCAACGATTATCGAAATTGTTTTTGAAGCTGATCGGCTGGTAAGTGAATATTTGTATACAACCGTTTTTTTACTAATTTCCAAAACTCTGTAACACATATTCATAAGATTCTTATTTTTATTATCCACTGTTGCGGGTGGAATTTCCCAAGTCTCTGTAAGATTATTATTTAGAGCTTTTCAAATAAGTTAAATGCACATCGGACAAAACATAATATAGATGACAAATTGATCTAGTGGCCAGCCATGAGAAAAGACCTAACTATAGTGCATAGCGGATGAGTTTTGACCGAGTTATGGGGATAGATATTATGATTTCTTTTATTGTTATAAATTATTAAAAGCAACTGTGCAAAGCCAAAAAGTAATTGCTTGTGGCGCTTCCCATTACAGTTAGAACCAGCATGCTGGCTTAGAATTCGCCGCTTAAAGCTGATTTTCCGCATCCTTGAGCACAGTTTTCAATTCACATATTTTCAAATTTGATTTAAATTTGTAAGTTTATAGCTGCCCGCTGTACTGAAAATATTCGCAGGCCTTGAATATACTCATATACAAGACGCGGGCTACATTTTTTTGGCTAGTCCAACACTGGCAGCTATTGAATATGGTTAGATGAATGCAATCTCTCCCTCTCTCGCTCTCTTCCATCTCTCTATTTGCATCTCTTCAGCCATTCGGGCTCCGATTCACTCGCATAACTCGCCCAGTTTGGACTGCAGAGTAAAGAATTATTTGTTCGAAATAGTTTGCTTTGCTGAGATATGTGAAAATGGGTTTGCGTTTGATCTAAAGCTGAACCAAAATATATTTTTAAGCTAACAAACTGAAATTGGCCAAGCCATAGACGTATCAGGCGGCAGCTCGAATCGGGCCGGTCAGCCGCTTAAGCTCATCCAATTGCAGCTACAGGGTAATAATTAGTTCGATTTCTGGCCATTTAATTAAAGTGTGTGTGTGTGTGTGTGTGTGTTTTTGCTGATGGATGGCCCCGTGCGGCTTTGCGGCGCTTAAATCATAAAAGCCGCTTTTATGTTGCATACAAACAGGCGCTGCTTCCATATGGCTGAAAAGTATGCAAAGCTTTGGCCCCAAATTAAGTGCAATTAATTCGGAACGCTTAATGGAGTCAGAACCACAGCAATAAACAAATTATTTTATGACCTTAGCCAGGCCACAGCACTGTGTGTGTGCGTGTGCGTGTGTCTAGTTTGTTGTAGCTCAACTAAGTTGTGGCTGCTGGGCTTAATGATTACAAACTGGCGTCAGACGGTGACTAAAAACAGGGCCAAAAAGCGATGCCGTTAAACTGTTAACGGCTGCTCTCCATGACAGATACACACACTGAGACGGGAGGGGGTGTGGCATCTGGCCAAAACGCGCAGCACCTGGCCCCCGAACATTAAAGCCTTTTTCTGGTTCAATGGTGTGCAGAAAATGGGTCACTAACTGTTACTTATTTATACCAATCAGAGAAAATTGCCGACGAGCATGAGTATATGAGGGCGTGGCACAGTAGGGGTGGGGAGGGCGGATTTTGAAGGGAGGGCGTGGACTCTGCTGCCGGCATTTCGCTTTTATCTTAGCTGGCTTAAGTGTTATTAAAAACTTTGTTGAGGTACCTAAATTTAGCAGCAGCAAAGTTGCACAGCGAGAGCGGGGGAGGGAGGGAGAGGGAGACTGAGAGGGAGAGAGTAGCTCTTGGCCTGGTCGGCAGCCAGCACTTGGCCAACACTTGGGTGCTGCAGTGCTGCTGCTGCTTCTTCTGGGAGTGCTCATTATGCAGCTGCTGCTCCACTTGAAGCGACTTGCCCCAGCGATTTGTTTTTGGCCAAGTTGAATTGACGCAGCGCGCGTCTAATATGGTCCGCCATTTGGCTAATTGGAGTGCAATTGTTTTAATTAAATTTGCTGCGAATGTGGCCATAGATCAGCAGATGCCAGCGATGCCATCAAATGGACAAGCAGGGCGAGGGCGTGCACGACCTGCAGATACCCTAAACCCAAGCAATGAGCCAAATTTGATGAATTTCCAATCTACGAGAACCTACATACCATATTTGATGAGAGCTTGATTCACATATATATATATGCACATATAAATATATTCCCGTCTGTTACAAACATTGCCTATAAGTCAGCATACCCACTCTGCAGGCACCCTTTTGTTGAGGGCATGCGAAAAAAGGGATACGACAGAGAAATTTGTTGCTTTGACTTTGCGGTCCGCAGATCTAATAAATTTGATTGCAAACTGAAGCGTAAATGCCAACAACACGGGCTGCTGCTGCTGCTGCAAAAGAAAAGGTCAGCAAACTTCGCGGGCTGCCAGCTAAAACGGGGCGTGGCCAGCATGGAAATTAACGCAAGAAGTTAATCGGGCGCACAATCCAGTTGCAGCTGCAAGTTGTTAACACTTTGCCACGACATCAGACTCCGGGCGGCTTGAGTTGCACGTCCCGGCAGGTCAGTCCACGGCACGACGCAATGACGACATCGATTGTCAACATCTGCGGCTGGCTGTGCCACAAATTAAACACAAACACAAGCCAGGGCAGAGGCAGCGGAGGAGGCGGAGGCAAGGGCTACGGCAAAGGCAGCGTCACGTACCGAGAAGACATTCTCATTTTGTGTCTCTTGGTCCAAGCGAGATGCATGCATACCATCATCATCATCATCAACATCATCATCATCATCATCATCATCATCATCATTGTCAACATGGTCATAATACTCATAGCTTGCCATTGCACTCGACATGTGCCCTTTGCTGATGCCACACGTACTCCAAAAGCCAGCGAACAGCTCGACAAGCCGCAACTTCTTTACAACACTGGCTCAATTGGCCAGTCTCTCTCTGTGTGTGTGTGTGTCTGTGTGTGTGTATTTGTCCGCCATGTAGGTTAATCGCATACACAAAGCAATGTGAGTGCGCCGAGTTTTTACGCCAAGCATTGCACTTTCCCACAATTTTGGCCCATTTATATGCCACATGTGTGTGTGTGTGTGTGTGTGTGTGTGTGTGTGTGTGTGTAACTTGCAATTTTGGCAACTCATGTGTGTTTGCTGAGTGTATTTGTGTATTTGTGTCAAGTGCAATAAAAATTGATCAGCTCTCGATTCACTTTGTGCAAAGGAAGAAAAAAACAGAATTCGAAACTTGAAATAAATGTAAATACGAAGCATGACGAAAGCTGCCTGACATGACACTCATAATCATGGCATGCATGACAACATATACAATGCATGCACATGTAATTGCATATATAAATGAGTGTGTGTGTGTGTGTGTGTGCTTTTGTAATTTTGCTTTGTGCTAAAAAAAAAAAGAGCACACAAATGGCAACACTTGAATTACTCGAAATAAATTTGATTAATTGAAATAAATGTAAACATGCTGCATGACAAATGCTGCATGACATGACACTCATAAATTTGCATGCATTTATCAAAGTAAACAGCTCGAGTGTGCACACACACACACACACACGCACACATATAAACAATGCACATGTGGCTGTGCGTGTGTGTGTGTGCTTGATGTAACAGAAACTGCGTTAAAAATTGCATTTGATAACATTGCAAAGGACGCAGTGAAGCGAAAACAGAAAGAAAATATTATATTTTTTGGTTGGGCGAAGAGTAAATACCCTAAGGACAATTTTTCCATGAATAAGATAAATAATATACTGGTCTTAGATGTTCCTTAAGCTGTCAAGTTATGAAATAGGGTAGAACGTTTTTTCCAACATAAATTCTATTTTCGAGTGACAGTTCCTAAAGTGAGACGAATGTAGAAAAGGCTTTATTGAGTTAAGTCCAATCAGATCGATTCCGACTTATAAACTATTTGCAACAAAAATATGCATCTCATACGAATCAGGTATGTCTGTCGGTATATATGTCGTGACAAAAATGATTATATAATTATCATACCCTCAGTGAGCTTGTGAGAATGTTGCAAATTTGCTAGCTAATTATTTCTTGGAACTGTGTGCATGGGAAATGATCTGAGAGAGAAAACGGAAAAGCCATACAAAGGCATAAATCAGTTGCGGGCGAATGCCAAGAAAACCTTGTACAAAGCTGAAGAAATAAACGAATATTTATATAAAAAATACACATTAAGCGAGCGAGCTGTGTGTCTGTGTGTGTGTGTGTGTGTGTGTGTGTATTTGGTAGACAATAATTACAATTCATCATAATTTGTGTGTGTCATTCATTTATTCATGGATTCTATTTCTATTCTATTTACATGGGTATTAAGCGGAAAATTCATTAGCCTACTTCAAAGATTGTAATGTGGCATGCCAAAAGATGTACGCATTGTTGTTGGTTTAATTTTTCCATCATTTTCCGGGGGCGAAATTTCGAAATTTCAATTTAAATGAAAAACCTGCATTGTCAAAGAAATGCGTAGCAGCCCGAGTGCGTCGACTCGCCTTTGTTGAACTTAAATGGCAAATATCTGACGGATAAATTGAGCTTATTTATCAAAGTTTTAATTAAAAACTTCATAGCAGCAGTCTCTAAATTGCTAAGTGTGTAATTACAACTGCCACGACAGCAACAGCAGCAACAACAACAACAACAACAACAACAACAAGTGGCAAAAATCTGCACACCTCAAGGCAGCAGTTGAAGACGAACGAGAGCTGCAGAATACCTTAATGTCATCAGCTTACGAAACGGAAGCGGAAGCAGTTCCCTGCGCCCTAATGTATGCAACAAATAAAATTCACACAAAATTGAATTAGACTTAATAAACCAGAATACCAAAGCACCAGCTGGAGGCAGCTGGATGTATGGATGTATGCCTTTGCCCGCTTCTCCCTGCTGTAAGTATCATAAAAGTGGACAAAAAAAAGCTACAATTCCCTTAGAGAAATGTCTAACATTTTGCTATCTAGTTATTTGATTTATTCACAATAGAATTTTTTGAATATTCATAGAATTTCGGGAATTTTAATTACTTCAGCATTCTTTTGCTTAAATTAAATCTATTTTAGTTTGATATTTTGTAGCCCTAAGTCCTTAAATAACAAGAAATGCCAGAATATTATCAGACTAACAGTAGACTAACAAGAGTAGCAGAGGCTTAACAGAAGTATAACAGCAGAGCAACAACAGTCTATCAACAGAATAACAACATACTTACAGACGAGCAGAAGCAGTACAATAGCAAAATAACATACGTATACCATACGAATAACAGAAGACAAGTATTACTATAACAGCAGAAGTACAGCATGCTAACAGAGAAGCTTCAGCAGCATAACATAAGTATAAGAGCACAATAACAGCAGTATAACAGCAGACGAAGAAAAGAGCAGCAGATCAGTAGACAAAGAGACAGTATAGAAATAATCCTTTAGTAGAGCAGTCGCCGCGGTAAATCGTGTCTTTGTTGGCTTGTGAAAAAGTATTTAATATTCTGCTACGACTTGAAAACCTCCCATAATTCACGACCTTAAAGCTAATGTTGAACAAACACAGCAGAATTGAATGGCTTAAGTGTGGCCAGCTCATTGAATAGATAAGCATTATTTATGCACTGAGATACAGTGTATCAATCTAAGTTTTGTCTCTTGGTGCTTTATTCTAAGTTAAAAAAAAATACCAAAAAATAAAGGAGGACAAACTCGTTTTAAGAAAATGCAGAATTTTTGCAGCGGAATTGCCGGGCACTGGCCCATTAAACACAAAAGTCGCAAATAAATATAAAAATGGCGCTGCAAGACGAAGTACTACTAGACGTAATAGAGAAGCGCACAGAAATTCATAAAGCGCGCAGCGCGCTTTACGCGTGACTGAATTTAACGGTGCTCTGCGGAGGCAGCAACAAAAAGGAACAGGCAACAAACACCCAGAAAGAAAAAGTACAACACAAAAAAAAAAAAAAAATGGCAAGAAAATCACAAACAACATTCCAAGCATTACAAAGGCCACGCACAGCAACAACGCAGAACAACTCGCAACGGACGGCGGACGGATAAGATGAGACCAGAGACATAAACAGAAACAGAAACAGAAACGGGAACAGTTACAGAAATGGGAATGGGCACAGAAATGGGAACGGGAACAGAAGAGTGCAACCAGCGGCAAAATTAACGAAATTGGCAAAGTTCTTTTGAATCCTACACTTTTCGGCACACAAAAGTAAGTACGCTCTCAAACATATAAGATTATAATATATATAATATTATTATGAAAAATCTATTGATTTCTCCGTCAGTTTGATTGCATCAAGGTTCTCACAAATCTGTATGCTGTACTCAACATTCGTTGGAAATGGCAATCTTTATGCCATATGGAAATGAACGAGTTCTTCGCAACTCAAGGGGAATTTTCCGGAGAAATGTTCGAGTAAGTGAGCTTTTATTTATTAAAGATCCGAATATTACCGGCATTTGGGTTGGCATAAATCTCAAAAAATACGATTTGCTTGGGGATAATCACAATCTCTTCAGTTTATGTAGTAGAAAAAGTAAAGGAAATTTATTAAGTAGGCAATATAGAAATTACAATCCCCTTGCCCAAAATGCATATTCTTGGACTTGGAATACAAAATGAAAGTTCCTTCGGACTCAACGGGAATATTCTTGGAAGTATTCAAAACTGATAGGTTGCCGGAAATATGCAGGTTATTGGCATAAATCTAGTTTGGGATATTAGCATGGACTTCAAATTCTTTTGATTTGATTGGAATAAGCAGATTTTCTTTTGAACTGCAGCGAAATTTTCCTAGAAATATTCAAGTGTGCTTTCATCTAGCTAATAATAATATTAACGACTTGAAGGACATTATATAGTATATCACAGATAATACCCTGTAGCTGTCACTTGATTGGGCTGTGGGGGATTTTAAATGCAAGCAAATACCCTGTAAATGCATGATATATACAAAATAACATGTGCACAGGCAGGATATATATTAAACGAATTTCCTTGAACAAACTGTTGAAATGAAAAGCGTTGGGAAAATTTCTCAAAGTGCAGACCGGAAAAGAGCAACAGCCGGGGGCGTTGACAGGGCGCCACGCAAATAGACAGACGGACGGACGGACGGACGGACGGACGGACGGACAGCGAGTCCTGTAACAGGACGAGCAAACAGTTGGCCGCAACAACAAGGACAACAACAACAAGGACAACAACAACTGAGGACAAAGTAAAAGCAAAGTCGCTGTCGCGCTTCGAGCAAGAGATATATATAAAATAAATTGCGAAATGCCAACAAATAAAAAAAAATGAAATAAGTGAGGGCATAAAAAACGCCTATGCCAGCCAGCTGAACCCTGGCTTCGCCTCGACCACCTCCCCGCCCACCTCGCCGTGACCCGAGTTTATCGAGTAAAACAGAGCCAAGACGATTATAAAGAGATTTTTGTCCGTCTGTCTTTCTCCGGAAACCTGGCCTCAGCTCTGATGAGCCGCTGATGACAGTCATCACAATCACAATCACAAACACGATTATGATTATATTATAGTAATCGTTAGCATCAATGCGACGGCAGTTGTTCTTATGCTTATCCTCTTGCCGTTCAAGCAGCTACAGATTGTCACTTCATCCTGGCCATTCGATGGAGACGTTTTTTTTTCTCTTTTTCTCCTGCCTGTTGTTTGGGGCCAATTTGAACGTGAATTCAATATGAAAACGCAAAAGCATTTGCAAATATTGAAACAGCACGGCACATGCATTTAAATCTCATTTGTATTTCCGCACGAGGCAGCCTCTGATTAGGTCATTTGATGCACAGAATTTAGATAAGTTCAAGTATTTGCTTTGATTCGCGGCTAGAGGGTAACTCCATGGCGAGCAGACTCCTTCCAGATCCCAAAAAGCCTACTTTGATTACAGCTTGCAAGGGCTGCCGAAACATTTGCTATTTGGGTTTGAACCAACGCTGACATCTTTTTCCAACACTATTAAGCAGTGTTCAGTAAGCTTGGCAGATTTAAGGCTTAGCTGCATTTGCAGTCTTCCTTCATTATTATATATATTCCTGAACACTCTGTAAGTGTATTGAAATATTCGTCATTTTATTTGTTTTATTCTTTTTTTTTATTTATTATTCAAACGCAATCACGAACGGCTTAAGCATGAGGCTCAGACAAGACTTGAACTCTTTGACAATATTTGAAATTGACTTTCGGAACTCGAGAGTCGTTCAATGGGCCATAAATAACTGCAAACGGCTGCAAAATGCCCAAAACGATTTGTTTGCCATTCAAGCCAAAGACTTGGCCAACTCTCAGCCAAACCGGGCCACGTTTCAAAGAGAGTTTCATTAACGGACGGGCTGCTTAAATAAGGCCGCGAAATTCGTTGCCTACTTTCGAGCGCTTCAGTTTGTTATTAGAAAAGTGCAAAAAGTGGCAAGAAAAAAACTTTTAGAATTTCATTCAACCACTTTGCATGGCGGATATGCGAACTTATTGATTGTGCTGGCAATTCCAGCCAAAAAAAAAATTGAGAAAAATAAAAAAAAAAAGCTGCGTTAAAAAAAATGAAAGAAAATCGCAGCACGCGGCGGTATGAGCTCTCTGTGTTTGGCAGCGGAAGTTAAGCACAGATTGCCAATAGCTAAACAACAACAACAACAGCAACAACAGCAACAAAGGCAACAAGTTAGTGTATGCTAGTCGAGCGTGCGCGACTAAGCAATACCCTGTACCCAGCTGCCGCTGTGCTTAGGCGTAGTTAAAAAAAAAAAACTACTTCAAAATGCATTCTTCAATAACTTTGTTTATTGTACGAGTATTTTTACAGGGTATCTAAAATGAGGTAGTTAATTATGGGTAATTTTATATAGTATATTAAATTTAGGGTATTATATATATAATTTATTATAGTTAAATAATCAGATAACACCTTCATTAGCACAGCTGCAATATGCCCTTTACAACTATTTCCAATGATTACAGGGTATTTTGTATGTGTGTGCTATGTCTGGTTGACTGGCTTACCGTAGCATATGGTGCGCTTTGCATAGTTCTTCCTGTTAATGCCAGAGTTGTGACTGACCGACTTGTAAATACCCTGTAATGAGCAGTCAGCTTGGCCATGTGGCAAACACTGTCACCAGTCGAAAATGCCCACTTTACACTCTATAAAAAAAAAATGGCCCAACCAAAGTTTGGCCGCAACATCACAAAATGCGACAAACAACAGAACGTAACGCGGGGGGGGGGCGGCGGTCTGTTAAAGCCAAGTTAGTTGGCCAGCACGGCCATGTCATCATCTACTGCCACTGCTGCTGCCACAGCTACTGCTGCTGCTGGCAGCAGGCAGTCAGGCGTGAGCCGGCAGTTCAGTTGGCCAATGCTTCCTTATTAAAACTGCCAATAGAAAAGGACATGCGACTGCCGCCAGATGCGAGTGGACAGTTTTGTGGCAAGGGCAGTGTCTGCCACAGTGCATTGTGCAGCATGCAAGAGAGAGAGAGAGCAAGCCTATACACTGTTCCCCAGGCGATATAGAGCATATGGCTTTGTCAAGTATATATAGATAATATCTATGATTGTCGAACTTGCTCGAAAGATGTTAACACATCAAATCTGGGCCAAAATTGCAGCCAAACAGTTTGTTAGTCTGACAGTTTGACAGCCACTTACAGTTTGACAGTTTTCGAGTTAGCAAGCAGCTTGCATTTGCAACAGCTTGCAACGTAATTGTTTTGCTTGTCCTTATACAGAGTATCGCTCGGTCGTTAACACTCGAACGGCATTTTCTTGGCGATTTTAGTTTTGATTTTCCACTTGATGGAGTGCAAATAGCCGAGCATCGCCCTGTGCAACGTGGCGTATTATCAAATTATAAACGTTTCGTGTTGCAAATGCATTTTGAATGAGCAGCGCGCAGCGCGTCCCGTTAATTAGGTTGCAAGCCTGTCAGCTGCACTTCCAAGCACTTTCAACATTATCTCAATATCTCTCTCCCTCTCTCTCTGTGTGTGTGTGTGTGCGTTTCCTGTTTCAAATTGAAAAACACGCATCTTTTTTGCGCAATTACACAAATTGTCCTCATGCATTTGGGGCATACATAATTTATATGCTCTCCCTCTCTCTCTCTCCCTCTCTCTCTCTCTCTCTCGCTCTCTCTCTCTTAACTATGCCCATTAAATTATCAAGTTGAAAGACGTGCTTCAAACCACTTTTTGCCAGTTGCCCCTCCCTCTCTCTCTCCCTCTCATTCTCTCTCTCGCTTTCTCTCTCTTTCCAAGTGGACATTTGTCGCCAAGTTGAAATTGCTTTTAATAAAATACAATTTCTGTTTGCTTTTGGCTTGGCCCACATTCCAGGCATGTGCCTGAGCAGGCTCAAAGTGAACATTATGTAGTCATTAAGTGCCATCAAAAGGCGCGCACACACACTCACACACTCGCACACACACATACACTTGTTGACAAATCTCGTGGGCACACTGTAAATTTCAATAAACTGTTGGCTTAGAAACAAAAGAAAAAGCTTAAAAGTGTGCCTGGCCATTAGATGAACACACACACACACACACACACACACACACACACACACATACCTTCACACACGCGCTCACTCAAAATGTAAACTCAAGCTATGAAATGTTTGTGGCATTTTAATCAATGCCTGGTTAGGGCAAATGCGACCACAAAAGCGCTCAGGCAACAGCCTCTCTCGGTATGTGTGCGTGCGTGTCCGTGTGTTTTGTTTGAGATTTCAATGAAGCCATCGGCTGAGCGGCTGGGCAGCACTGCGCGGCCTGAGTGCGGCCAAGAGCCTGCCGACAAGTGCTGCCCAAAAAAGAACAAAAAACTATTTAAGTAAGTGGAAATGGGCGCATTAGGGCGTGCACACATAAGAGACCCCACAGAGGGTGTGTGTGTGTGTGTGTGTGTGTGTGGCCTGAGATTCTGTCTAGCATTTAAACGGTTGAGCGCGTCGCCCCATTGACAGACTAAAGTGGGCGGCCCTTGTTGAACCTTTTATGTGCTTTTAATTCGCATGAAAAAGAAATGTAATAAAAAAGAAAATAATATGGTGAACTGTGAGCTGAACATTTTTGATTGTATTTTCATCATGCGCGCTTTTCCGTTTTCACTTTTTCCCTTTCAATTTGCACTTTGCATAAGCATTGCATGGCTTTCCTTTTTTATTTTACCTGCAGCCCGGCAACCACGCGGCGTATGCGTAATATGCAAATGGTGAGCGAAACGTAAAGCTCATTTGCAGCTGGCATATTCTATAGGGTATTTGGCTGTGACTCAGCGGGCGTGATTCATTAATAAACCGAAGCCCTTTCGGGGGGCCAGCTTCATTAGCTGCATTAGAAGCTGGCCAAGCTGCCAAGTGCAATTAATTACCAGCTTCAGGCGTCAGGTTGCGGAAATGTGTCCATGGACTGGCCACAATAAAATGTCCAGCAGTCGAGCACAGGCTTTATCAATTCCGAGTGGATGCCACAAATATAATTAATGGCACACATAGCACACACACACGGACACACACACACACAGTTGTCCTTTGTCTGAGACAAATGAGGTCGTGGTCGCATTTTTAATAACTGCCAATGACAACTTTAATGCTAGTCCAAATTAAATTTTGTATACGAGTCGAGCAGCTGCTCTTGGCCGGATATACATAAAGCTAACTAAGTGCCGCATTCGAGGCATCTCCGGTCTAGACTCGATTATCACTGGGAAATTCTTTAGCTTCTGCCCGCTGTGCAACTGGCAGGCGCCAAAGGAGCAGCTGCTCGCCCAGCGCCTGCCAACGAGATGCGTACTCAAAGATATAAAAAACAAGAAATATATATGCATAAAAAAAACGAGAGCAGCAGCCGCTGTCAAGTGCAGCCTACTGCGTTATACACTGTAAAAAGATAGGCATAGCTATTTATAAGAGATCGTAAAGTCTTGTGAAACTTGGCTAATTTATAGCCAAGCTCACATCCAGATATACAGTCTTGTGATTTCTTAGGCAAAAATACCAAGTGATCAAAAAGCCAATTGAAGTGCAGCATCCTTTTCAGTAGATGGCGCTTTTGTTATCAAATGTAAACAAACGAAAACTGGCAGAAAATACTAGGCGAAACTGCTATAAAAAGGCTGGTCACACCGAGCAAGTCTACTTTATGCAGCTGTAAATTCATTTGTTGCCATTTGCTGAGCGTATGCAAAAGTGGGCGTGGCAGCGCTTGACTACGACAAATACCATCAGGCGAATTCGATGATGATGTTGAGGGGCGTGGCAAAAAGCAGCATACCTTCATATGTTTTAACAATGAAAAAGGACTTTCAGGCAGGCAGGCAGGCAGGCAAATAGGCAGCACATTAAAACTAATATAATCTCAGTCACTTCGTAAACAGAGTATGAAAATGGAAGAATATCAGCCAGCGGCAGGCGTGCCACATGCTAAGCTATGTGTGTATGCACGTGTGTGTGTGTGTGTGTGCGAATGTGCTTGTTATTCCCCATTTGCAGTTGGCAGCAGAACGTTTAATCTACCATAAACACATGACTGGGTATTTATGAGTATGCGTGTGCGTGTGTGCGTGTGTGGGGGGAGTGTGGCTCGACAGGTGAGTGTCTTGGCTAAGCTGTTGTGATTTTTTTTTTTTGTTGTCCCTTGCCTTTTCTTTCGTTTTGTTTTTTTTTTTCTGCTTCTTCTTCTGGCACACATTGTGAACGGGCGCTCAGTCAATAAGTTGAAAGAAAAGCCAGTCGAGTTCTGCTTGGGGCTCAATTTAAAGCTGGGCTAAATCCGTGTAGCTGACTTTGACTTTATTCATGGCATTCATTATTCATAATTCATCATTCATAATATTTGCAGAGCAAACAAATTGTGCGAATTATTGACTTTCCATCGAATGGGAAAACAATTAGAGGAAGGCATAATAATTCTTAAAGGGGAAATTTTCATATGTTTCAGATTTTAAAGGGAATTTATAGGTTGTTTTTTTTTTTTTATAAGTAATCTAATTTATAAGGCGGCTAAAATTATTCAGAAAACTCAACTTTTATTTACACAAAATATAAACTCCTTGAGTAGAAAGCAAGAAAATGAACGCCAAGTTAATTTGCAATTGCCAGAATATGAAATATGCAATTCTAGATAAAATGGTTTCAGGGGCTTAGAAAGGAAGTCTGAGTCCAAGTTCTGAGAGCCCCTCAAGGCGCTGGAAACATCTGCGCAGCATTATCCATTGTATGCCATTAAAATAGCTCTTCTTTGACAAATAACTACATCCTTTAATAGAAACCTCTCAGCTCGTGTGCAGCATTCAAATCCGATTATAGAAACGGCAATGTGAATGTTAAGGCACATAAATACAGCAAATGCGTGTTATTCTATTTTCTTTTTTTTTTCATATTTATTTGACAATTTTAGAATTTATTGTTGACTTGAAAACATGCTACAAGGCCTGAGGCACTACCAATCCGACAAAAAAAAAAAAATAAAAGAACTTGAGACTCCCTTTTTCTTTGTTGGGTTGAAGCGGGACACGGGTTAGGAGGTTAGGGGCTTAGGGGGGTTTGCCATGTGCGAGCATAATAAAAATGCATAACGTGGCGCTGTAGCTGTATATGAACGCCCCCTGGCGGCAGCTGGCACAGGGGAGAGCGAGCAGCATTGGGAACAGCAGCGGGAACAGAAGGGCGTGTACAGCAGGGGAGCATTGGGAACAGCAGCATTCGATTTTCGAGTGGGAAAACGAAAATAAAAAGGCAAAAAACTTGTGCCGGCTACAAATTTAATGCGCTTACGATAAATTTTCATTAGGCATTTGAAGCGGATTTGCGGGCAGAGCGGCGAGGAGCAGGACCAGGACCAGGACAGAGGCCAATTGAAAACACAATTTGAATTAAGTGTCCTTAAAAACGCTTCACCTGGCCACTTGCAGGACGTGCTGGGCTTTGCGATTGTTCTCTTTCTCGTTGCTGTTGTTGTTGTTGTTGTTGTTGTTGTTGTTGTTTATGCTCTAATGCGCTCGTAAAATGCACGGCAGCTCACGGCCAGGCTCAGACACACACGCACACACGCACACACACATTGTTTTTCGTCGCTTAGTAGGTCAAAGAGATTTAGTTATTTCGTGCGGCGGCTTACCTGGCGTATACTTAATCACCAAAGCTGTAAAACACAATAACTGTAACGGTAACTGTAACGGTAACTGTAACGGTAACTGAAACGGTAACTGTGGCCGCCGGCGCCGCCAAAGGCGAAAGGTCAACTGCGCGCTGGCACGTGAGATTGATTAAGCAGCTGATTTATTGCCACGGACACACATATACACCTATATATCTGTCTGTCTGTATGTATGTGTTGAGAGGCGCGTAGTCTAGCCTAGACACACACTGGCTAGCCGCACAAATAGGCTTGTCTATACCTTTGTGGCATGCAGCAGGCGAAGCGCGCGCGTTGCGTGCAGGTTGTCAACTGTTCTGTGGACTGGTTGGCGTGTTGCTTTTATAAAGCCGCCAAACGGTTTGCCGCACAGCATTCAAAACACAACATGTTGCAGGCACCGCTTGCAACGAAAACAAAACTTCCAGTCGCTGCCGGCGCAGGCGCCAGCGTGGCGCACGTTTTTATGGCAAAGTCGGGACATGCACCAAACATTGTGCTGCATATGCGTAGCCAGCGCCATGTGTCTTGGCTTAAGCCGGGACCTGCACCAGAGCTTCTAGTTACACGCTGAATCCGCTGCACGGCAGCATTTGCCTCGGCTAAAGCCGGTACTTACACCAGAGCTTTTGCTCGTATTTATGGCACATCTGGGCTTGTCTTGGCTAAAGCCAGGACTTGCACCAGTGTTTTGTGTTTAACTTCCATTAGTTGGCCTCCCCTCGCTTGAAATGTCGGTATGTCGAACATGTTTGCAACACTTGCTACCAATTGCGTTGCCAAACTGTCTTTGGCCCGTTTGACAGCTCAATTTGGCCAAGTTGCGTGTGTCTCGGAAAATGCGTTTTGTGGCTGCATTTCCCGAGGCTACATTGTCATGCCATGTTATTAAACGAATCTTCCATTGGCTAAGATAGTTTTTGAATCTAGCAAAGCATATTCCCATAAAAATGATTCCATTGCTTTTCTTAAAATTTCAAATTAATTTTATTTTGAATATTTTAATTACCACGTAAAACTAAATTAAGACAGCTATAAATTAATACACCCCTTTTATGGCAGCCAAGTTTCACTACAATACCATAAACTCTTGCGAGAATCACATTACCCGACCATTTCCCACTCTCGTGCGTGGATTAGAATTGAACAAAGCGTACGCAAATCTCGACTAAAATAGGGTATATGCGAAATTCTTGTGAATCGCAATCTAAAATCTAAACTGACCACACTTGTATTTGTTAAATTACATTTTACAATGAGTTTTGTTATTAATGCAAAAAGCCGGAAACCAGGCAAACAACTGCCAGTAAATTGAGCTAACCTCAGACTCAAAACAAAGCACACACACACACACACACACACACACACACACACACACACACACTCACACAGATGCAAGTAATTTGAGCTGCTGACAAGGCTGGACAGGCTCTTGATGCGTAGCCTGGCAACAATTTGGCTCGGCTTTTCTCAGGCAGGTTGCTGCTGGGAACAGCTTACCCCCCTCCCCCCTGGCGTCTGATCTGGTGCGTAACTCCTTCCTGGCAAATATTGTGCGAGTAGCCGCAATGCCGAATGTCGAATGTCGAATACGGAGTGAAAGATAGTAACTGATGATAGGCTTACAATTAGCTGCGAATGGGCCACTCGAATGGACGGCACCTGTCAACGTTGGCTCAAATTCGTATCGAACGGAATTTCATTACAATTTTGTGGCTTTGGCCAATATTGACAGACGCCGAGTACTTGTTAAGGAAATGTTAATAGGGCGACGCGCAACAACTGATCAAATAAATTCAACTAAAAGCCACAAGCCGAATAATCAAATATATTTTGTTGCAGAGATTGAGCATGAACTGACTCCAGCTGAAGGGCTGTTAGCCCCGAATGGAACCGAACCAGTTCGCAAATGGAACTTCCATTAAATTTATAAGACGAACCTAACCTAAAAAGAAGCCAGTTCCCCAAATAACATGCGAACCACAAACTGAACCACTGGTTCCGGCACAGAGTTGGTTCCAATCGTGAACCAATAAGCCTATAATCAGTTCGAACCAGTTCGAATTCAAAATTTCAATTTAATTCTTAAAGTGAACCCAACCTAAAAAGGAACCACTCTCCGAATCATTGATTCAGCTGCACGAACCGAACCAAAGGGCAAGGAGCTGGTTCGCCGCATGAACCGATAAACCGATCATTCCAGCCCTGGTTTAAAATCATGCATTTAGTAAAAACTATGTATTCCGCATCGATTAACCAAGGTTCAATATTTAAAGTGTTGACAACATTTTGCACTTTGCATGGCCCAAAAAAGGGCCAACAGGAGCACCAACCCACTCCCCCGACCCTCTACCTGTAGCCCGTCCGTTTGCATTGATGCCAACAACTTTCAGCTAACATGTCCAAGTTTTTCATTAACCTGACTCGGCCAGATACGCACACTGGCAGCTGTCTATGAGCGGGCGGAGCGTTAACTTGTTTTCTCCGAACTCCCACACATAGTTTGCCCTTTTTTTTATCTAATACCCCGCAGCTATTAAATGGCTAAGAGGAGCTTGTGCCAAATAATTGGTCAGGTTTTTTGATAGATCTGTGAAAGAAAGTTAAGCTTGGCTAAGCACAGCATTTCCCCAAAGAAATACTTAATTTAAGTTTTGTCTAAATGAATCTTAAATTGCAAAAAAAGTTCTTGAATTCAATGCAATTTGCTTTGCTTTTTCTCGCAAGACAGGGTATCTGTTGGTCAGGCATTCTCGTCTCGACGACTCGGACTCGTTTTGTTTTTAATGATGATTTTGCGTTACACTGCACACCCCCGCCCCCCCCTCCCCTTCCCTCCCTCACAGTACAACGACAGCAGTGAAGCGTTCTCGGATAGCGTCAGGCACCCGGACACGCATTTTGTTATCATTTTTGCGGTAGTTTACAGTGTGTGTGTGTGTGTGTGTGTGTGTGTGTGTGTCGGGCGAAAGGCCATGAAAAGTTTTGGGCATTTTGCCTCCTCAATACGTATTTCAATTTGCTTTCTGTTGTTGTCTTTTTTTCCTTTTTTTTTTGTTTTTATCCATGCACTTTGAACTGTGCCTGACATTTAGCCAGAAGAACGCACACAGCCGCAAAAAAAAAAAAAAAACAAAGAATAAAAAAAAAAAAGAGTGCCCAGCTCCATCCATTAAATGAGCTTGTTGACAACGCAACTATTTGGTTATGTGCTTTTCTGTTGTTTTTTTTTTTTTTTGTTTTCTCTTTATGGTCACATGGATTTTGATTTAGTTTTGCCAGAGTCAAATGTGAAAATTGTGATAAATGTGATTGCGAAATGCTTGCGGGAAACTTTTAAAATTAAATGCCAATTGCAATATGCAAACAAATCTGCAAAAAGCGACGCTGCCAAGGCAACCAAAAAGCTATCAAAAATAAGCAAGCACACACACACACACAGGAACACACACAGGCACACACACAGATGCACGCACACGCACAGCAGATTTAGGTGGAAACTGTTTGCCAGGCAAGGCGCAAAGGTGCGCATGACATAATTCCTTAATTACCAAAGTTGTCATATGCACCTGAAAGCTAACATAACTGAACCTCTGTTCACCTCTTTTTCCTCCTTCACCTCTCTGTCTTCTTCTGCTACTTCTTCTTATTGCTGGTTACATTGCAAAATGTAACTGGCACGTGAACAATTGCGCCTAGCTCTGCTCTCGCTCGAAATACATGAAATAACTGTACAGCCAAGCAGAGAGAGAGAGAGAGAGAGAGAGTGGAAGGCAAGTTCTGTACTCTACATATGCAGTGTGTCCATGGATTTAATATGCAGCTGACATGGTAGTTAATCGAAAAGCACACAAAGAACACTTTGAGTGCGAGACAAAAAAAAAAACTTGAAGCATATGTATGTGTATGTGCTTACAACTTGCATATGTGTGTATAAGAGAGTGAATGTATAAGACACAGTAGCAGACAAATATTGCTTGTCAATGAAAACACAATTAATGCTCGTTACGTGTGCTCGATCAAAACTGAAGCGGCTTTCGTTTCATGCATTGAGCCAAAAAGGGAAAGTGGAAGGAAGGCTGTTTGTAGAGAAATAGCAGATTATAACGGATTTGGGCTAAGCGGCTGACTAGGTTTATATATGTCTGCGTGCTTACACGCATTTAATATGCATCGTAAGTTAATACTTACACAGCAAGCAATTAAATTGGAGTCCTTTTTCTAATGGTGTCAGATATCAATCATTTTTCGATTCTACTTCACTTTAACTCATTTTAGTTTGAGCAGAAATATAATATCGCTTCACTCACACTCTCTCAATTTGCATGCCATCTCTGTCCCACTCTCACTCAGGCTAAGGGGCTGGCTCAGTGACAAGGAATTCGCCTAACAAAACGAAAGTTCTCAGGTTCAATGCCTATTCACGTTTCATAAGTAAACTCTTTTTTTATTCGGCTTTTCTATTCTTTAGATGATTTAAATTTAAATGTTTGCAATTTTAACGCACTTGAAAGTTTCTTAATTGGCCAGCGGGCCAGCCAATGTGGGCAAATGTTGTCAAGGGGCTGTCAATGCCAACTGCAGCTGGAGCAGCTGCCATATCAATATGCCTGTTGGGGCGGCAGCAATAGCTCAACCTTTCAATACAGTTACCTTGTACAGTGTCTGCAATTGGCAGGCTGCCGCCTTGAGCCGTGAAATTTCTTATTTGCAGCTGGTTGTGCATCGCATTGCATTTCCTTCCGTTGCCGCTGCCGTTTCCGTTTCCGTTTGCCGCTGCGGTTTGTGCCGTCATTTCAATTTCAATTTGCTGACGTGAAAACGTGAAACGCAAAATGGTTGCCCGTGACAACCGGAGAAGTTAGACGCGTACATTTCTCTCCCTGGTGCACAGTGCCACCAATTAGTGTCGTTTCGGTCTGCCGCAGCGGGCGGCTAGCCCTGGCGTTAGACCAGACCTTCAAAATCGCACAAAATGTCAAAATTAAACGCAACAAAACGCGGCCTTAATTAAAATCCTTTATATGAGCACAAATGTGCACTAATTGCTGCAATTGTTGCTCTTATTCGCTGCATCTGATTTAATAACAATTCATTTTAATTATGGAAAAGCCTCTCAAATAGAACCAGCTAAACTTGTCGAACGCAAACAATTGAACTCTGTATAAACGTGGGCAGCTCCAAAAGTAACCAATTCACTTACCGATTCACCAATCAATTCACTTACCAATTCCCCAACTCATTCACCAACCCATTCAGTAACCAATTCACCAATCAATTCACCAACTCACTTACCAACCCATTCAGCAACCAATTCACCAATCAATTCACCAACTCACTTACCAACCCATTCAGCAACCAATTCACCAACCAATTCACCAACCAATTCACCAACTCACTTACCAACCCATTCACCAACCAATTCACCAATCAATTCACCAACTTACCATTCACCAACCTCTCCACCAACTTTCATCGTCTTGACGTCTTCTAACCGACGGATGTTAGAACTGTTTAGTTTCTCCAACAACCTGCCACTTTTAAAACCCACCTCGTAGCTAATCTCAACATTTGTCAAATTAAACTAAGAGCTGTTTGTGATATGCAAATATGTGCAAATGCACAAGTAAATTCTTGTTGCCCGTCTGCCTGTACATGCGTTGCCCCATAAAGTAGGCAACAGCAAAAAGCACTATCCGACAAGACAACTGTATTTGATCAATGCCAGTGCTTGGCCCACTCTAAAACCTACACAAAACCAAGCAAGAGCGATACCCTATCGTCCTTTGATACTACGGACTATATCAAATGTATATACTCCAAAATTAGAGCCTTTAACAAATAGACAAACACCATAAATGGACAGAGAGCTATGCTGACTATGCTGCTTATGTTGATCACGAATAATATGTATGTTACGTACATATCTGATGGGTTCACAGAAGACCTCTTCTATGTGATTCTCATTTTCTGTCAAACTTACTATGCACTTCACAAGGCTACTAAAAAATGCTGATTGAAGCCAATTGGCCGCCGTGGCTGCCGATTTTTTTCCCCAAAATGTTGGTGAATGTGTGTGTGTGTGTGTGTGTGCGGGCATATATACATAGTGTGTGTGTGTGTGTGTGTGTGTGTGTGTGTAGTGTGTGCCTTGTGCATTGGCCACTTAACGCTGGCATTCAAATTTGGCCAGTGCAACTCGCAGTTATTTTGCTGGTCGTCTCTGTCGTGGATTGATGGCTGCAGTAGCTTTGATTTATGGCCAGCTAGTTGCCAGGACACGTGAGAACGATGAGCGAGAGCTGGTCCATCGGGACTGATGATGGCCAGGGCAGTGCCAAACTAACGCTGCCCCAGCCCCAGCTCCCAGCTGCCAGTTCGGGACGTAACACACAAAGCCTCAGTTGTCACTGTGCCAACTGCAACAAAAGGCTTTCATTGTGCAACTAAAACCAATCAAAGCAGCTTCTTCCTGCTCCTCTTTATGCTGTTTCTGTTGTGTTGCAATTTACGAGCTGCACTTGACATTGAATGCAGCCCAAGACGCAGCCGAGTGCAGCCATTTATTAGCTTCCACTTGGTTAGCCCACAGATGTTTATTAGGTCAGCGGCGGCAACTATTTTGACACTTGGCGAAATAAACAGGTATGTTGCACTTAAATCAAGCTAGCAATTTCCTAAACTAGGTTACAAAGTAATTCTTAAGGCTACTTTTCAATGGGGTGACATTCTCTAAAAGAAACCCAAAGCTCTAAACAAGAAGTTCGTACTTTCATAACGAATGAAGAAGCGAATAAAGTCTAGAAATTATATACATTAATTATATGAATATTCAGAACTAGCTTATTCTTCTCTATAATACCGATAAATATCGATGCACCAAACTAGTAGGTAGTTAGGATTTCCTATTCTCCCAGATTGGATATATTTTGTGTACACTAGGCAGAACGGGCTTATCATAATTTTCGATAGATTTTCACATGAATATCGATATATATCGATTTTGAGACATGCTTTTCTAAGCATAACCCTAAGAGGCTAGGTAAATCTATATATTTGTTTGTAGGTTCTTCAATCGATTCAAAACTTAACTTTACTTAATTCTCGTTTGCTCAGTCCTAAATTTGCCTGTTTTTCTCCGAGTGTGCCTGTAGTTCTTTGTTGCTGTTGTGGCCCAGGAACTTGTGAAACTTTATTCGCAGCTCTCAATAAATGTCTCAAGGCGTCGCTTGCATCAACCAAATGCTGTAAAATTTCTCCAACTTTTAAGTTTTCAGCAGTGCATTGATTTCATTTAAGGTTCTTTTCAGTCGCCCAGTTCTATGACTCTGGGCTTAACAAGGCAACTGGCAGCCAGCTGAAATCTGTCATCCTTTCGCAGCCGTTGACTTCCTGCTGGAGGCGTTTGCTTTCGGGCTTCAATCGGCTTTCGAGCATAACCCATTAGTGGGCGCAGTTGCTCCGGCTCAAGGTACTCAGCGCTCTGATATGTTTGGGGCCAAATGCGATTAACGTTTTTCAATTTAAGCTGCCCGGCTATCCGGCCCTTTGTTTCCTTTCAGTTAATAGCCGACCTGGCGCCGAGGCCTGCCAAAATCAGCTTCTGCCCTGATGTTGGCCAAGGCTGCGATGCGATTGTGCTGCCCTCGAGCCTGGGCCAAGCTTTTCATGTGTTTGCTACCCTTGGGCTCTTTCTATAGTCTATTGATTTGCATACCAAATTTAAAGCAAGTTGTTGTGCTTCTTCCTTAATTACTTGCCGCTGGGAACTAATCTATTCTAGATGAACTTCCTTTTGTAAACCATCTCTTATGAACTTTTCTGGTCTTCCAAAGCCCAAAACCTCTATTAACTACAAAAAAAAAGTTTAGTTTCTTTAATATTTGGTTCTCTTCAAACTGGAACTGGTCCGAAATTTGACAAAAATGTATATTTATCAACTTGGATACAATCTTATCTCCATAGCGTGTTAATCGATATTTATCGAGTTAGTTATCGATAATTTTAAATTCATCTTAGGCTATCTGCGTATCGTACGCATCGATATTTATCGATTAATCGATTTTTATTCGCTTCAAATGTTTCTACATTTAATGTAAGTTTTTATAAATTCTTTAAAAGCAACAAAGAGCATTTATTTAAGAGTATATACTTACGCTCCCTTCCTCATAGCTCTCCCTTACATATTAATTCTCACTCTTTTATTTGTAATGCTTCCTCTTGTTTCTCATGACCTCAGATGATGTCACTTGGTGACATTATTTTTCGAAAAACAATTCCGAGTGTGAATACCCAACAGCTATTGTCTAATTATTCAAATAAAGTACATAAAAAACAATAGCAGATAGTATAATTGTTGAGGTAAATCCCAGCTTATATGGAAAAAACTTACATATATATAAAATAACAAATACGCCACAGCTCTAAATGGCCAGGCACAAGAACCAATTCTGTTTTGGCCAACAGCTTGGCGGACAGCTTTGTGGAGAACATGGTCCGGCGATGGGAGCATTCGCTTCTCCCAGAATCGACCATATAAAAGAAATTGAACTGCGATTTATCAATAACCGATTGCAGAGAAAGTCAACGCTAATCTCTGGGGTTTTTGTTTTATATCGAAAGCGAAGCAATTCCTGGTCGACTCTTATCGGCGCAACAATAAACTATTTTTATAAACAAAGCATGACCAGCGTTTCGATAGTAAAATTATAGTGAATCGTCATAAATAATCATATGCGAATGACACGATTTTCACTCTTAAGCAAACAGCAATTAGACTACGTGCGTAAGCTCTGAGAAATTACTTTAAACAATTCCACACACAAGAGTGGAAAATAGGTGAAAAGTGCTTGCAAGTTCAGTTCGCTGCAAACCTTATTAATATCCAATTCCACGCACAAAAGTGGAAAATCGGTGAAAAGTGTTAAAGAACTTCATTTTGTATATTATTGGAAGATTATGTCGTGCACTGTAATCCCCTTAGTAAGACTAAAGTTTAGTTAGTTTAAATAGATATTTCAATCAAAATAGTTGTTTAATACATTTAAGTTTAGAGATGCCTAATTAAGGAAAGACAAACACACACACACACACACACACACTAGACAACACTGGACAACTCCAGTTAACACTAGACAACACTGGACAACTCCAGTTGGCACTAGTGAACACTAGTTAACACTCATTTCTTCGACATGCATTCGCATGGAATCGCTGCACGCGGGCGCTGGGCTGGACATGATGAACTCCTTCTTTTGGGGCGACACAAAGCGACCGGCGAAGAAGACGGCTCTGCTGTTGCGTATGAAGAACATGAACGGATGATCCACCTTGAACGTTTTCTTATGCATGTTCAGGCTCATGGGCACAACCTTCAGAACTGGAAAAAGGCGTAGGGGAAGGGCGTGAATAAGGATGATTATATGTACTCCATGAGGCACCTACATGTGACCGCGGCTGCCTCGGAGCCCGCCTCGTTGACATCGATGTAGCCGCGATGCTTGGCCGCGGAGATTTTCTGTCCAGCTGCCTCCTCGAAGAGTCGACTCAAATTGGCCGTATCGCCGAACAGCTCCGAGATGCCTAGCTGTATGAGAAGCGCATGAGTTTGCCTGCTAATGCCTCGCATTTAATTAGCCTAATCCCACCTGCTGTAGCGTATCCTTCAGATCCAAGTCGTACTCAATGCTGAACTTGGGCAAAGCCAACTCCACGTCTTCCGTGCGCATGTGCTGGTCAATGTTGACCAGGCTGAGATTGGCCATTCGACGCTCCAGCTCCTGCAGGCCGCATATCTTGTTGGGCAGCAGAATGAGCAGGCTAATGTCCGAGTCCTCGTAGGGCAGGGCGACGGCTCTGGCACTTAGCTCCGGCAGCTCGGCGTATTTGAACTTATCCTCCTGGTACATCATGTCCACGGTGACGCGCTTGTTCTGCTCCAGATAGAAGTCATCGGGCATTGTGGACTCGGGCATGAAGGGCTTCTGGAACAAGCCCTTGAAGTAGAGCGCATTTATCAGGATAGCGCTCGTTTCGGCATTCACCGCATCCGGCTGCAGCAGATCCCGTATTTTGTTCTCCGTCGCCTGCTCCACGAAGGCGTTAATCTGTTGCGTGGCTTTGGTCGCGTCTGCAAAATTCAATGCCACCGGCTGGGAGTGAAAGTAATCGTCGGCTAATTCCTTGAATTCGTGCTGCAATTTCAGCTTGTGGTTGACAAAGAGACGATTCACGGTTTTCAGTGTCATCTTGTTGCCGTAGTTGCACAGCTGCGTCCAGAAGCCGTGATAGCTTTTGGCGATCTCCTGCCGGTCGCCGGGTCCCAGCTTCAGACCCGTGCGCAGCTCATTCTCGGTTCTGCCCGCCGCGCCCACAAAGACGAGCATCAGGGATGTTTGCACCGAAATGGGCGAGATAATTGCATTGGTGCCCGGTATACAACTCGGACTGGCGCCGTTCCTGGTGGCCACATCGTACAGCTCCCTGGCAAAGTCATTGTAAGTATCCTGACACACGCTCATATTCTGCAGCACAGAACGAGAACTGTAGCAAATGAAACGGGATTTTCATCAGGTATAGCAGATATTTCAAAGCAACTAAATAAAAAATCGAGCTCCAGCTCCAAATGGGTTAAATTCTTCCCACTAGCTAATTGGCAGAGGGGACGAAGTCCACATGTACCGGGTTCGACTCCGCGTGGAGTAACTCCTTAAAAATACTTTAATTTTTATTCAGACACTGCTGATATTTAAAAGCAGATAAATCAGTGGAGAGTATCAAAAATCGACTTAGTCAAAAATATGACAGTTTGACGTTTGGCGCGCAGGAAGAGAGCTCAGCTCGTATTCGGGGGGTAACGGGTTCGACTCCACGCGAAGTCACTGGCTTAAAACTGATTTTACTTTTATTTTTTAATATGCACTTGTTGAAAGTCGACCATAAATCACAGTCAAAAGTAGCTTTATATCAGCTGGTATTTAAAGATTAAAGTGGAAATGCTTGAAAATCTTGACAAGTTATTGAAAGTGTCATATGAAATGTGATAATAACAAAACCAACCGATTTAACCGAATGTATGAACCAGACTAACACCTGGAGTGAGTCAGTCCGCAAGAATGCTCAGTTATAAGAGATAAGATAAATAATTCATAGACTCTGAGTGATTGTGAAGAAGAGTATTTGTGAAGAGCAGACCGCGTGGCTTCTTCGAGCTGCTTCTAACCGTAAATTCGCAATGCTGCAAATATATCACGTACAGTCATATATAAATGTAAACTATTAACGGTTTTAATTCTAGAAGTTTCAGCAATTTATGGCTGTGTTTGGCTGCCAAAGAGAGCTGCCAGGTGGCAGGCTCTCTTCGAGCAAGAAGAGAGCAATATTTCAGGCTGATAAGGTGTTCTCATTTATTTTGATATCACCCTGTTTCCTTTATGGGGCAACCAAAAGATAATATTGAACAAAACTTTTGCTGAATATTATTTTTAATTTTACTAGTTGAGGCTTATCATACTTTTCTAAGCACAAATATGTATTTATATATTTTTATTTACTGTGCGGCTCAAGATTTCCACTCACAACTGCTGATAAGCCGAGCAGCAAAAGCAAATCAAAATTTTGAACAAATTGTCTGTCAGTTTGAATCGCACTTTTGTCGTGGCTGTTCGCAAGCTAGTCTAACGGTTGTTCATTTGTTATAAATTATACAGTTGTGCTGATAAATACCAAAAATTAGCAAGCAAAATGCAGCGCCTTTTGCAATTAGACGGTAAGCAACAAAACAATCAACAGCTGATAAGCGCCCCCACCCATTAAAAAGCAAAAGAGTGGGCGTTAAAGAGTGCCAGTGAGCGAGAGAGCGAGAGATCTGACTTATGCATGCGTGGGCACACTTAAGAGCGCGTTGCGCACACAAAATCAAAGAGAGAGAGAGCGACAGTATAGAGAGCACACCAGTTAAGTGGATATGCGACTGCTGACGCACGCATACATGTGCATGTGGTTGGCGTGTAAAAACAACTGCGCAGCGAGCGCCAGCATTCAGTTGACGTTCAGCCGCCCGTGCAAGCAGAACAGAGCGCCGTTTAATGCGCACTGCGACCGAAAAGAAAGCCAAATAATACAAATAAAAATAAAAACATTGGAGAAAGCCGACAACAACAAGCATAAACAACGCATTCGATACACGCGCCTAGTTTGAACAACTAACAAGACGGCTAAACAACGCAACAATCTGATTTTCATCCGACGAGGTGACTCATTCTCAACGGGAATTACATAAATTTATGAAATCATTCACAGTTTTTTTTTTTTTCTTATATTATGCCATTCTATACTAATACAAACACATTTACCCAATACAGTCCGTGTGACGCTCTCGCTGCTGCTGCTGCTGCTGCTACTCCAGGCGCCAACGCAACTTGCCCAGCACCACAGCCCGAACCCGAGCCCGATCCCCTCCAGCTCAGACGCCATGGCGAACACTGAGGCAAACAATGTGGCCGAGTTCTCGCGCCGGCTGGCCAACTTCTCTGTGAGCCTGTACGGCAAACTGATCGCACTGAAGCCCAACACAAACGTCGTCTTCTCGCCGTTCTCCATACAGACGTGCGCGGCGATGGCCCGCCTGGGCGCCGTGGGCGACACAGCCGACGAGCTGGACCGTGGCCTCGGCCTGGTGTCCAGCGATGTTGGCAAAATCGCCGAGAGCTTTCATCAGGTGCTCGCCGCCTACGAGAAGAGCTCCATTCTGCGCATTGCCAACAAGCTGTACGTGATGAAGGATTACGAGCTGGCCGACGAATTCAATTCCCTGCTGGCCAAACAGTTTCTCTCGACCGCCGAGAATGTGGATTTTACGCTCAGCGCCCAGGCGGCGGGCACAATCAACAAGTGGGTGGAGCAGCAAACGAACAGCCTGATCAAGGATCTTGTGCCCGCATCTCTTTTGGGAGAACGGACGCGTCTGGTGCTGATCAATGCCATACACTTCAAGGGCAACTGGGTGCATCAGTTTCCGGAGCATGCGACACGCAACGAACGCTTCCATTTGAACGAAGTGGACGGCGTGGATGTGCCCATGATGAATCTAAAGGAACGCTTTCGCTATGCCAATCTGCCCGAACTGGATGCCGCTGCGCTCGAGCTGCCCTACAAGGACTCGGATCTGTCCATGCTTATAGTGTTGCCCAACAGCAAAACAGGCCTGGCACAGCTGGAACAGAAGCTGCGCACCACGCCGCTGGCACAGATCACGGATAAGCTGTACAGCAGCCAGGTGGTGGTCAAGCTGCCCAAGTTCAAGGCCGAGTTCCAGGTGGAGCTGACGCCCGTCTTCCAGCAGGTGAGCATCGAAGCTTCGAAGTTCAAAAGACTTTTGTCTAACCAAACCGAATTCTCTCTGCTCCCAGCTGGGCATGTCGCGTCTGTTCTCGGATAACGCCAACTTCTCCAAGATGCTGAAGTCGCCCGAGTCGCTGAAGGTGTCGGCCATCGTGCACAAGGCCTTCATCGATGTCAACGAGCTGGGCACGGAGGCGGCTGCAGCCACGGGTAAGCCATGTTCAATTCTCTCTGGGATTCATTTTCATCAGGCGCTGCATGCCCATAATTTGTTGTTGTTCTTGTACAATTTGTCTCTCATTCTCTCTCTCTCTCTCTCGGTTTCTCTGTCTGTCTCTCATTGTTAGCCGCCGTCGTGCGCATGAAAAGGAGCCTCATCTCGCTCGAGCAGCCGCTCCAGTTCCATGCCGATCATCCATTCATCTATGTGCTCGCCCATGGGCAGCATCTGCCGCTCTTCATGGGCGCCGTCGTGCGGCTCGAGGGGGCAGCCGCACGGGGCGAGGCACACGACGAGCTTTAGTAACAAAATTTGTAGCACATCTAAAAAGGGTATTCCTCTTCTTTTTTTTTCTGAATAAGTAATAAAAGGCAGAGTTTTATGTATAAGTATTTAAGTGGACGTTGGTTATGGAATTGCTTTAAAGTTTTGGCCTTCATTTGTGACTCATGATTCATTGTTGATTTTTTTGTAGACTCGACTTACTAATACCCTGCATTTGGTCTCGTTTCCCTATCTTCTAATCCTCTACAGCATTTGTGGTCGCGTGTCGTACAATATCGTTCGTACCCCCGCCTCGGCCCGAATATTTCTATGTGAATCGCCCATTTTTCTACTATATTGCCAGTTATCAGGGCGTGGCGCTCTTTGCTGGCAATATGCAAAAGTTCTAGGCAAACGTTCTCAAGCGTTTTATAATAGATACATGTATTTAATTATATATTAAATATATTTTTTTATATTTGTTTATTATATGCACAATTATTGCAATTTTGAGTGCATTATTTAACCTTAACTAATAAATTGATATGGAAAGAACATTTTAATTAAACCTGTTAACCCTTTATACGAATACAGCGAATAGATTTGCATTAAATATTTTTAAGAATCCTTCTCTGCTCTTTAGCTTTGTTTAGGCAACATTTCATCTCTAACGAAGTTAATTCCAGTTGAGCTCATTTCTCGCACTTTTCTAATCATCTGTGCCTGTCTTCCATTCCCTCAGCCATGGTCATCTGCTGTGAAATGCTGTTGATTGAGCCGGAGCCCATACATTTTGATGCAGTACATCCGTTTCTTTATTTTATTAACAATCAGCAGAACGCCACGCTCTTTGCCGGCAAATTGCAAGAGTTTTCGAAGAAATAACACAAAATATAAATTTAATTTTGAATTTGAAGAAAACTATTTGCACGACTTGTTTACAATAAAGTTTCAGAAAAAACTATATATCAAGTTAATAAACCAAATTCCAAGAATTTCTGTATACATGTACACAAACACACATTAATGCACGTCTGCTTTGAATTCTATCAACAGCATTGCAATTGCGATTGTATCGTTTTCTGTGCTGCTATTTTAATTCTTTTCATTTATACTCAATTATTAGTTTGGCTGTTGAGTACCTTCTTTTGCAAAATAATATCTCTGGCTTTGTCTCTCGTTGGTCTTCTATTTCATTAACTGCTTCTCATTTAAGTAATTATTCAGTCCCTGTTCCTGCCACATTTCTAATAATTTGCATTGTCTCCCAATCCTTTAGCCATGCTCATGTACTGCGATTCACTGATGGCTGAGCCGGAACCCATCCGTTTTGCTGCAGTTCATCCATTCCTCTATTTTATTAACACTCAACAGAACGTGACGCTCTTTGCCGGCAAATTGCAACAGTTTTAAGACATACCATAAAAATTAATAACTATCATTTTAGATGATAATCTCATCATGCAAGTCTATAAAAAACACTCATCTAATGTTGTTTCTATCTCATGATCATTGCATTGTTGTGGACTCACTCAGTTTGGACTATTTTTAATCGTGTTTGTTTCGTTCTTGTCTTCCATTATTTGTTTTTTTTTTTTTTATAGCTATGGTCATGTGCTTTGCTTCGATGCCCATGTTCCAGCCGGAGCCCATACGTTTCCATGCCGAGCATCCATTTATTTATTACATTGTCAATAGGCAGGGCGCGGTGCTCTTTGCCGGCAAGCTCTTAAGAGTTTGAAGCCCCGAACTATGCGGGCCACACAAATAGAAACAACATTCTTCTTTAAAGACTGCACGCGATGACAATTTATTGTACTAAACATCTTTTTTCTACTAATCCAGCATGTTGAGTGTAAAAAAATATATATATAAAGATTTATACTTGATGGCATTTTATGGCTTGTCCACAGTTTTTCGCATCATGCCCGTATTGGCATTCCGGCGTAAGAAATTCCTTGCCACACATCCGTTTGCCTACTTTATCAAGTCGCAGAGCGATCTGTTGCTCTTTGCCGGCAAACATTTGGGCTGAAAGACAGATGACAACTATTTTTAAGTCATAAAACATTTAAATGAAATAAACTTACTTTAAATCAATAAACATTAAGCTGTTTATTCTGATTGACTGATTGATTGATTGATTGATTGATTGATGATTCATTCCACTCACATTCAAAGTTCTTTGTGATTATTAAATATGCAAATATAGAAATTTAATTGCTTGAAGTGTATAGATCGGTTTGTTCTGATTGACTGATTGATGATCAACTCCCTGGCTTACGAAACCAAATTTCGGTCAAATTTTAATCTTTGGGTTTTTTATAAAAACTAAAATAGGCCTATGGAAAACTCCTTCCGCTTGAAATATGTAGAACTGTTTGTACGGATTGACTTATTGATTGATTGATGAAAGGTCGAAAGAGTTCCGGAGCTGTATTTTTTATAGTAGTAAGCTTTTATGATGTATGAGAAAACTATGACAGGGTTTTGTAAAATTTCTTTCACGTGTCGAAAATATATGAATTGTTCTGATTGATTGATTGATGTCAATCGGGATGCTTAAACCGTTATTCAAGGTACTTAGCTCTTGTGATGTATGTGAAAATTAAAATCGGATTTTGTAATATTCTTTGCAAAATTTATTTTCAAGCGGATTTTATACAATTCCACCTGCCTGTGCGGAAAATGGGCGAAACACGAATTTCAATTGTGAGGCAAATACTTTGAATAAGTTATGCCTGCTTTTTATATAAATAAATTTGCGCTGTAAAATAGCTTTACTTAATGACAAAGTTTAAACATTTGAAGATTGCACAACGTCCCCAACTCTAGACTTATATGACATCAGATTTTGATTGATTCGCCTGCGACCTTATCGAAATGCATTTACTAAAGCCATTGAAGCGCCGCCTGCTGGCACGCAACTCCACAGTTTAATAAAGTGCAAATGTACATGAAAAAAAGGCGACAGTATATCTTTAAACACGAGTCAAGATGCAGTCGCTGGAATTTGTTTTTCTGCTGCTGCTGCTCACGTTCCCGTCTGGCTGGGCCAACGTGACGTATGCGCGATTTAATTGTGAGTCGAGCAGCTGCCGAGAGCTGGCTAGCTTTAGCTAATCCCGTTCCCGATCTCAGTAACGCTCTACAAGCAAATGCCGCCCTTGCACCAGCTGGATGACTACGATCTGTGCCTGGGGCACAGCACCTACTGCCTGGTCTACGCGGAGCTGGTGCCCAATGCCAGCTCCACGCTCTGGCAGCAGATCGAGCAGCTGTCCCGGGACGAGAAACATCGCTTTAGGCACGATCATCTGTTTGTTGGCGTCTGCCTGGAGCGCTGTCAGCGCGAACTTCACAGCCTCAGCAGGTTTCAGCTACAGCAGCTGTACGAGGGTCGCGTCACGGACACGGAGGTAAGTTGGACATTGAGTTAGTCAAACCAAGATTGGGCTCAACTCTGCCACACTCTGCCAGCTGAGCAGCTACTATGCCCGGGTGCACAAAAGGCCTTCCGATGAGCGCCTGCGCTACGATCATCTGGTCAACAGCTGCCTCAACAAGGAGTTTGCACGCAAATATCAATTGCGACTGCGCAGCAGCATCGAGTACTGCGAACGGGCAGATGAGCCGCTGGAACATGGTAAATAAAAAATGAATATATTTTCAGTGCGAATTTCATACGCTTTCCTGGCCTCACTGAGAAAAATAAGCCTGGCAAGCCTGGCCTCAAATTTATACTAAAAAATGCGCCTCTCTATGCGATTCTCATTAAATCAAGTGGTACAAGCCTGCTTTCATGCTGCTCCTATATGTGTTCTTTTATGTACAATTTATCTCTGCGCTTTGTTTCCTTCTAATTGGTATCTTCTCAGCAAATGATACAAGAAACATGATCGCCTTTCTATGCGATTCTCATGAAATCAAGCAGGACAGGCAGTAATCCGTGCTATGATATGTCTTCTTATAAGAAGTCATGTTGATTTTATCCCAACATTTAATTTCAATTAAATGTACCACTCTCCACTTCAGATGCACTGGACCTGACCGTATATGTGCTGCTCGCTCTGCTCCTGCTGTGCACTGTGTTCTCCTCCTTCTACGACTTTCGCCTGAAGCGGCAGCAGACGCTGCCTGCCAGGGCGCATGGCAATCTGTTTTATCGGCAGCCTCTAAGGACACGTGGTATGTGGCATCCAACAGTTGATCCGCGATGAGTTCTGATCGAATTCCCAAACAGCTGAAAAATATTTGTGCGCCTTTTCGCTGTGCCGCAACTATTATCGTCTCGTGCTGCCCTCGAGCAGCGTTTGCGGCAAGGATTTGCGTTTCTTCGATGCATTCCGTGTGATTGGAGTCTTTGTTGTCGTACTCGGGCACACGCTGATGATCTTTATGTCCGTGCAGCTGCAGAATCCCGAGTTCTTTGAGCAGTTCCTTTACAGATTCGAGACCTCGATATTCCAGAATGGCAACGTCTTCATCCAGATCTTTTTCGTGATGAGCTCCTTTCTGCTCTACGTGAACTTTACGGAGCGCAAGTGGATCAGCAACAGCTCGAGCACTTTCGACTGCATCCGGGTTTACTTCACTGTGTTCCTCAGCAGATATTTGAGGATGTTGCCATCGCTGGCCCTGATCATTCTGTTCAATAGCAGCATCCTGAGCAGACTGGGCGATGGACCCTTCTGGCGGCATCTGACCGAGCCCGAAAGGATATTCTGCCGCGAGACCTGGTGGAAGAACATAATATTCATCAACAACTATATGCTGCAGGAGAGTGTAGGTACTTAGCTATAGGCACGACTAGCAGATACCCTATTCTGCAGGTGAGTGTAGGTACTCAGCTCTAGGCACGACTAGCAGATACCCTAGCCAAATAAAGACCTGCAGGAGAGTGTAGGTACTTAGCTATAGACACGACTAGCAGATACCCTACTCTGCAGGAGAGTGTAGGTACTCAGCTATATACTCAACTAGCAGATACCTTATCCAGCAGGAGAGTGTAGGTACTCAGCTATAGACACGACTAGCAGATACCCTAGCCCAATCAAGACACATAAGTTGAGCGCAAAATCTAAACAAATTTATGCCAATGTTTTCTTCCAACTTAATTCAAGACCTTATTCCATTTTGTAACCTTATGGTCTATCTTTAACTTAAGTGAGAATCTTGCTAAAGTTAAGTAGATTTCTTCTGAGTGTAGTTTTTCTCGCAGTGTGCCCAACAGACCTGGTATATGGCCGCCGATATGCAGCTCTTTGAGCTCTTTCTGATTGTCATCATCCTGACAAAAAAGTGAGTTATCTGGCGAGTATATTGAAGGAACAACAACCTTTAATGCCATCTTGCAGGTATCCCGGACTGACTCGATTTATCTATATTTTGCTGATTATCTCGATATTTGCCGTGCCCGCACTCTTGACCTATTACCTCAAGCTGGACGCCGTCTACCACATGAGACCGGAGTGAGTTTTCGCAGCTGCTTAAACTGCACTCTATTCGGTTTCGTACTCCTCAGAACCTATCGATATTTGTACTTTCGTGATGCGGAGACCTTTTACCAGATATATCCGCCCTTCTATACCAATCTGGGCGGCTACTTTATGGGCTTTATCTGCGGCCATCTTTATCTCAAGCAGCGCTCCAGGCCGGATTCGGGGAGCTTTAAGGTCAAATGGCAGCTGGAGCTGGGCATGTGGCTGCTGGTGCCGGCAGCTCTACTGATACTGTGCTCGGGCTATATATTCATCAGGCACGACTTTGAGAAGCCCTCCGTCTGGCTGGCTCTCTATGCCGGCATCTACAAGAACCTGTGGATTCTGATTTGCGCGGCTTTTGTTAGCTGCATGTGCTATAAAGTGGGCTGTAAGTGGACTCTGTTTGTTTTCAATTTTTATAATTCATTAAGTTATTTCTTAGGGCTGGCCTACGAATTTTGCTCGCTTCCCATTTTCCGGCCTTTGGCGCGCATTTCCTTTCAGGCTTTTCTCTGGCATGTCTTTGTGCTGCGCCTGGTTGCAGGCTACTTTCGGCAGCCCATCTATGTGAACAGCTTCTATTTGGTTAGTTGTTACTTAATTGCATTACTAAATATTAACATATTTATTCTCAGTTTGGAAATGTTCTTTTGGTTTTTGTGCTTACGCAATTGATTGCATTCTTTGCGGCGCTCTTATTTGAATATCCGCTGGCAGAGCTCTTAAAATTGCTGACAGTACATGAGAAAACGGCTGTTGAGCAAAAAGAGACTACAAACAATTTAAATGTATTTCAAATTGAGTTTAATTCCCGTTAATATGTTAACATTCAAACTGAGTTAACAAAAAATTCTAGTATTAAGTCGTTAGGGTGACCAACAGTAAGATAAGGCATGCCAACCATTTAGGTTTTGGTATTTCTTGCGACAAGTTGACAGAGCAGCTGTTGTGTTATTATTTCACTATGCTGAGTTCGGTCACACTGCTTGGTTGTTCAGTTTTGTTTTCTCTCGTCTCGCTCGTCGGCGTTTTGCTACGTTTCGTCTTCTCGTAACCGCAAATTCTGAAACAGTTCACAACAATATAGTGCAAATTTTCAAAAATTTCCCATACTCAATAAAAATCAAGTGCACATGCCCCAGCGTAAATGCTAAAATAAAGTGAGTGTTAATTTGTGTGATTATTATTTGTGTATTTCTGTTGCGGCAACTTTGGCATTTCGATACAAATGTCAATGAATCATTGTGGCATTTTTACTACCAGACATCAAATGGCAGCCATTTGATTGGTTTTATTAATATTATTAAAGTAATTTACTAATAAGCTTACATTTAAATAATGAACGCGCGTATTACAAAATCATTCAAAATCACGGCAAATAAAATAAGTGCGACAATTGTGTTTGTGTATGTGTGTGAGTGTATGTGTGTGTGTGTGTCTGTGAGTGTGTGTGTTGCCCGCGCACTTGTGTACGTATGCGTGTTCAGTGGTGAGCGCAATGCATGTGAAGAGTGCAGCTATAAAATGTTGCCGCATGCGCTCCCGCTCCCACACAGTGTTATATGAGTCGCAACACTCCAAAAAAGGGAATAAAAATGAGAAGCGTCTTGGACAGAGCAACAACAAAAAGACCGAACGCCGAAAAATGTTGCAAAATGAAAGAAAAGCAAACAAAACGAAAGCAAGCAAGGAAAAGATTTCTGCGTTTCTCGCCACACACACGCACACACTCACACAAATATACACATTTAAATTAATTGTTTTTTATTCTTTTGCCTTTAGCTGTAATTTTCGTGTGTGTTTTGCTGCTGCTGCTGCTGCTGTTGCCCTCTCTTTGCGCTCACATTTTCCGGCTAGCTTGTTTATATTGTTCTGGTCAAAGAGTGAGAGCGGCGGTGGGAGAGCGCCAAATTGTTGCTCTGGAAGCAACAAGTCGAAATGCCACATTGTAAAGCAATTGCCGCGCGGGGGTGTCTCAATGCGTGCGCTCAGTTTGGTCAACTATTTATACCCTGTACACCAAATGAGAGTGCGAACTCACGTTTCTGCATATATAAATATATAAATGTGCCAGAAGAGCTTATTAATCAGCATCCAGCAATAGATCTCATTTAATAATTTGAATATATAGTAACTTTCGAGCTGAGCTGCTTACAGGGTATTCACTTAACGCGCACACCCGCCTAGAGCACTTTTAGTTGTTTTAAGCTGTGGGCGCAAGCGATAAGCCGTAATTGAAATATTGTGGCAATTGGCAAGAAACGTGGCTTCAAGTTGGCCAAAGCGTAGAATTACACATTTCCAGCAGAAACACAGGCAGTCTCTTTCGCTTTCTGTGTGCGTGTGCGTGCGTGTGTGTGTGTGTGTGTGTGTGTGTGAAACAAGTGTGAAAAACAAACGACCTCCAGCGGCGCACGTCTGCGTCTGCGTTTGCGTCTGTGGCGCTCTCTTAGAAAGTTTAAGAGCGCGTGCGAGCACGCCCCCCCACGCATAGATGTTGTCGTTGTCGCGTTGTTGTTGTTGTTGTTGCTGTCAGGCGTTGTCCAAAAATGGGTTAAGCAACGGCGGCGAAAAAAGCAAGAAACGCAGCAAACACCAATTAGTGACAAAATATAAATGAAAAACGCATGCAGTATATGCGTGTTAATGTGTGTGTGTGTGCGCAAATATGTATGCAAATTAAGTGACAGTGTACTATGGGCCGAATTGAACACTTTTCGTGGCATAAATAAAAAAAAAAAACCTACCAAGGCGCAATTTTCAGGTCGTGTCGTCTGTTTCTAATATGAAGATTTCTTGCGTACAAATCAAACTCGAAAGAGAAACAAGAAATAACTGCTACTTTTGGTAAAATAACTTTTTGTCTGCGTAACGGGCCAATTTTGCCCACAGTGCAGTGTCCAAAAAAGCAATAGCAACAACAAATGCCGCCAGTCTGACTAAGCGCAAATGTGGCAGAAATAGCAACAAGTAGACGCGAAACGGAGAAGCGTCGTGCAATTAAGACAGCAACAACAACAACACGAAGAAGAAGAAGCAATGTATAGTTAAATTTAGCAGCCGAGTTCCACTTTCACTCGGCGGCGACACCGACACCCACCAAGCCCCCTCTTCGCACTCCCTGCTGTCGTGTTTGTAGTTGCATGTTATTTGAATTGAATGCGTATCGTGATTTTTGCGTTGGCACGAATACGCACGAATAGAAATTAATAAATTCATGTATACGCAATACATAAATAATTAACAAATTTGTTAACTGTTAATCTATTAACTGCAGCAGTGTGACCATTAGAAGTTTTATAAGTTTGGGCTAAGAACTACCAATTGGTATAAATACCAATTTGAGTATTTTGTATTGCCAGTTAAAGTACCAAAAGCACGCGCTCATCTCTAGTGTTGTCAAACGTTTGTGGCAGGGCAGACACTTGCGCGCTTTTTGTCAAGATTAAGTTAATCGCACAGGCAACAGCAGCACCAACAGCAGCAGCAGCAGTTTGATGAACTTAAGTACAACAAGCGAGTCCAATCACGATGACGATGTTTTTGCTGTTGTTGTTGTTGTTGTTTTTGTTGTTGCATGTCATTGGCAATTATAGTAATGCCTAATGACATCATCATGTGCTGCGCCACGAACAGCTGCAGTTGTATTCACAATGTGCAAGCGAAAGTTTCCATCGATGCTCGCTGCCTGATAAGCATGCACTTGCAGCTACAGATGCTTATCAGGCAGCCGCGTCTGGCATCAATGATTCATTTGCCACCTACACACACACACACACACACACATATGCACTATAGTATATTATACTACACAGCAAAAAAATGCTGCGAAAAAGAAACCGTTTTGGTATTTTATACGATTTAAAATTGCACTTAATATTCAATGTCTACTATCTCTCTCTCTCGCTCTCTCGCTCTCAATTTGCATTTGCACTCTTTTACTGCAGACAGTGTATAAGAGTTGCCTGCTTTAAATCCGATCAAAGTTATTTTGCCTTCAATTTTTTACTGTGTAACAAACGCATATTGTATTGTTATTGTTATTGCAATTGTTATTGATGTGTTGCTCATGACACATTCACACCGCCCGTTGTCATCTAATTAGATGTTGGACAGTTTGCGGCTTATAACGGGCCACATTAGCATTGTGCTGCATAGAGCAGCAGCCAATTGGAGCGGTGTGCCCCTTTGCTCCCTGCCACATGCACCCTGCCACTTGGCACTCCATTCATTGACCGCTTCGTTTGTCAGTTTTTGTGTTCGTTTCTTACACTCGATTGCATTGCACAGTGAAAAATTACAACAACGCTTAATTGACGACTGGAACTGTGACTGTAAGGAACTGCCCTGCCCCCCGATCCCGTTCCCAATCCGCTCCCCCTACCCCTCCCATCAGTTAGTGAACGGGGTGCGCTTTGGTTTTTTAGTCACGCCGCCACACAACAGCAAATGTTGTTAGCAATTAGAATTGGCCGCTGAACGTTTCGACAAAGCGTTAAGATTTGCAATCAAGCATTAAGTCAATTTGTGGCCAGTCAACGTCAGCAACGTCGCTGGCGCGTTGCAATCATCAACTGATGAACCGATCAGCGGCTGCATCGTAATGAGAAATGGGCTTTGGAAGCTGTCATAACAGTGCGTGCCATCAGTTAGTTGACCAGCACATTCTTGCGCTCTGCATCATGCACGGTTTGTTGCTTGAATCCCAGCCGATTGTCTAATATCTTCGACTAAATTGGGTTACTAACTATCAGCTCAATCATGCTAATGGCAGTATCCCATTTGGTTCATGGCTTAAACAAACTATTTACATATTCGTTCGAAGACAACTCAATTTCTTGAATATTCTCAAAGCTTGTTACAAAATAAATTAAATAATTATGAAATTGCTGATTAATGTTAGCTGCCTTGGTGATAATAATTGTATATAAATACATTTTATTTGTCTTCAATAATGAAGTTGCAACACATTTTTATATTTAATGACCCTCTAGCTTATCTTATCTAACTATGACAAACTATTTATTTAAGATATATTAAAAAGTAGATAGTGTAACATAGTTCAAGTGAATGTTAACTATTTGCACCCACTGTTATACAGTTGCTGACTCGGATCAGAGCCCGCCACCCGCAGCCGCACCGAAACCCGCATTTTAACAAGTATTTCTACCCCGCGCCGAGTATTATATGTATCAACTTCCGTTATATATATGCATAAATTTATATATATATTTTTTGAATTTATCGCCTGTTTAAGGAATGCGCGAGGCGGCAGGCACAGTGGGGGGAATGTCAAAATTTTCAACATTTGCAATTTGCAATTGTGTTGCCTCAATAAATTGGTCAAAATGCCAAAGATGAGAAGAAGATGAAAAAAAAAATACCAAAAATAAATAGCGAATAAATAAAGACATTAAACACACAAATTACAGCGCACTATGGGTGTGCCAGCGTGTGTGTGTGTGTGTGTGTGTGTGTGTGTGTTTATATGAAAATTGAATTTTAAGCAAGATGATTGAATTTTCTATTAATAAGTTTTGACCTTCAGCAGCTGTGAAATGTATTAAAAATTCTCTAGCGAAGGTGTTCTTGAGGCATATAAACACCATAAATAACACACACACACACACACACTTGTGAATGTATATCTATATCTATATATATATGTATATATAATATGTACATATATATCTATATCTATGGCAATTTCAAGAGTTCTTTTTTGAGTGTCATAATATTAGTTTGTGTTTTAGGCATTTCTGTAGCTGATAAAGTATATCAGCTGCAGCGTCAATGATAATGCCTCGAACTGAAACACACCCACACACACCACACACACACACACACACGCACACACTCCACGACAGAGTGTTACCTTGCAGCCAAAAGAAAATAAATACTTAAATATATATATAAATATATTTATATGTGCATGTTTATGATTTTTAGCAGGTCAATGACAAATTCATTGTGCCCCACAGCATATTACTACATACATATCATATTTGCGCCCAAAAAAAAAAACACTTTTGAGAAAAGTAAGAATTGTTATCTTAAAAGTGCCGAATATTAAATACCTTTACTTAACATGAATTGCATACAAGGACTAAATGTTATTGAATATGCTAAGCGAGCTATGTTAAAGCTATGTTAATAACATTTTGAGCATATTTTGAAAAAAGGAAACTTACGTTTTACTGATTGTTAAGTAAATATGGAAAGAAACTGAGTTTGTAGTTTTTTTATTCGAAAAACTAAAAGTATTATTGAGCTACTTGTAAAGTCGTCCGTTATTGTAGCTCCAAAAAGCTGGTAACTGTTAGACTTATTATGGCCATATTTAAGAAACAAAAAGTTGTTATAACATTTAAATCGATTTTCATGGCAGCTATATAATATAGTAGTCCGATCTGGTCTGCTGTGAAAAAAGTCTGCCTATAGCAAGAAGGGAAGGTCTCTGTGTTTTTATTTTCTATTTTCTAGACCCATCCTCTAAGCGTTACACATTCCAATAAAAATGTATAATACCCTGAGCTAGGGTATGCGAAGAGCGTATTAATAATTTAACAGCCGTCTTGACGTTTTCTTTTTCGGAGTTTTTCACTGATTAAAAACGAAAGCCTCGCGTCGTCTTTTGGCCACATTCGTAAGTGGCAAATGGGGGGCGCGGGCTTGGGCCCAACCCAAAACCCAGAGCTGTGCGAATTTGTTGTTAGTTATTTTTTATTATTTTTTTGTTTTAGTAATTCTTTTTGTCAGATTTTGCGGCCATAATTCACGTGTTGCCAGCCGATTCGTTATTTCAGCGTTATGATGTCATATAAACAGCGCCTCGCAAAGCTACCTGTAAAGGTTGTTCTCGTTGTCGTTGTCGTAGTTGTTGTTGTTTCTCATTAATTTTGATAATTTAACACGTTTGGCTGTGCGGCTGCCAGTAGAAAGCGGCCGGGGTGAAAGTGTTCTAAAAGCGTCGCAAATCAAATTGCAGTCATAACATTTTTGTTTATTTTTCGTTTGGGTTTATGCAACATTTGCAAAACAAACAAAACAATGCCAACGATTTGTATTTTGTTTTGTTTGTTATTTATTTTAGCGCATACATTTCATCAGGTTAAGTCACAGTTAAACGGAGCTGCTTATTGATTGTCGTTTGTTCGACGTAATATGCAAATTTATTAAACAAATCGAGGTTGTGACACGACTTGGCTGCAGTGGCGCTGGACCAGCCAATGCTGAGGGGGGCCCCGAATTAAAATGTAATTTGAATCAACTGCGAATTAGCCAATTATTTGAATATAAACTAGCTTTCAAGCTTAAGCAGCCTGTAAGTAAGAGCTCGGCATTTAACAGAGCTTAAACAGGCACATTTAATGTTGAAAACAGATGATGTTACCGTTTACAGCTGTTAGCTGCAAGCAAGGGTGGTGTTTGCTGGTAAATGTTAAATGTATGTTAATAACAGGGGTTCTTCTACTAAAAGTTGTGGTAAAGAATTATGAGAGGCGGCCAAAGGTGCAAAAGCTAAAGCAGCCTGTAAGAGCTTGACAGTTAACATAGCCTAAATATGTAGATGCAATGATAATAACAGATGGTGTAAATGCTTACAGCTGTTAAATACATGCCAGGATGTTAATAACATTGCAAATTGAAGCTAATAACAGATGATGTTAGCATTTACATTGAATGTGATTGTGTTTGCTGTTAAATGTTAAAAAACATGTTAATAACAGGGGTTCATAGGAGGAGGCCAAAGATGCGAAAGTAGGGCTGAAAGGATCGTTTATGTGAAAAGAGAAACCGAACCATGCTCCAAAACTAACAGCAGCAAATTTATTATTATTACTGTCGCCTTTTGACTGCTTGGAGGATTGTGTCAAAAAAAGGTTGAAACAAATTGAATGGCCCCGAAACAATTCAGTCAACTCTCAACAGTACAACAAACCAACTAACTAGCAAACTAACAAGCCCCTAATCTTGATCTTTACAGGTAAACCGCACAACGACAATTAAATTCAAGAGACCTGCAACGAATCATTTTCCCCCGACAACGCCGACCCAGCTCAACTGAACCCGGGCCAAGCTCATTGTGGAGCAGAGATACTTAGAACGGGGCCAACGACTCAGCCAAAAAAGAGGCAAGAGGCAGAAGCAGAGGCAGAGGAGCCAAGCAGAAGAAGATGTCATTTCGTGTTGTGCGCAGCTCAAAATTTCGTCACGTCTATGGGCAGTCATTAAAGCGGGAACAATGCTACGATAATATACGCGTCTCCAAATCCAGCTGGGATTCCACATTCTGTGCGGTCAATCCAAAGTTTCTGGCCATCATTGTGGAGTCGGCGGGCGGCGGCGCGTTCATTGTATTGCCACACAATAAAGTGAGTACCGGCAGCTCCTCGCCGAGAGGAAATATCCCTATTTTGGTTTCAGTTATATATAGTCGATATATATATATATATATATATATAAACAGGAGGAGTCATTTGTAGTATATTTGTATAGACACAATGGAGCCCCTTTATGGCTATTTATAGGGTATTTGTGGCGGCCATTTGCGGGCCTGTTGCCATGTAAAAAATGACGTCAAGTGTCTTGGCTATTATTGGCAGATTGTCATAATAGGGTATTTAATATTCGATGCCTTTAAACAAAGCCAAATCCCAGCATTATGATTCTATGCAACCAATGTTCCCTCTCTCTCTCTCTCTCGCTCTCCTTCTCTCTCTCTCTCTCTCAACTCTCGGGCGCACTTTGTTTTCTTGGCGCGTTGCCAACATGACGCATCAAATTGTCTAAATTTAACAAAAAAGAAATATATAAAAATTTGAGCATTACAAAAATATAATATTTGAGATATATATCTCTATATATGCATAGATATATATATATATATTTCTTCAATATGTTTGAAAAGTGTTGAGAAAATTGGTGAAATTTATTAATTTCCACAAAAACAAATTTTTTGGCTACGCCAAAATCGAACATCCGCCCAGCTGTCGGCGTGGGCGTGGACATGGCCAATTTGCGTGCGCGCCGCTTTTGGTTTTGGCCAAAACGCTTCTCGGCCAAGTGTTGTCGATTCTAATTGGGCCCAAATTTGTATGCAAAACGCGCAGCCAGCTACCGATTTCTATGTGCCGCAGCTTTCACACGCTCTAAATTTGAATATCTTATGGAACTTAAGCTGCGCGGCAGCCGAATTTGAAGCGTACATCAAATGGGCATGCGCTCTCCATATGTCATTAGATATATTGCTAGGAACTCTCCAGAAAGTTCTTATAGTAATAGAATCCTGCTTCTAAATAAGCTCAATTTGCAGTGACTATCAAATGGCCACGGTCTCCCACATATCATCAATAATATCTATGCTCTAGCAAGTTCCTATAATAAAAGAAACTTATCTCTAAGGTAATAGAACCGTGCCCCTCAATATGTTATCATTAGATATAGCTAGGAATTCTCCAGGAAGCTTCAATGGCAATAGAAACTGACTCATGAATATGCCGAATGCGGAATTTCCATAAATCATTAGATATAGCTACGAATACTCCAGGAAGTTTCTATAATAATAGAACCTAAACAAAGTGCATATATATATTTATAAAATCCATTATCTGCATGTTTATTGGCCAAATAGTTTTGGACTTATTGTGGATTCATTATGGTATAAAATACAGTACACATTCGCTTTTATGCCAACTAATTTGGCATTTAGGTTCTTCATTTATCGTATGCCAATTAAATGTATGTCAATTTTACGATAACTCACACAGATCGATAAATATCGATATCGATAATTGCGAATTTTAGCGCAAAATCTCACAGATTTTAAGAGCTAGATTCAAATTTTGCTGTTTCGATTCTTGCATTATCCCAAATTATCAAGTTTTTATAGGAAACTTAGCTTGAAGGAAACTCAGCTCAAATTGTAGGAAATCGATAATTTATCAAAGCAACTCGACGGCACCTCGGGCAGAGTCATTTTTCTAGCTGAATCAGCCTAAAAGCTGTCTAAACAGACCTCGCAGCCATAAATACTCTATATATATATATATATATATAATAATATATATAATATTAGTTATAGAAATTCTGCGAAGTGAATGCATTGATGTGCAGGTGTTTCGCACGTGTTGCCATTAATTGCCAGCTTCGCCCACCTGCCGCTCCCAGGTGAAGTTTGCCCCATTTGGTTGCCAGCTAATTCTGGCCGGGAATTTCTAAATTTAAAATCGTGCCAGTGTGGTTGGCCTTCGAAATGCTATTTAAAATTTCATATTTGATAACTTGAACTAATTTTCAGGTTGGACGCATTGCGGCGGATCATCCGCTGGTGGGCGGGCACAAAGGTCCGGTGCTGGATATTGCGTGGTGTCCGCACAACGACAATGTGATTGCCTCGGGCTCGGAGGATTGTGTGGTCAAGGTGTGGCAAATACCCGACGGCGGACTGTCGCGCACACTCACCGAACCCGTCGTGGATCTGGTGTTCCATCAGCGTCGCGTCGGCCTGGTGCTCTGGCATCCATCGGCGCTCAACGTCCTGCTCACCGCCGGCTCCGACAATCAGGTAAGCAGCTGGCAATTTAGCACAAGGCCGATAATTGAGCCGAGTCCATTGCAGGTAGTCATCTGGAATGTGGGCACCGGGGAGATCCTTGTGCACATTGACTCACATCCAGATATTGTGTACAGCGCCTGCTTCAACTGGGATGGCTCCAAGCTGGTCACCACGTGCAAGGACAAAAAGATACGCATCTATGATCCACGCAGTGCCGAACTGGAAAGCGAGGCCATGTGCCATGAGGGCTCAAAGGCGACACGCGCCATCTTTCTGCGACATGGCCTCATCTTTACCACCGGCTTCAATCGCAGCTCGGAGCGTCAGTATTCGCTGCGCGCGCCGGACGCACTCAACGAGCCGATTGTCATGGTGGAGCTGGACACATCGAACGGTGTCATGTTCCCGCTCTACGATGCGGACACAAATCTGATCTATCTGTGCGGCAAGGGCGATTCTGTGATTCGTTATTTTGAGGTACGTTTCTCTCTCTTGACTGGATCACTCTGCGACTGATAGATCTGTGCTTCCATAGGTGACGCCGGAGCCTCCGTTTGTGCACTACATCAACACGTTTCAGACGCCGGATCCGCAGCGTGGCATCGGGCTGATGCCGAAGCGAGGCTGTGATGTAACCACCTGCGAAATCGCCAAGTTCTATCGCCTGAACAACAACGGTCTGTGCCAGGTCATATCGATGACGGTGCCGCGCAAATCCGATCTCTTCCAGGAGGATCTCTATCCGGACACCCTGGCCGAAGATGCGGCGATCACGGCCGAGGAATGGATCGCCGGCAAGGATGCCGATCCGTTGACCTTCTCGCTCAAAGTAAGTGGCCCCCGGGCCAACTCTTGCAGTGTCTCTCCCCCTAAACATTTTGGAATACAGCGCTTCCGGCGCTGCGGCATCGTCGTTGCGCCCTGCTTCGGAGCCGCAGTTGCCGCGCAGGAGCGTACATCATCCTACAGGATTGAAGCGTGTGGCGCTCGTGTGCCCCAGATAAAAAGTGTATTCCAATGGCTTTCTGTTTGCTTTTAACGCGTGGCTACCATTTCTGTTGCTTGTCGCTTGCCCCTCTTATCAGCGTTATCCACGTTTGTGTCTCGTCTCGTCTGCTCGCCAGCTTCCTCAGCCACACCCACACACGCACACACACAGGCGGACCCACAGAGTCAGTTTGCACTAACTCCACGCTCCAAACTAGGGGCCTGCATCATTAAACAGACATTCGTTCAAACGAAGTTCGAACAGCTCGGCAGTTTGGCAACATGTTCGAGCTCGAACAGCTCAAATCGGCAACATGTTTGAGCTCGAAGGCAATCGACACGAACTCAGCTCATTTTTTGAACAGCTCGAGTACTCACTCGCTTGACCGAGTATTTGGTCGCCTCGATGCAGGACTCTCGATTTGAGACTCACAACAAACACACGCTCACGCACACGCACATGCACCAATTCACGGCTTACACACGCCCTAACACGCACGCTGCGTGGCGCTTGTTGTTGTGTTCTTTGTTCCTTGTTGTAGCCCAGTGAACAGTGTTTCTAATAAACCTAATCAGGATCGCGTCTCCATTGTACAGGGTGGCTACGTCTCCTCGTCGGGCAACAACTCGCTGTCCGTCAGCAAGAAGGCGAACATACTGAACAAGGCGTCCGCATCGCGAGGTGGCGGCGGCGGCGGCCTGGCCAGTGGCAATCATTCATCCGCGAACAACAACGAGTCCAACGATGGAGGCGCGCCCGCAGCGATATTCTCGGTGAGTTCAGGGACCAGACAGCTTTCTTTAGATGGCCTAATCAAATTGTTTTATTTAGGAAAAGGATCATCGCAACATTTTGGATGAGATACGCAAGCTGAAGGCGATTATTGTCAAACAGGAGAATCGCATACGTGCCCTAGAGGCCAAGGTGAACGCGGCCGCCGGCGATGAAACGGATGCCCGCAATAGCAACAAAAACGGCAGCGGCCAAGCAGCGGCTGCGACATCGGCGGCGGCGGCGGCAGCGGAAAGCAGCCATGCCAGTGAAAGTGCCAATGATCATGCTGCTCCCGCGTCAACGGCGGGCAATGCACACGAAGAGGATTAGTTACCAGCGGGCGACAGACATAAACAGGGAGAGAGCAGGCGAGGTTAACCTAGAGAGAGAGAGAGAAGGAGAGAGAGAGAGAGAGAGAGAGGGGGAGCAGCAGCTCGTCGTTATCGTTTGAATTTCTCTTGAATGGAAAATGTTTATATTTTGTACACGCTAAATGAGAGTTGTCGTCGTCTATGATTATGATTTCGATTATTTATTTTATATAATTTAATATTAGGTCTTTTTACGAGCAAAATGAGTTGCAGATCAACGTCAGAAAACAGCAGAGCAGTTCATACAAACACACACACACACACACACACACACACACACATAAACACACAAAAGAATCCTGCCAAAAAGAAGAATGCAAATAAATAAAAAAATTTAAATATATAGTTAACCTAACGAACTACCTAAAAGTCGCGCCCAAAAGATCGTATCGAAGCAATAAGTCGGAGAAGGAGTCTGTCTGTCCATGCGAGCTGTGTTTTTTTTTTGTGTATCGCAGGAAATGTGAAATTGTTGTAAATGTAACAAGAAAAACAAAAACAAAATCAAAGTATAGACTAAATTGCAATCATCTAAAAGTAATGATATATCCTACCAATTTACATACTTTTCTATACATATACATATACATATTTATATATATATATATACACATAACTGATTACCCCCCTATTGAGGCAATATATTCATGACAATAGCTTTTATAACGATTAGGCATACGCATACCGCCGCCGCTTTCATTAAACAACAAACAAACAAAAAACAACATTTTTCTCGTTCTAACTAATAATAAGTTGTATTTTGTAATAATAAATGAAAGGAAACCAACGAACCAATTTTAAAATATTGTCGATATTGTGTAAATTTTGCAACAAAAACACGATTGTGTCACAAAGTGCTGACTTTAAATAGCTAGAGTCTTGTGTATAAATTTAAACTTGATACAGAATAAATTATATAAAAATGAGATTTTTAAATTTTGAATAAGAGGCAGTTACAAACTGGCCACACTTTATATGTTATATGGCCAGACTGTTCAAATTTAGTTCAAGTAATGCCATTTTAAGAAATCGATTAATTTACCTCTAAAATATCGATATATAATCCAACAAACCAATTTAACATTCACCCGAAATGTCGACACAAAACAGCTGAGAGTAACTCGTTGCATTCTAAGAAAAACAAAAATTTGCTTGTAATTAAAAGAAATGAACAAATTTAATAATGGAAGGTTTGCTGAACCTAGCTTGCATAAAACAGGAGCCGGTCCAGCATGAGGACCATGAAGCTGTCCTGGCAGATATGGCCTGTGGCGCGATAGAAATAGGACCCATAAAAGTGGAGCTCCCAGAGACAGAAAGCCATAAAAATAACATGAAAGTTCAGCGGAAAAAACAGGCGCCGGTTAAGAAGTATGTAAAATCAGTTTAAGCTCCGACATTTTGTAACATTGTTAACTTTGCAGTGCTCAAATCGAATTAAGGCGAGTCTATCCCTGCGCCCAGTGTGCCAGGACCTTTGACAGTGCCTACGAACTGCGGATACATCGACAGATTCACACTGGGAAGCTGCCCTACAAGTGCTCCTATTGTCCTATTAGCTTTGCCCACAAATCCATTTATACGGCGCACATCCGTGGACACAGCAGTGGGGGTCCTTATGTGAAGCAGCCTCAACATGCATGTCATCATTGCGGCAAAACCTTTACGGATAAACCCAATTACGCGGCCCACATGAACATACATTCCAGTTTGCGTCCTTATCGTTGCACCTACTGCCCGAAGGGCTTCCTGCGTAGCTGTGCCCTGAAAAAACATCTTCGCACGCACACGGGCGAACGTCCCTATAAATGCAACCATTGCCCGAAAGCGTTTATCCAGAGCGCTCATCTAAAGTCGCACATACGAACTCATGCGGACGACAGAGCATTCATGTGTGGACAATGAAAGAGTTGAGCCAACGTAATCTTGCCGAGAAATCCCTCAAATGAAGGCACTGCCAGAAACTCTTTGCCCAGGGATTTATTGCCATTGTACACGGTGCATGTGCGCTCACACCTGGGAGAAAGTCCAAGACAGGTTATGTTCATTAAATAAATGATTTAGCTTTAAAATTTTAAAAATATTTCTGTTACTAGCTGAGCCAACCCCTCAAATGCCATTCGCATGCTGAGCCACCCCTCAAATGCCATTCGCATGAAACGGTAACACGTGACTTATTAATATACGCTACTTATCGGTATATCGATATAAATCATTGACACTACAAAAGCCCCACATCGGCTGTTGGGCGAATCATTCGTGTTTTCCTCGTTGTTCGGTTGAGCACACAGCAAGAGCTGACCGTAAGAATAAGCCACAAATTAAATTGTGCACGCGCATTCAAATAGAAAAAGAGAATAAGTCTAGCATTATTTAATCGCCTTCACGTGTATTTTGCAATAGTGAAATAATACAAGCAAGCAGCAGTCCAATCGTGGCATCAAGAGAAATGCATAAGCCATTACATAAGCAGCTTTTTAAAATAATAATCGTTTAATGAAAACGAAGCAGCCGCGTTCGTCACACTTCAGATTGAAATATATTTCGTCAGCCAAAAAACAATTTCTGTGCTAAAGCTGCAGAGTAACTGTAAGAAAATTGAAAAAAACCAAAAAAAAAAAAAACTTGAACTGAACACAGTCCACAGTTGATTTGCCAAAAAGAGAGAGAGAGAGAAAATATGTGCTCGGTAACAAAACAAAGGCAGAAATGTTTAAGTATACGCAGTAGCAGCAGCAGCAGCAGCACCAGCAACAACAGCAACAACAAGAGCAACAGCAACAGCAGCAGACAAAAAAACTCAGCGCCTAGCAACAAGACAAATTCAAAGCGAATTGCGGCCATGTGTAACGAGTTTCTCTGATTTTTCATAGATCAAAAAGCGCAGCTATAGGCCAAAGATTGTAAATAATACAATACATACATACACACACACATATATATAGATATATATACCTAAAAGTAAAAGAGCGAGAGCGAGAGAAAGAGAGAGCGATAACTGTTAATTGAAAGAGCCAAGCGCACAACACAAGAAAGATGAATGCAAACGCAGCTCCTGCGAGCAGCCCACCCAAATTCAATGTATTTGCCCATGTCAAATATGAACATCTGGTTGCCGGCGTCTCTGGCGGCGTTGCGTCCACGCTTATTCTGCATCCATTGGATCTCATCAAAATACGCTTTGCTGGTGAGTACAACAAAGAAACGTTTAATGCCGAACACCCTGTTCGCAAAGATACAAAACGAAGCAATTGTTCAGCACGTGACTGACCCACAGCGCAGCCGGCTTGCGTCCGCTGCGCTGAATTTAGCCAGTGTTGCTCAATTCGAGTTTCTTGCCGTCAAATCTGGCATTTTAAAAGAACATTGATGCACACTTATTAAACGGTTAACATTGCGACTTCTGCCAACTTGCAGAGGGTGTTATACTTTTTTAATGTCATATGTGACTTATTTAGTGCGTAACGAGAATTCACTTTTAATTAAAATAATAACTGGCTTATTTTCTCTCGCCAGAAATAGCTATTTTTTCTTGCTCAACACTGCACTCGACTGCGTTGTTTGTTCTTTCTTCTACCCTACCCTTATCATGTGTTTGCCGCCTGCTCGTTGCAGTTGAAAATTTCCATGGAAAACTTTATGCGTTGCGGAAAACTAGTCTGGAATTCGAATCATGACCAAATAAACAAGCAGCTGCACATTGAGCTGAGAAATGGGTATTTCCTGCGTTTCTTCTTGTTGAGTTGAGTTTTTGCATTAGACTTTTATTTATTGACCTGTTGACAGTTTGCGAAAACAATTTAAGAGTCCTCCAAAATCTGCTGACCGATTATGCTACATTTTCGGCTTATCAACGCTCCAGAATGATAAGCATTATCTGCATTCGTGCGCACGTAGAACCGACTAGAAGCACACGCCCCCTAGAACAATTTTCGGCATATATATTTTATTGAGTTCCATTTAGATATTGGGTTAATGGGCACAGTACAAAGCTCGATAAATTTCTAGATACAGTAAAGGTTCCCTTGGGCGGACACTTTCAGTTCAAAATGGGTGAGATTAAAAATGTAAAGGCTAAAGAAGTTGAACGCCCAAGGACGCGGTTCCTTAGTATAATTCTTACTGTAATTTTATTATTATGACTCAGCATTTCCATTGTTTACATACATATACATATAGTTTTATCAGCGCGCATTCATAGTTGTCCTCGTTTGGATTTGCACGCAAAAATCGAGTACATTGTTATTTCCGTATGTTTCGATTTTTTCAACAATAACAATAACAACAGGAACAACAGGTTATTGTTTTTGTTTTTGATTTTTTTTACATTATTATTAAAGTCTTGTTTTGCCAGTCGAACGCTTTCTACTTAGTTAAAATGTTTAAAAGCGCCAATTGAATGGGTAAATATTTACGGATTTGATTTGAATGTCATGTAAACGGACGAGAACCTTAACAATAATAACATATTAAGTTGTTTATGCGAAAATTTACTAAGAAAAATAGATTATTAGCCCATTACCCAGCTGGCAAAAGCATATGCTGACGGCATCTATTGATCGGAATCTTTATAAATGTATTTGGTTTGCGTGTTTGAATGACGCATCTGGTTGGTTTATGCGCGGGTTCGGGGAAAAAACAAAAGCAAGCGTCAGCAAGTGGCGTAAACGTTTTTATCTTTATAATATTATGATACCCTGTACTCAAGAAAAATAAGCAATGAAGTGTATATTACTTCGCAACAAATATGTGTAACAGGGGCACAGAAATTGTATAAATTAAATCTGATCAACAAAGGGGTATATTAGCTATGGAGCTCACGCAACGATAAATATTGATGTAGTTAATAAAGTCTAGCTGCATACAAATTGGCATTAATTTTGTCCTATAGCATACACTTAACAGCTATATTTTATTATCTAGCTGTTTGCAGGGTATCTACTAGTCTAACACACCCGATTCCTGCACTCAGTCTTGTCGCCTGTTCATTTCTGCGACATCACGTGACCAATGTTGTTGACTGTACATCGAGCATTTTTTAACGGCAATTGTCAGCTTATACAACACTGAAACATTTATCAACATAAACACAAATACACACGTGCATGCATATGTGTGTGTATATGTGTGTATATCTTTATCTACATCGGCGCGTCAAACTGGTTGTCAGTGCAAAACTTCAGTTGTTGTCAAGTGCTGCGTTTTGTTTTTTTTTTTTATTTTTATCGCTGCGAACATGCGAATAATATTCGTGTGCTCGACCAGAGTTCAACATCAGCTGTTCCCATTTCATATATATATATATATATATATGTATATATATTCTCTATATATACTTAGTCAACAACTAATTTATTAGCCAAATATTATTGGAAAAACACCACACGATCATCATGTTACATCAAATGCGCTTGTTTTCGCTTCCAAGTTCGCAACGAGAATAATACAGATTAGTCTGTCCACAAGTTTTGATACCCTGTGCTGAAGGTCAATCCAGAACTGAGCACACCTATAAATAGGCACGGGACGAGCCCCCGTTTCGCTGTTGTCAGGGCAGATCGCAGCAGAAGTCTGCTCAGCTCTGCTCTTGTTATTGCCTTTTTGTTTTTGCCAATAAATAAAAATAAATATAGACACGATTATAGTCTTGTCATGCTATTGCCCGCACGAGCAGCGCAGCTCGGACAGCAGCCTGTTCCCATATTGGACCCTTATCACATCCGTTGCCCCGGCCAATTAGCGCTATCTCTGTTGGCCGCGAAAACAACAACTTGTTGTTATTGCTGCTGCTGCTGCTGCTGCTGCTGCTCTTGTTATTGCCTACTTTTGTCGTTATGCCGGGGCCCGAAATTCACAACTGGGCAGGGCGTGTACAGTACTCCAAAAAGACATGCCAAAAAATCAGCTAAAACAGCTGTTGCATGAATCATTCTCTACTTAACCCAACTTTTAAATGATTTAAAACTGTTTTTCAACGGATACAGAGACTCATTGACTGACTGGTTGCTTTCCAGTTTTAAGCTTTTTGACTTGAATCTTCTTCAAACTCATTTCCGCTTGTGTCTCAAAAATGATTAGAAATTTGATAAAGCAAATACTTGAGCCAGTCAACCAACGCCGGGTAATGCTAGCTAGAAGTATATGCACAAGTGACGCGTGTCTCGTATCTACTTTTAAGTTATACAAGGCTAATGTCTAGACTGTTGAGTAAACATGACATTAAGATTTATCATTTACGAGCCTTGTTTGATTTCTTCCGTTTGCAGTGAACGATGGACGCACAGCGACGGTGCCGCAATACCGTGGATTGGGTAGCGCGTTTACCACCATATTCCGGCAGGAGGGTTTCCGTGGCCTGTACAAGGGCGTAACACCGAACGTCTGGGGCTCCGGCTCCTCGTGGGGTCTCTACTTCATGTTGTAAGTTTTTGCATGCGGATCTGTCCACAATTGAACTTGACTTAATCTCTCTCTCTCTCTCTCTCTCTCCTCGCAGCTACAATACCATCAAGACGTTCATTCAGGGCGGCAATACGACCATGCCCCTGGGTCCCGCCATGCACATGCTGGCCGCCGCCGAATCGGGCGCCCTGACGCTCCTCCTAACGAATCCCATTTGGGTGGTGAAGACGCGTCTGTGCCTGCAGTGCGACACGGCGAGCAGCTCCGAATATCGCGGCATGGTACATGCCCTGTCCGAGATCTACAAGACGGAGGGCGTGCGTGGCCTGTACAGAGGCTTTGTGCCCGGCATGCTGGGCGTCTCGCACGGTGCCATACAGTTCATGACCTACGAGGAGATGAAGAACGCCTACAACGAATACCGCAAGCTGCCCATCGATACCAAACTGGTGTGTATATATAGACGGGGAATGGCATCACATGATCCAAACGCGCGTGCCAGTTGTTGCCATATGGATATACATACGTATATAATTATATCTATGTATATGCATATGATGACGCCCGCGCCATTTGGCAGCTGTTCAATAGTCACATTTTTTAATGAGCCTCTGCTTGACTAAATTGTTGCTTTTCTCACGCCCACAGGCGACCAGCGAGTATCTGGCATTTGCGGCGATATCGAAGCTGATTGCCGCCGCGGCCACATATCCATATCAGGTGGTGCGAGCGCGTCTGCAGGATCATCATCATCGCTATAGCGGCACCTGGGACTGCATCAAACAGACTTGGAGGTACGAACGCATGCGCGGTTTCTATAAGGGACTAGTGCCGTACCTGGTCCACGTAACGCCCAACATTTGCATGGTCATGCTCATTTGGGAGAAGCTGACCAGCTAAGCGTTAGAGTATTACATAGTTAAAAACTAGAAAGTAGCCACAACATTGAATATAAATTACATATTACCTATATATCAACATGAATCTGAACGGAGCAGCAGCAGCAGCAGCAAATGACAAAGCGGATCATAATTTGTATTATTCTTGTAATTATGATTATGATTTTGTTTTAGTTTTACTTATACTTTAACTGCTACTTTCATTTATCATTTAAGTGTTAGTTGTATTTAGCTTTAAGCTAATTCCATAGTTAGACATTAATGCAATTGCAGAATGTATACTATATGTTTGTGTATACTATATGATTCGAGAGGAAACTTGA